CCCTAGACCGCCGTGCACACATTAGAGCTTGACTACTAAAGTTTCGCTGTAAACACGTATACACAAAAGTGGGGAAACCAACCATGACGAGATGATGAAGCTATCGTACGTCCAGGATAAAGGGTGGGAGAATGAAGGGTAAAGATCAATCGGTGGTCAAGATGAGATGCGAGTGGTGATTGAGATGGAAAGAGAGGGTAAAATATCTCACCTCTAAATGATGGACATCCGTACTGAAACTCCGAAGACGAACTTGTTCCACTTTTCCTCTATCTATCAAATGAGGATCTGCGTCTCCCCAAGTGGAGGGTATAGCGACGTCTGGACTATCGTTTGTATATGCGAGAAGTGTGAAAGTGCCTTGTATCTGTTAGCTTTTTTCCCCCTCACCTCCTGCGTTCCCCTTTCTCCCTTTATACAATCTTATAATCTTTTGTGGATGGAAGAAATATCATTCCTGCTTATTTCCTCATTTCTCAACTTTCAAGATTGTCGGTGTTGGTCAAAAACTACCCCTCTGAAAGTCGTTGAACGGGTGGTGTGCTCTCACGTCGAAGATATATGCCGGACATCCCATAATAGAATTCGGAAGAAACGACCAAGGGGGATATACGAAAGATGAAGAAAAGAAAGAAAGAAAACTCACAAGGTTCATCCAATATAGGTAAAAAAGTAACACTTGAAGTGATTTGTTTCATAATCTCCCTTATCTCACCTTGTATTTCTTTTTCAGTTTTAACCTTTTTTTTCTTTTTTTCCAATTGATTCTTATTATCTTCAGGTATATTCTCTTTATCACCTTTTCCTTTTTTCCCTAATTTCTCATTCTCCCCTTTTCCCTTTCTTTCTAATTTCTCATCACCATCATCTTCCTCTTCTTTTCGGATATCGAATTGCCATCTTTCAACAGTTTCATTAGTCTCAAGACTTTTGATAGCTAATACTAAACGATTTATAGCTGATGATAATAACCATTGTTGAACTTGAGATAAGATGGTGGATAAATATTCTTTGAGAGAATCATCGGCTGTTACTAGCATTGGTAGACCGTATTTCTTTACCATACTAAGTGGTTAGTGATATATTTTTATTTGTCTGAATTTCCCTTGGATCGCATCACTTTTCATGTCTCATGGATTCGTTCTCATTGGAATACACAATCGTCCGAGCTTTGGGTAGCAAGTAACATGAATGCGCACAAGCCTCCTCGGGTATGGGCACGATTTAACACTAGGAAGGAGACGCCGTCTTATGATTATATAGCCATGTCATCCATCGCAGCTTTCATTACACAAGCAGGAAGAGAGAGGTACCCAGGGGGAAGGAGGGAGGGGGGGGTGGACATGGCTGCGCGAGAAGGACTGGGTGCTGTGATGGAAATCATGGTCAAGAACTAGATGCAGGTTTTGCGGGATGACTACTTATTCAAGGGCGTTAGAGGGCGTAGAGTGTAGTCACAGGGATCGAGTAGATAAAAGAAGACATACCGGAAATCATCGGATGGATATAAACCACGTTGATAAAGAATCCTTCAACGTCAGCTCTTCTTCCACGATATTCCAGACGGAAGTGTGAAGTGTGAAGGAAGAAAACGTACGAATTGACACTATACTCGAAAAACTCTGTTACCAAAGCTGTAGAGCCTTTCAAAGTGATAGCTTGATTCTGTCTCGTCGCTTGTTTAGTCGCCATTGTATATTTTCCGCCTTGATCATGTACTTGTAGCTTGATAGAGAGATATGTAAGTCACGCAGTTGTTACTTGTTAACTTAGCGATTTGACCGAGTGTTTTGTCGAACAAAGTCAAACGCGCCAGATGGTCAATTGTCAAGTACACTCGTGATGAGCTGACATGGATCATCCCATAGGCTTGCCTTGTCCCTACTGCTGTGGCCACCCAACTCACTTGAACAATCACTGCATTACTACCACTACTCGTACTATCAAACACTATCCCTCTCACTTACCCTTTCACTCGACCACACCCTTCACACAACAGATATAACCAGGAGGATTACGATCACAACTACCAACCATGTCAGGCCTCATGGGGTGGTTCTCAGGTCGGAAGAATACGCGCGAGTCAACCACAGAGGCCATAGTGGGCTTACGACAAACTTTACTCATGCTTCAGAAGAAAGAGGAATATCTTCAACGTCAGATCGATGAGGCAGAGGATCGTGCTAGAAAGAATGCTACCACGAATAAACGATGTAAGTATTCATCATTTGAAATTCCCTTTCTACATTCATGTCCTTCTCTTCCCCAAAGGTCATTCTTTGTTCGTCATAGCGCCACTCGGTTTGATGTGTGATGGACGGGTATGTCAATGTTTTGGACAGCATTGGAGAATGTGGTTGTGTGAGAGAGTGATATGGGAAGATACTAACGATGTAGTGGCTTTGACCGCTCTTAGACAGAAAAAGGCGGCAGAGGCGGATATGGAGAGGATTGCAGGTACAAGATTGACAATAGAGGCTCAGGTGAGTTATTTGATTCCTTTACAGCTCAACAATTCTTAAAACGTTTGTTCATGCTGATAAAGAATAGGTCAATACGATAGAATCAGCTAATCTCAACGCGGAGACAATGTTGGCGATGAAGAAGGGTGCAGAAGCTTTGAAGGGTATACACTCTAGTTTGTGGGTATATTCATTGATTCTTATCGTTCACCTATACGATGTGTCGTCTACCGTCCTCGTCTCCACAAGAGACATGTGATTGCATAATAGATCTAACACCTTTCCCTTTCTTTCGTCTTTGTCTTCTTCAAATCCGCCTTCGCTGGGCATGTGTTGGTCTATCTCCCAGTACCCTGCTCATTCATTCTGGTATGATAAAAGATTTAGAGTTTAATAGAACGTGAAGATTGAATGACATTCACTTCTGGTCCCCAAAAGTAGATGTGTAAACGAGTAAAGAAATGAATATTGATCCTAGAAACATTGACAAAGTCGATCAAACGATGGATTCTATCAGAGAACAAATGGACGTGGCCAATGAGATAAGTGAAGCGATTAGTAATCCTACCGGTATGGGTAATGTAGTTGATGAGGTGAGTGATCTTCTCTCATACAATACAAATGATATTGATAATCAGGATGAACTTAAAGCAGAGTTGGAAGCTTTGGAACAGGAAGAATTGGATGATAGACTTAAAGGTGCTGATAGAGTACCTATACATACTCCTGCTTCTCCAATCGGACAGACCAATGGTCCTAGTCGTGAGATATTTTTCTTTCTCTCTTCTCTCTCACCTACTTTTACTTCTTCTCCTTTCTCCTCTCACCTCTCAGCTCTCTCTCATCTCACTTGTCACTTCCCCCCTCCGTGATCTATTCTCCCTCACGGCCGCTCATGTCACACAAGATCACCAAAACAAAGTTACATTGATGTAGCTATCAGTCCGGCCGACTGGTCGAAGATGATGTCGGTCATTTCAGCATGTGATGATCCAAAAAAAGGAGGTTTCCATCACAGAATTGACTATAACGAGCTTGACCTAACAAACAGGCGTTACGGCTCAAGCGGAAGAAGATGACGAAGAAGCTCAATTACGTCAACTTCAAGCTGAACTCGCCATGTGACAAACATCTTTCCTTTCTTTTCCGATTCTATTCACACATTTTTGTAACTTCTTACATCCTTCCAACACCTCCGACGCCTCCCACAGTCTTTCAGATATGTTGACTTTCATCTGATATGAATGATAGTATATACCTGATCATGTGCATGTAACAACATTATCAAAATTCTAACCACTTTTGACATAATCGTTTATCTCACATTATCCCTATTATCTTTGACTTTTTCTTTCCCTCACTCCCATGTCCCACTTACCAGCTGCACTAGATATCTCAAACATCGAATTATACGGTACGTCTAATCGTCCTGTGTGTCTCACTTGGTATGATCTTAAAAAAGTCATATGAGCATACAGACACAAGTGGTTACTCATAAACTATAGATTGTATGAGTCTCGAATGATGTTCACCGCTGCATGATCATACAACATGACATTTATCCAAACTTTTCTCAAAAATAACCATCATTATCTTATTTTTCCTTTTATATCATTTATATTCCTCTTTGGTGGTGGTGGTGTTAAACCCATTCCACCATTTAAACCATTACCCAAACCTATTTTATCCTTTTTCTTCTTATCCACTCTTTTCTCCTCCAAAGGTAAAATCACCATACCTAACTTATTCCCAAACCCAGCGATTAACCCTTTCTTTCCTCTACAAACGACCGGTCTCACTTTGATAAAAGCCAATTCAGGATATACAGGTAAAATTAAAGAACCTGATTTTTTAGGGAAACTAGATCGACCAGATAATGATAAATTCCTTTCTGTCTTTCTTTCTTTTATAGACATTGATGTATTTTCTAAATGTCGAGAACGTATTTCCAAATCATCTAAATTGACATAAATCGGATTCACATGAATAGATGTCGTATCCAAAAAGAAGATTTGAAAAGAAGAATCATTTATCCCATTTCTCTTTTTATGTATTCCCATTAATATTTGATCCGAAGTGAATATCCAACCTCCATCTGAACACATTAAAGATATCAAAGAACGGACTTCGTATGTTAATTCTTCACTAGAGGTGATTTCACCATTGGTATTGATGTGGGATGAAAAAGGATCGGGATCATCTCGATGTTGTGGACTTGGTCGACGAGCACCATGAGAGCTTATTGGGAAATCTGGTGTTTGGATCAAAGAAGGTGATCTGGATGGTGATCCATTTAATGAATTAGAGCGAGCTAGAGATGTTTTGGATGTCACTGCTCGAGTAGGTGAAAGAAGCGAATCAGATCGATTAAGGATTATAGAATTGTAACATCGACATTGGGGAGATCCTCTGGGTAGCATTCGATCAATGAAGATACGGTTCAAAGTGGAAAATACGACTATCATTCCTTCCGAGGATATCCCACAGCGAGAACATTTGATCGTACTATATGGTCCTAAACATATTTGTGAGATAGGTTCGGTTTGGGTTTCAATAGTCGTCAAAGGAGAAAGGGAGGATAGATCATATATAATCACAGATCCATCTTTATGACCTAAAGCGAGAAAGTCGTCACGGGAAGAGATGCAGGTGATGTTATCACCAATATCGGGAAACGATCTTGATGTCCAACCTTCTGTTGTTTGTCGGAACAATTGAGGTGTCATCCCACCGATGAGGATCGTACTCCCCTCGTTGTCATTACGGCATTCAACCAGGGGGCGGGGTTGGTCAATCGATTGTGAAAAAGATGGTCCAACAACTTGAGCTATGGTGCCATCAGGATGAATGGACAGGACGGAGGATCCGCATGTGACAAACAATGATGGGCGAAGACGATTGAAAGACGAAGGAGTACGAAATGTATCTTTTAACTTGGTCGAAAAGTTGTCAAATATCAAATCGGATATCATACCAGTGCCATTGGTTTTATGAGGACTTTCAGGTTGAGGTGGACCATCCTTGATTATCTCCCAGATATGCACCATATTCCCGCTCGTACCTACAGCTGCGTATTTTCCATTATGACTGACAGCAGCAGCCACGATATATATTTCGTCGTTTGAAGCTGGTAGCTGTAATTCTTCCCTGGTCCCTGTGGTTCCACTCGAATTCGAGAAACGCCAGAGACAGACACTGTTATCTAGTCCCACAGAAAGGACAACATTGCCATCTTCAGACGAAACGATGATATCGATGTCGGCCGAATGACTGCAAGGTAACATATGGGCCTCCATACCAGCTAGCAACCGATTTACCTTCTCACCTCCCTCGACCAGCTTGTCGTCCGATACAGGTGCAACTTCATTTCTTCCTAATCGATTGCGCTGAGCGTCAAGTAACTCAGCATCTTTTAGCAGGAAACGAAGTAGGAAGTAAAGAGCGGCGGCGGTGACAGCTTGAGGCAGAAAGACAACTTTGAACAGGTAGAAAAGAGGTTTGAGTCGGGGAAGCAAAAGTCGTGTGGTAGGGATGTGTAGTTTTCGGATGTCAGAGGGAAGCATACTGTGTCCAAATCGAGGGAGCACCAGGAGAGAAGCGGGTGGTGAGACTATGCGGACGAATGGGAAGCCCGAAGGGTTTATGGTACGCCAAAAAGTTTCAGCCGGGGACAGCTGTACAAGATCGTCGGGCGAAGTGTTATATGGAATCGGAGAGGGAGCCATGGAGATCGATGATGGGTTATATCCGTACAGACTTGCTGTGGTGGATGTTGTGGGATGATTTCGAGAGTGCATCAACCCGACGCACAAGCATAACTGAATGGGTCAATCGAAAATCACCCATTGCAGTAATTTTACCCACGAATAAGAGCGCAATGGTTTTGAGACTTCTCGCACGGGCCAAACTCCGCCAGCTTAACAATGCCCAGTCTTGTTCTTCGCTGGCAACCGCCGCCTGTTGGGGGGGTGCTCCATTCGGAGCACTCGACAGTATGTCGGCCAACTCCAATCTTTGAGCGTCTATGGACAGAACCTACATCAAATCAGCTGTCTATTAGGACGATGAAATGACAGCTCACCGTGAGGAAGAAAGTATGAAGCATGAACCAGTCGGTGATCACCACCACAGCGGCAAATACGCAGAACTCCCTGACGGGTTGCACGTCCACCAGCAACCATGTCAATCCCATCAGGATCAAATCTTGCAACGATGTGAGAGCTATCCGTACGCCCACTTTGCTCAGAGCCAGCCCCATCCTCTCAGATACAGTGTACGTGAAAGGGACCGAGAACACAGCTTTGGTCTGGTTCATCAGCGGTAAAACTAATACACTTGCGATGAGCTTACCAAAGTTGACATGTTTTCGACCCCGACCACGACTATCACAAATGGCAAGAAATAGGTCGGAAGCGTGGTAGGAACCATCGAAGCTCCCCAGCCATTCCACCCAAATAGAGAGACGATGCTGAAACTCATGACTGCCGAACAGCAAAGCTGGACGATACCTGTGAACGCCAGACCGAACCTTGAATGAGCCTTGGTCGCGTAGGAGATTTGAAATGCAAGACCGGCGAAAAGAGCAGCGTAGGACAAGTAGGCCAGCCAGGGGGCCGACAACACGCCGTTCGAAGAGGTTTCTGCTTTGCTTTCTCCGCCGGACCTTTCGGGGATATACTGATCAGGTTAGCAGTCACCACGATCGATTTTGGCAACGCACAGATAAAACCCATTCATCCGTGTGACGGGAAGAAGGCTTTCCACTGCTGCAAGCTTCTTCGAAAAGCTCCCCAGATGATGCATTGGCAATCGCCGATAGATGATTCGTCCACCGTCGCTCAAAGTCTGTACGACTCGTGTGCGGTACACGAAAGAGAGTCGAGATGCTGTGATAGATGGAAGATTCGACCGTGGCAATTCCTAATCCCAGTGGTGTGGTGAGATCGTCTGCTCTAGGTCCAGTCGACATGAAGTAGCAAGGTCCACGAGATAGCTCGTTCTCCCCCGAGTTCGACTCCACAGTCAGGCGCCTCACACAACCTTCTCCAGATCCTGAATGTTCCTCCTCCCAGCCTTCGACAAAACTCCGTACTGACCTCTCTAGAAACTCATCTCGCTCGATCCATGTTGGAGGTCGAGTTTCCGCAGGACCGTCAAGCACTTCACCGACATCTGCCCAGCCTACTCGCAAGATATGCACCTCGTCTTCACCCGTCCTGCTCTCAGCTTCGGGGCCCATGACCCGGGTGATGCTGAAGTCCTCATGTCCATCCCCCCACCAGTGCACGGGTGGTAAGCTTGGAAGTAGAGGCGGAGGGTAAGGGAAGAAACTGTCGAGTATGGGGGTGCTGAGGAGGGACAATGGATGTTCTTTGCTGGCCTTTCTTGTAGCTGCTCCTTGGTCAGACAGGAGTACACGATGGACATTATGTGCGGAAGGAGGGGTGGGCGGACGAAGAGGAGGAAATTTCTTTTGTAAATACACCGCAAGAGAGGGGTAGAAGAGATGTGTCATGACCAGACAGTCAATCAAAAGTGTTCTTATCTATCTCGTCAACTCCTAGATCGCACCCATCCGGATTTGCACTTACCTGGTTGCGTGTACAGTGCTCGCCAAACCGTCTAAAACCCTCTTTGACCCATTGTGTAGCATTCCACGGTTCCTCGTAAGCTCTCCCTTTCCCCTTGTCCCTCCGCTTATTCTTCCTGTTATGTACAACGGGAGAGTATCCATTAGTGGAGGCTTTAGATGGATACTTGTCATGTCGATGCCGCAGAGAAGCCGTACCGTTACCGTTGCTGCCTGGAAGGCCGGTCGCCGAGGTAGACGATGGAACTTGAAGGTGGAGCTGCGGATGACCCATTTGGTGTCAAGGAGATATAAACTATACCTGGCATCCCATTCAGAAGGAATTATGAGATGATACTATAGACTTTGTAGGGCTGGTCTAAGGGTATACGATGTGAAAGTTGATAGCAGGGGACGCTTGGGGATGCGTGGGGGGGAGGGGGGAGGGAGGGTGACTCGTAAGTGGGGGGAGCATGTAATACCGTACCATCCGGGGCTCCATAACTCTTCCCCCCATTCCTCCTCCAACACATCTCGACTGCGCGAAAGAGATCCATCTACCTACTCCTCTACCCTCGTCCTCTTCCTCTTCAAGGCCTATAGTACTACATCTGGTACATTCACATCATGTCTCGTCAGTATCTCTTCCAAACTCTGTCCTGAGCTGATCATATAAGCCTCTCGTCCACTTCCACGTCCCTCGGCTGGAAGACCCCGTTCCTCCACTCTCATAATGGTCGACTCACCTGAACATGGTCGACCTCCCGCCATCGACGTCTCAGCTGCCAACAACAGGATTTTATCCGATCAGACCGCTTCAGCCGCGGAGACAGCCCTCTCTAGCATCCATGGCACTTTGGGTAGATCCAGAGGGCGCAAGGCAGGTCACGCAAAAACCAACTCATGGCCCAGTCCGCCCAAGCCAATCATGACCAACCACTCCACTGCACCCGATGTTCCACCACAGACGACTCCCGATGATGAGGGCTTAGATATGGTTCACTCTGATAGGGCTCAACTTCAGCTGTATACGTACAAAGCGACTTCCGTTCCCGGCCCTTCTTCTCAACCCTCACCCCTTCCATCAACCTCGGGCAATTTCACCATTGCACCTCGATCGCAAGTCTTGTTCAGCTTCAACACACTTCCGTGGCTAGTAAGGACTGGTGATTATCTCGAAATCAGAAGGATCGGGAACGCCGGCCTGGAGAAGACTGCCGCCCATGGACCTCATGCACTCAAAGCTGGAGGTGAAGCTCTAAAGTCGGTCGTGAGAGAGGCGAAAGCTGGCGAGGTGCGAGATGGTTATGTTTTCCGCGTCGGTGCAGACGCCCCAAACATCCCTATCAATCAGATACATATACCAGAGACGGTGGCATCGGCATTTTGCCTGCAACACAGACTTGAGGTCCAGGTCATGAGAGTAAGTCGTTTTCCTTGATGGTGATTTGGCTGATTAGCAGGTACCCGATCCAGAAAAGGTGCAGGTGGATTTTGTGGAGTTGCGGTTTTCGCAATACTTGGGTCGAGCGGATATGTGGCGTCTCGGCATGTCTCTAGAGAACTCTACGATCCATGTGGGCGAGAAGGTGTCTTTAGCTGGGGGAGCCGTAAGAGCAGATATCCAAGGTATATGGAGAGGAAAAAACCGATACTCGAGCGGGATCGTCACTCCGAAGACCAAAACCATATATCGGAGTCGAAGCGCCCAGGTATACATCTTCATTCAACTCTGCCAAGAGACGTGGGAGTTTGACGAGGATGGAGAGAGATATTCGGAGAAAGTCGTGCACGGTAAGCTCTTCGTCCCGTGAAAATCTGAATGCTGAGGGCCAGGCTTCCTACCGGAGTTGTTCAACCGCTGGGCAGCAAAGTCAACATCCCACCTGGTCACTATAATCTTCTTCGCTCGCGTGCATTATAACGAAGATGAGGTCAGATATCTCGAAGACAATGCCTTGACCAAGGGCTTGATCAAGGATTACACCGGGAGATGGTGCAAGGATTTCTACCACGTTGCCATCGATTTTGAACGGCGTAGTGACTGGCATCAGGCATTGGGTGAGATCAAGCAGCGATTGGAGAAGAGTGAGAAGGAGATACTACTCGACTTTCACGTGAGCCAACTGCGAGGGACAGATCGCGAAGGTACGGAAAACCGAATCTTGGGCAGATGGAGCTTTGTGAGTTGGAACATCAAAGGCATGTTTTTTGTTGCTGCTTAGCTGAACATCAGGCGTACGAAGGAAATGTCCTCGAGGCCGTCAATCTTGCCCTGAACCCCTTTGATGAGCACTACATCGATCGCGATCTATCAAGAACCGGTATGAGCATGGCAGTTCTGACCCCTGGAACGGGTCATTTCGCTGTGGACAAGAATCTCCTACGTCTCACTACTGAGCGAATGGTTGACCACGGCATCTCACTCGATCTCGTTTGTCTCACGAAGATGCCCCTTCACTCAGTCCCCCTCTTTTCTTACGTATCCAAAAGACCGAAAGGCCTGGTCAGTGAGCAGACGGTCTCCGGTATGAAGACGAAGCCGACTATTCCCGATCTTCTTTACTTTGACGCGAAGAACGTCAAGGATGAAGACTGCGAACTTGCGGACTGTTACTCGATACCGAAATGGGTGAATTGCTCCTTCTATTCAAAAACGCATGACAAGCCGTTTAGGATGGACAGGTTTGTTCCTAGGTGTAAAATGTACGAAATCCAAATGCTTGGCGTACTGGACCACAACTTGACGAGGGTAGCGGTCCCGCTCCTTGCCGAAGACGATATCATCGCACCCCGAAAGGATTTGACTGAGGCGGATAGGAAGAAACTTCGAGATGACTTCGACGCTGCTATATTTGGTGGGAAACCAACTACCGAGATCAAAGGTGATGGGAACACTCCAGCTGCGGGATCCTTACCAAATGCAAGTTATCAATCAGCCAGGCTTCTGGCTACTCGGGCGGAGGAAGGAAGGATAAATTCTCTATCCTCACTTGTCGCTTCGCAAGGTCGACTTGCTCCTTTACTTTCTAGTGGGCGTGAGAATAGAACTCCTGAGCAGAGCGCCCAAGATCTGGAGGACGAAATCGAAATCCTTAATCCCCTCGAATCTGCACGACGAGCCAGGAACCGAAAAGCAAGAAGTGAGACTCTCCTAAGTGACGGAGCCTCTACCGCCATAATCTCCAAGCGTAATGCTGAAGTGTCACCCTCAAGATCTTCCATTAGATCTGGTGTTCTCTCAGGAGCTTCGACACCCAAACTGACACCTGTCAAGCGACTGCGCAGACCAAGTAGCCGAAGCTCGGTCGTCGCTCGATTCGGTCCGAGTTGGCTGTTGGGTGCTCTGACTACACGGTCACAACTCAGTCTCCCGACAGCAGCCGCTGAGACTGTCGCACGTACCGATGTGTCCTCCGTCAGCGGTAGTCGAGTTTCCTCCCCATCCACGCTGAAAGGACCTTCGGTCGTCTCTCGAGCTATACCAGGGGCCCCTGTTGTACTACCTGCTACTCCTTCTCCCTCTAGAGAATTCTCAAATGTCACACAACCCTTACCTATCGCACCCCGACCCGCTCGTATAGTATCAGAAGACGACCTCGGCAAATCTCACCGAAGCTCTGTAAAGGAGAAAGTCTCCAGGTCAGAGAATTCGTCATGGGGCAAGGTAGCTTCGTTTAATAAGAGTGCTCGACACGTCACTGTGAATCCGTGTAATCCGAATGAGAATCCTATGGCTTTGACTGGGGATACGAGAAGATGGCAACATGTGCGACCTAGACCGATGAAAGACACTCATCATCTGGTCAAATGGACTAGTCTCTGTACACCAGCATGTCTACCGTTGACCACAGACTACATGCCTACTGCTAGCGAGCTGCAAGAGTTTTACGAAGCGAATTCTTATGATATTGCTTGTTTCGCCGATCAGCTTTCTTTTCTCATTCGTGCTGATAGTGCGGCTCACAATCTTCCTCTGGCAATCATGCGAGAGATGGCCTCCCAACGTTTGACTCGTAAGCTGTATCTCTGACACAGATCGAGACAACACTCATGAACAGAAAATTTTCAATACATAGTGTTACCCCATCAGGCAGCGGTGGAGATGGACGAAGCGCTCTCAACACATCCAACACGCAAGGTGCTCCTTCCTGGTGATTCGACCCAAGCTGGTCTCCGTGCTGGGGGAGCGAGTGAGGTGTTACGTGATGCCAGTGGGGCTATCTATCTCTCATGGTCGAACCATATCCACAGACTGGCATTCGACTCGCAAAAACAAAGTGTCACCGTGCAACGGTTTGTGAGGAAGATAAGGCATACCACGGAATCAGAGAAATATACTTGCTTAGTATGGGCCAGTCAGATGAACGGATTTAACGAGGCTAAGGCGACTTTCCATTATCCTGTGAGTGGTTTGTCGCTCACGACTTCCAGTAATCTCCAACATCCCACTGCTCCTACCCATACGCTGTGCTTGAGACCGTCAAGGGATATGGATGCTCTTGATTCGTCGCTAGAAGTTCACGAAGCTGATTTTATGCTGATACACAGAACGTCGAAGCAAGACTCAACTTCAATTACCTTGATCGTCTTATCGCCGGAGAAGAAGACCAACTCACACCTTCCATCAAATACTGGCGCACCCGATACATACTCATCCCTTCTGGAAAAGATCCATCAATGTCACAAGGTATCGTACCTTCCGGTGAAAACTTCAATACCTCGGAGATTCTGATGGCGGGAGCTTCCAAGGTTCTCGAGATATTAGAGAGACATCAATGGAAATCCCCTACTAGAGCCAAACGACCTTTACGGTTGATCCCGACCACTTTTGATCCTTCCGCTTGCGTTCTGGACGAAGGACTCATGACGGAGTTGGAACGATTGGTCGAGGGGAAAGAAAAGGGAGATAAGGTTAAAAAGATCGCAGGGCTAACTTTGCAAACAGTGGGAGAGATGATGTGTAAGCCTAATAATGGGTTGATCATCAGAGAAAGATGGTGGGGATGTGAGTTATTTGGGTATTTTATATCCCCCTTAATCCTTGCGAGTCGTGAGGAGCTTCTGAGCTGGGGATGGAGACATATGATTGGAACGAGGCAAAATTGCTAATGTATAGTCAACGTGCATGAGGACTCGTTCAGTGGGGAGATTTTCTGTGAATGGCTTGTGAACACATTTGAAGATATCGAAACTCGTGAGCAAGCTGTCGAATGGGCTCGATCTCTTTTTGAAAAAGGTCTGATTGGTGAGTTGTTCTTCAACACAAATTTACGATCCGACTTCAATCTTGGCATCTAAGAGTACAAGTCTGTCCCTGTCGCAAGCCATCTATGATCCTCTCTCTGTGAACGCTCTGTGAGATGCGGGGGTCGTGTAACACTGCTGAGTTCTAGAACACGTCGCCAACGCCCATGGATTCTTCGATTACAATCATTTTTTCTATCGTCTTCGTCCGACGTACGACATCAACGCATCCAAACGAAAACAATGGTTTGGTTCTGGTTCTGGTTCTGCCATTTCTTCCAATACAACAAATAAATCACTCACTGGTCCTCGAGATTTGATCGAACGTCATGCGGCTTTATCAACTTCACCTTCTAGTGTTCCCGTGGCTAAATTGACGGACGCTCCTCCGAAGAAAAGGAAAATAAGGATGAGTCAAACGACGATTATCGATCTGGACCCTAGTAGGAAGAGTGATAGAGCTGAAGTGGCGATTTTACACGCTGATGTGATTCATAATGCTAGAAATGCGTCAGTCCTTTTACTTCTTTCCCACGTTTTGTTTTCTCTTTCCATCTCTTCTAACAATAATCCACACTATCAATCATTACTCAATGGTATATGTTTAGACTCTTGTCACTTTCTCTTCATCTCATTTCACATTTCCTACTGTTCTTTCGGATGAGAGACAAAGTGAGGATGATAGCATTCCTTCGAGTCAGAACGGGATCGTTTGTGGAGAAAGGATGAGATTTTAGTTCAAGTATCTAACATGCAGATTCCATTTCGAACTGAATTGGTTAGGTGTAACAGCAGGTCTTTTAGATGAACTTCGACTTAAATGTTCAGCTCAAGCCGAACGTTACGCACTTCGTTTCGTCGAAGCTCCAGTCGAACAAATCAAAGATGTTTCACTTAAATCAGCATATCGTCAACCTATCCCTATTCCATTAGCTTTATCTCCTCCTATAGTACCAGATCTTCATTTACGTTTAGCAGAACATGGTACTGGACAATCATCAAATTTCTTTGAATATTCAATTTTAACACAAAAATTCGGTTTCGTGTTAGATGTAGAATCTTCAACAAGATATCCAGATAATATAGAAGTAGAATATTCTTATAGAGGTCAAGTCAAATTTGAATATTCACAATTTTGTCATAAGAGTGGATTAGCTTTAGTACAATGTTTAGGTGGTGAGAAAGGTTTTTTATGGTGTGATAATAGATTATTCATTGCCGCTCCACAAAGAAGAGGACAAGAAGGTTTAGGAATAGGAATGTCAAGTTATCCTAATGCACCTTTAGCTTTAAAGTTGAGTAAACAGGAAGAAGCAAGATGTTTAAGGATGGAATTGGAAAGTTTTTGTAATGATATTGATGGTTTGAAAAAGTTTTACGAGGAAGTTTTGAATGGTTTACCTCTTGTACCGGAGTCTGTAAAGTTGGAAGGGGAGAAAAATGAGAGGATGGAGGTAGATGGGGAGAAGGATGAAGGTGGATGATTCCATTTCCAGATCTGGATAAATTGATCGATTTCTGTCAAGTTTTAATGGAGCTGAACTTTGTAATGGTACGAGTACGTATAGTGTTGTAGAGGAGTATATATTGAATCGTGCACAATCTTGCATATCACTGAAATTTCATTGGAATCTACGACATGTCACCTATAACTGAATAGAATGATTGGGGAAGGATTGATATACAAATGATAATGTACTAGTACTTCTAACTCAACCCCTACTGTCACTGTCCGTTATCGATCGTCTTCGTCTTCTAGGACTGATACTTCTCCTAGGTGACCTACTCCTCCTCACAGGACTAACAGATCGACTGTCTCTTCGTCGACGTACCGGAGAAGGTCCACGAGATCGACTCGAAGTCGAGTTGGTTCGACTGGAACGCATGTTTCGTCTTCCACCATGGTTGACATCGCTATCGCTATCGCTCGTGTATCTTCTTCTGGGTCGTTTGCTTTTGTTTCGATCGTCATTGGAAGGACGACTGTCACTATCACTATCGCTGTTACTATCGCTGTCGCTGGAAGAGGAAGAGGAAGATGATGGAGAAGGAGATTTCCGTCTATATGTCAATTCGTCTTCAAACTTGATATGATCCTTGATTTCTCTCCTCCACCACTTCCTCGGCTAGAATTCATCTCGTGTTGCGCATTCGACACTATCATTCTGGAGAATCGTCGATCAATTGACTGCGAAGGCTCAATCATGGGTGAGTTTCAGTGATGATGGGAGGGATGCAATCACTCACTTCTCCTCTTTGACTTTCATCCTAGCCCTTTGTTCTTCCTTCGCTTTCAAAATCTTATCAGCCAACCCTTCCCTACTCTTAGGTCCAACTTTGAATTCTTCAGGTAATTCGACACTAGGTTTATCCCGGACTTCCTGACCTTGTTTCAATTGTTGAGTACGAGAAGGTCTAGCGAGGTATGGACGTGGATTGGTACATTCGTATGTGTGATGACCTAGTTTGAGGCAACGCTGAAGGTCAGGACGGTTACATTCGGTTAGTCTGTGTGATTGGTTTGTTGATGTGTATGTTGGTTGATGTGAGGTCACGAGAAGGGTGGAGCAGTACTAAGGTGGGAAAGGAAGATGGAAAGAGTGATACTGGACTAGAAATGAGAGGTTAGATTGGAAAGACTAGGGAAATAGCTCTAGTGGAAGGACGATGGATAGACTCACTTGACATCGAGTGTTGGGACCGGCCTTGTTACTGTTCAAAAGTTGTTTAGGACCTCTGGCATACATGACGATGATTTTCCAGATGATATGATGTTAAAACTATCGCTAGACGGGATCACGACCAAGTAATTTCGACTCTTGATGGGGAGGGAGTTGTACCCTTAGCTGAGGATGTTCAGGTAGTCGTAGCCTAGGTGGTGAGTGAAGTGGGAGAGTGAAAGCGAGAGAATCTAACAGGGGAATGTTATTCGCTCCCCCCTCTTTACCCCCTTTTCCGACGGAAACAAACTGGGGATTGATCTTCTTTGATGGACAGTGCGACGTCCAAGGGTGGACCATATTTTTACCACATTTGGTTTCCCCTCTCACACAATCTCCTTCTCTTCCTCTATACTATACTACTCTCTTCTCCTCCCTCCCACACACTTTACTCACTTTTAGAACTCACTCAACCCTTCCTCTTTTCTTCCTCTTCACTCCCTTTATCATCCCATATCTACCTTATCGTTTTTTACAACCCTTCCCCCGCTTACTTCTTTTTCACATTAAACAAACCATGTCACATACACTCCCTCGACAACCTCCAATGGCCAGTTTAGGTCTTTCCACTCCACACTATCATTACACTTACCCATTAGCTACTACACCACCTTCAAGTACATCATCACCGACTACTATCGAATCAACAACTACCGCCTCCACACCCATTTCAACATTCTCAATGCCTTTTAACGATCCATCTCCCGTTTTACTTCCTTCGACTTTCCTCCCATCTTATTACCCAGAAGGGAGGAACGATTCAACTTCTCTTCCATCGTATTCCTACAATCAATATGACAACTTCAATATGGTATCCTCATCTTCTAGTCATACCTTGTTAGATGGGATAGATCTTGGTCCATTATCAGGACCTTCACGAAGATCACCCAAGGAACCTAATTACGAAATCTCTCCTGTAGCATATACCAGTTCTTTGGCTTCTTGGCCTAGACCTATCGCTCCTGTTCCTTCTCGCAAACAAAGTCATGTGTCATGGGGTGAAGATAGGGAGGGGCAATCCCCTATCTCAAGATATTCCCCAAAACATCCTTCACCTTTGGGAAATCAATTGTCGGACTCCGACAGACCGACCACTCCACCTTCCATGAGCAAAATGATGGGTGGACGACGGTGTCCTCAACAACAAGAACAACAGAACGGAGTCGTCGAAGTCGGTCAGCAGATGCATATCGTTCATAATGGACAATCTTCCATGCAAGAATTGGAATTGCAAAGTAATTCTTATCCTGCCAATTTATTTGGGAATCTCAAACTACCCGAGAGAGCTGTTGAGGAGCATCCAGAAGGAGTGACAGGAGAAGAATATGCTCAGGTAAGTTTTCTTGTCCTTTAACATTTCCCATCTTTCTCCGCGAATCATTTCCTAACCTAAATCGAAGATTGCCCATCACTATCATCGCCACCATAGATCTGACTTTTTTTGAGTTTCACATCAAAGGAGGTATCGAAAGAAGCGAATGTTTACTGATCAACGATGTCAATACTGATCATTTAGGCTTTACAAATGTATTCACACATCACAGCCGCTCTTCCACACTTACGTCCCTCTTCTCAACCTCAAAATGGAGGACAACCATATTCCACCCTTCTTCATCTATCTGCCGAGGCTATGCTTTTACTCTCCGCTCGGACAAGTCATTCAAATATGAAACGTCCTAGTCCCGTCGATAATCCCGATCAGATGACTGGATCATCCAGTCCTATCGTCAACGATGCAAGGTCTACAAGTAACGCTGGAAATGTACCGATGAAGAATCAGCCGAAATGTTTAGGGTGTGGAGCTACTGAAACGCCTGAATGGAGGAGAGGTCCTATGGGTCCGAGAACTCTGTGTAATGCTTGTGTAAGTTAATTCATGAGGGTTGACAAGGGGAAATTTGCTGATAAGTAGGGTTTGGTACATATGAAGTTACAACGTAAGAAGAGAAAGTTGGAAGAGAAGGCAGCAGGTGGGAACTGATGTGTCTGTCAAGTATTAGCCATTTCTTCTATTTTGGGAGTATGCGGAATGTACATCTCTGTGTAGTCGGGCTTTTGTCAGGATACTTGTATATTGTTGTGCCATATTGTGTGTTACAGAGATGATTTTGGGCGTACGAGTACTCGTACAATATATTTTCACAGGAATACTCAACTGTATTGCCCGGGACTTACTCAGGAACAGGAGAGAGAAAAGGTCCAGAAATGAGAAATGTTCCACTGAGAGTTCAAGGAAAAGAGAAAAGAAATATAAAACATAGAACTAAAGCTAGAATGTCCCCAAGATATCAATCTCAAACTCATTCTCAATCTTCAGTCAAATCAATAACCTCCATATCTTTCCATTTCAACTTCCCCGGTCTTCCATGTCCCCTCCACCGTTTGTTTTCTGACGAGATGACGGCCCGTGGATTTTGAAAAGTTCTTGGTTCACGCGCTTGATCCGTCTTCAATCTTCCAGATCTCCTACTATTTGGAAGTCCGTCTTGTCTGCATCCCTTCAGACTACTCTCATTCGGGGGGTTTACAGTGGGAGGGAAAAATCTGGAAAATTTGGTCGTGAATGTGGGTTTAATTATTTCTCCAGTACTTTTCTTAATCATCTTTATATATCCTTTTGGTTCTTCTTCCCATTCCCGTAAATCTTCTCGCCTTCCTAAGTTAGTAGGTTGTTGAGTTCCAACCAATTGCCTATTTTCGAATCTCTTTGTCTGACAGTAAAATGGACTGTTGGTGTCGTTGGGTTTTAATCGTTTCCCATCAATCATCTCTATCTCATCGTATTTCCGTTTCTCAGAAGTTAGTTGACCATCAAGATCTATTCCGATCTCAGTCAATTCCTCATCTCCCAATTCTCTTCCCTCCCCTGAAGATGAAGATGAACATGGACCAAGACCAAAGTCGTCTTTAACAAGTTGGTCCCCTCTTGTCGTAGCGGTGTCTCTCACTCCCAATTTCACCTTCGAATCTACACCATTGGTCTTTCCCTTTCCCCTATCAAATCCTGAAATGGTCGAAGTTATGTCATTCTGTTCATCCTGTCTCACCAACACCTGAGATACAGGAGCCCAATTAGCAGCGGTGACAAGATTGATAACCTTTTTCGGTTTTTCCATGATAGGTACAATCCTTTTAGTAAGTCTGATCTCCTTTTCCGGCTTTTTTTCAAAAGCGAAATCCCTCACTTTGATCTTTCCTCTTGTCGGCTTTTTTACTTGTCTTTTCCTTGCATTTTGAGGCGGGTTGAAACTGACGACATTGTTGATGGAATCGGACGATCCAAATGGAGCGCTGAGGACGAGATCACCCGACGGAGAGGGGTTAGAAGCATCGAGTAATGGGATCGGGTCAGGCTTATGAGGTACGCCTTTCCTCGGCTTTCTCGGTTTTCTAGTCTTTTTAGGTCGACCGGGATCGAAACGTTTAGGTAAATGATCAAGGAAAGATAAATCGACAGATTGAGAATATCGTATCTCTTCAGGATCAGGGATAAGGGAGAGGATATGATTTAGAACTTCTTCATTTTCTTCAGGTGCGATTGTCAAATCCTGATCCCGCTGATTGAAGTAATCATCATGTGGATGGGGTTGGGACTCGGAACTGAAGAATTCCGGAATGCGAGTTTGAGTGGTCGGGTATGAGGAAGTCGTTGATGGTTGTTGTGCAACGTCGGTGACTCTGACGGGTTGATATTCCGTCAGTGGAGGTGATGAAGTGATAGAATCTTTTAGAAGGGGGAGAGTATGCGGAAGGGGATTTAGAGTAGGCGTCGGTATCGTGGAGAGTAACACGGGACTTGGGTGTGGGGTTCCAGGGTTGGAAGGTGGGGTGATAGCGATTGTAGGGACGAGTGGTATATCTTGATCTTGTGCCAACAAGGTCATCGAGGATAGATCATGTGGAGATGCGACGAGTTTGGTCCATTCTGGTACGGGAGAATGTAAGTCGAAGGAGAATGTGTAATCTTCAATTGATCCTTCAGGGGAAGAAGATAAAACTTGTCTCAAGGATTGCTGCACATCATCAACTCACTTCCGTACGTTGATAGAGGAAAGAGAGGAGGACGTACGGCTATCTCCTGCTGATCTTGTCCAACGGCGGTCATCAGGTTACACTGGTGTATCTCCGGAGTAAGACAAATGGATGGTTCATTGATGATCCCATTAGCCTGGAGAGCAAGTCGAGTGCCATACTATCTCTCAACCCTGTCCTATTCCCTTATTCACTGTCCGAGTGCACTTAGATAGGAAACATAAGAGGGACTCACTTCGAACTCGAAAGTGAACCACGGTTCAGTCGTATCTAACACAACTCCCTTTTCCAAGTAATTTGACAATTCACTTTCACAAGAGAATTCTTGGGTGTAATTGAGTGTTCTGAGGTAAACCTCACACCATTCTGGTCAATGAGACAAACAGGCTCACGGTCGACCAATATAGTACGTCATCTATGTCATCAGCCTGTTTACTTGTCTGTTGACTTACCTCAGAGCTGATGGTTGGGATTTGTACCTCCTTTACATCGGGTAGAGGGGGAAATTGAGCTCGATAGAATTTTATTGATATTTTCCCTATTGTTTCCGAGAGAGTACCGACCAAAAGGTTCTCTTCCTCATTATCGGATGGATCGATCTACTCATCAGCTCATACTGCTTCAAGATACTTGAAGTGACGCTTCAAACCCATCATTTCATCGCTTCATCTACTGAGAAACGGAGGAGACGGTCGATGGGTAGAATGATAAGAGGGGTTAAGGTGAAGGGAAAACACACTTCCCTACTGTTTATACATAAATCAGCGGTCGTGTGATTGGGGATAGGATCAAACTTTTCGATCCGAACCTCCGAACCAGGTGACACCTTTTGAGTCGGTAATTGTAATCCGTCAATTTCAGACAGACATAAAAGATCACCTGACCATTCAGGAATATGATCAAGTGTAGGACGTCGGAGGACCAGTTTAAAGTCCTGAGGTGTCAACCAAATCAGTCAAGACTTCTCGGCATTGTTGGGCTTGTTAGGATGAGTTTTCGTTGGTATGTCTGTGATAATGGAAGAAAAGAGTGGACGATGGACTTGGGAGGTTAAGTTTGGTGAGATGCATCGAAAGATTGACTTGACCGATTGGTATTTCCAGATACGCTCTGTAAGTCGGACAACACCATAAAGACTTAGGAAAGAAACGACTGCTATGCTCCACTAAATCTCAGTCTGAAGATATTCACGAGGAGTGAGGGAGACTTACAACAGATCTTACCATCGGCTTCCAACCACACCTGAAACTCAGCCCATCTTCTACTTCGGAGATTGGAGTACGCACTTCTACTTCACCATGCTCTATCTTGGCTTTCATCTTACAGTAAGAGAGGTGACACCGCAAGAGACACAGTCATTGACAAACTAAGATGAGTTGATTCAGTATTTCCAAGATGGGAAGGATAAGTGTCAAAACAAATGTGATGACTGCGTGCGTCAGGGCGTTATCCGGTCAGTCGCTTTGGTGAGGTGACTCATTCGATCAGTGGATTAGTACATCCTAAATATCCCAAATACATTCAGATCCCCTGCCAGTCCTCCAATCAAACGATGAGATGTATTATGTAGCTCGAAGAGTCTTGCTCTTACTCCTTCGTAATGCGTAATGCCCATTGAACGCCATTCTGATAGCCAAAAACCTCACGTCTAGATCCGAATGTCCAGCGGCGAGATGACAAAGTGATATCACACGATCTTGAAAGTCGATACTACTTTTCTTGACTCGTTCTCGGATGGAACGGAGTTGATCTTGCGCTCGACCGGAATCGTCGGGTATCAAAGCTGGGGCGAGACCTCTCGAGTCATCACGAAGACGGTCGAGACGAGTTGCTTCTGCCAGACACCAGGAATAGAGTTCGTCCTGAAGGTCAGCTAGAGCTTCCCGTGCATGAATCTAGGTGACAGATCCTATGATAAGATATTCAGACCACTCGATGTGGCCTCAAGTCAATGAGAGCAAATACTTGGGACTGGATGCGAGGATAGGGCATCAACAAGCAAGGGATACGGATTGTAACTCACCGTAGCATCTCGGAAACTCAGAATAGCGGTCAAAGCCTCTCGGACGAGATCGAGAAGGATTTCCTGATGCATTAGTCAACGTGTTCAAATGGGAGGGTTCATGAGTCATACTTGTTTGTCCCGCTTGTGACTTAACAACAACACTTTGCGAGCTACTCGATCCAAATACGTTCGATGGGCAGAGATAAGAGCATCAAGATCACCCTCTCTCTTCGATGTAAAGTCGGCTAAACTTTGCCAAGAACATTCTATGACTTCGAGCTGACAGAAAGCTTGGAGTTGCCGGAGAAAGTGAACCATCTCAGCTTGCACGACACGACAATGATGCCAGTCGTTAGTGAGGCCTGGGAGTCAGTCATGTTCCAACATGCACGACCTCCTCCAACCCTCATTTGTGTCCTACACATTTGACGACTATGTCAGAGGAGAATTGTTGTTTCAGGCAGGCCTGTCTTATGTGGTCCGGGTTCGGTGACGCATGTGAAGGTGTGATCTTGAACGAGACCAACGCACCAGGTATTCGCTCAAACATTCTGCTACCAGACGTCACCCTCATCCAGCCTTGCGTCAAAGCAGCTTCGACCCTCTTCAATCTCCATAAATGATGAAATACACGCTCATACTCCACCATGGCTTTGTTATCCAGTACAGCGTTCAGAGGAGCCTCAACTTTGTATTCCAGGGTAAAGCAATCCCATCCTATTTCACCATGAGAGTACTCCAGTACACGTGCGTCCAGTCGACGTAGGACATCGGGAGGGTCGTATTGCGCGTTTGAGGATCGGATAGCTGTTTCGAGGTCGGAGGTGAGATGATGACGATACAGGCTAATGGCAGGTTTGCCTAGACGTGGTCTGAGATGAGCTTTCATCCCCTTCAACCCTGTTGCCACTAAACTCCTCTCCCTCCCCGGAGGGGGAATGCCAAAAGGTTTGGAGACAGACTTGACGGGTATGCAGAGGCGCGGACACCATGGTGGTTGAAGTGAGCGGTAGCAACGGGGCTGCCCAACTCACGATAAAGCTTCCATGAGCAGTTCTGCGAAATCCCCCGCACCCAGCATGAGGTACGACTTCAGCGCTTTCAGGTGATCCATCAGGTTGAGCTTGTCGTAGAAGATTTCCAATAATCTTTGACTGGCGATGGAATACGCGTCATCTATCGATCTTTCCAGCCCAGCCAGATCACCATATTTCAGGGCTTTCGGTCAGCTGGCGAAGAGCTCGATCACGTCCAAATCTCTTACCCTGGCCTGCATTGGCTATCTTGGCCTGTGTTTCAATCCAATCATTATCGTGACAGTTGTACCGAATAAAATTCAGACTTCTCCCTGTAGAGAAGATCTGACATCAACAATCCAGTCCAATGCTTTGACAACACAGATTCACTGACCTTCTTAGCAAACTCTTCGCTCACAAAGCCCGGAACCATCTTCTTCACAAACACATACTTCTTCTCCCACACCTTATGTGCCTCATCAGGACCCCCAGCAGCATCCATGCCACCCTCAAATCCGGTATCTCCAGGATTATATGGACTTTCTCGACCGACACGTACCGACGCATCAGGGTTGAGCTGTACAAAGAATTCTTGAAAGGGGTCATGGAGCTCGCCGGAGAAGATCCACCGTTGTAGAGTAAGGAAGAATGGTTTCGAAACTTCTTCCAAAATACGGTCCATGAACGTCCTTACCAGGGGATCACCATGAGAGGTGCTAGCGTGGATGTGAGACACTAGAGCTCCGCCGTGTAATGCTACATATGAGCGAGAGAATGGTCACATACGGAGAAGGATATACGTACATGTCGCATCGTCCACGGCATTGGTCATGAGCTTGAGCTTGAGCCTCATTTCCTCAGTCCATAGCCCAAGGCGTAAGAGTGTCAACCTGGACCCCTCAGTTTCCGCAGTAGGACTGTTGGCTTCAGGTTCTCCGAGCGACATTTGTGACTCGAGGACTGCGAGCAGACGGTGATACTCGGACAGCTCGTGATGAAGGAAATGACATAGGCTCTGAAGACGGTCAGTTGTGAGTGACCCTTCGTGAGACTGTGTACTCACTTGCTCCGTCATCCCCCCCTTACTCTGGCCCGCTTGATGGGTCTCCAGGAAATGTGTCACTCTTCTGTACAGCATTCCCATCTCAGATAGATCTGCAAGCAATGTGCGTATGGATTGTGAAATATGCCCCTCCTGTGAGTAAGCGTCTCATCTATAAAGGATCCCGGTCCCCCGCATACCTTGGTTTCATCAACGATGATATCAATGCCCACGACCTGATCCTCATCGCTAGCGGGTAGACTGCCTGTTCCTTCTTTGCCCAAAGAAAAAGCTGTGCCGTCACCAGCCTTGCCCTTGTCGGTCAAATACGGATTCTGCTCGTGGGGAGGCCTGAGGGCGAAGCGAACATAACGTCCGTCTATACCTTGGAGGAGATACAAACAATCCCTTAAAAGTAGGACGTCTGGGAAAGGGGGTTGACCTGCTATTATCAGATACATCATTTACTGGCGCAAGGGCGGACAAACCGTTTGATGTTCTCCATGCCTTCAAAATCTCAGCCTTACTCTTGCCCTTCCCGCTCCAGGCGGTGAAGTTTAGCCCATTGGCTTGCACTTCAGCCAGTGGTGTCCGAGAAGAAGACGAGACTGGAGTGGTCTGCGTGGCAGGAAACACTGGAGCTCCTCTTAGTGAGGATTGTCCCCCTGACCCAGAGGTGGAAGCTGGGTTGACCGGGTTCATATTTGACAGGGCGAGGAGGAATTGAAGATGAGGAAGAGGAGATGTCAGAGTCTTCTGTCGTCGATTCAGCTTGACAATCCATAATAGTCCAGGTACGCACCCCCTTTTCCAACTTGCTCCACAAGGCTCCAAATCGAAGAGCTCTGCTTGATGGCCCTTCTGCATCGTCATTCCTTCCTCCAACTCTTGAACCTGGCCGCGACTGACCCCTTGCAGACATCAGCAACATCCTTCTCGCCTGATCCGGCAAAGTTGCGAGGGACACGGGTGTGGTCGACGGAGTTCGTACAGGATCCATGAGCTCCTCACACAGAACGAGGAGCTCGTCGACCTTCGCCCGGCGAACCCTCTCTTCTCTGTCATCTTCAGCTCTGCTGACCGGTCGGGAGCCGGCTGTCGACGGGCGACCGTTACTGTTTCGGGACTCAGAAGGGAGACGTCGGCGGCCTGTCGGAGCTAAAGAAGGAACAAGAGAGTAAATAAGAGACTCTAGAGAAGAGCTCGAGCCAGAGCTAGAAGATTGCGGCCGAGACGTCATGGTCCTACTGGAATGTCTCTAACCTCTGAATCTTCAATGCCTGTTGGTGTGGATGGTGTGCAAGCGTGAGCGGCGCGCGTAAACGCGTTGAAGCGGCCATCGCCGCTCAATTTCTGTTCCCGCTCGAGGGGTGAAACTGTGAAATGCTCCACGTACTAGCGTTACTCGATGTACCGATGTCTTCTTCTACCCTCTCTTCTGCCCATCCGACCAGAGTATTAGCGTACGCCAGCGACCAGCCTTTGCTGATCATGCTCCAAGGGGGTGGCGCAGTGCTTATTGGGACTGCGTCGCCTTCATTGGTAAAATTAACGTCAAGCCGGCGATTGAGCAAGAGAGCTAATGAAACAATCTCGCAGGAAGTGGAACCGCTCCTCAACACGGCCTGAGCGCCGCTTTTCAACTGGTCCTACTTGATACACGCCAACTGCACGCCCTTGCTCATCTGACTATGTACCTCCACCTCTCGATACATCCGTTTAGTGGTGGCTCCAGTGGCGTTTGGCTGATCCTTCCCGATCGATGCCCGACGACAACGATTCACGACGTGACGCGACCAAAGGACCCGAGGGCGGTACCGTTTCCTATCATGCGGGGGGCCAAAATGATTGAGATCGCTCACGACTAGTCCCAAGTTGTGTCGAGTCAAAACGAGCACGTCAGCGGTATCATCTTTCGATTGTATCGTACTGCGAATTCCTCCATGCGAGCGTGCGAAACCCTTCACTGATCACTGAAACCCCGTCGGTGGAAGAGGTACAGTGCCGAACGGGACTTTCATTGTCGATCTCTATGCTCCTTCGTTGCATCGAAAGCTACTCTTTGCGTTAAATACGAATAGCGACAAAGTAATACGCCATACGAGGCAAGACCCGCATCAACCGACGCCGACACCGAGCGCCTAACACCTGCGCCTCTCCCCCACCGCACTACCGAGAAGGGTACTGATCGGCCCTTCCTAGAAGACGCCTCACGTTAGGCACATTCAGGTCCGACTGAAAGAACATTCAAGAAGAACAAGTCCCGCGGCCTGACCATCAAATGTCTAATGAGGGAGGTCTGGTCTTTCATTAAGGTGATCGGACGACCGACCGACTGATCGCGTTCTTCCGAAAAGTGATACAACCCCCTCCTCTCGAGTTCTCATCACTCATTGTTCATTGACGCATGGAAGTCACTCTGTGCGGACCGGGGGATGATACCGTGAGAACTCAACAATGGTGTCCTCAAGGACAGTAGAGAAGCGAGGTGACTGACCGGTCCGCCGATGCGAGCTGTAAAGGAGCGAAATTCGGGCGTAGGAAAGGAACATGGTGTGTCCGCACACTGCCAATGCTCTCAGACTGACGGGGCGCAGGCTTAGAACAAAGCAAAACTTGTGGTTCACAGGATCACAGGACGCCTAGAAATTGTTGCGATGCGCAATTGGCAATTGGGCTATATGATAACGAAGTAAAACGGGGCGGTTCGGTCCCTCGGCGCTCGCACAAGGAAAGAGTTACAAGATCCGTGTGTGCCCTCAATTAGACATTCGCTAAGCGTTACGTGCTACACCGCCCTGGTCATTGTACGTATGGGTCTTCGAGACGGCAAAGATAAATGGTCTAAACCACTAGACCGGTAGCTGATCTCGACTCCAATCTGACTGTCAGGGACCAAGCTCTAGTTCACTTCTAGTCTCTCTTTCTCTCCACAGTCGCTCACTTCAAACGCCGGAACAATCGTGATAGATTAAACCCAGGGCGTCCGTGCGGTCCGACTCTTGTCGATCCTAATTCCGGTTTCCGGTTCGGACGGTTCGTCACTTTTTTCTCCATCACATTCTTTTTTTTCCCTCATAGGGGGGAGACTCTCCTCAACCTAGACCTTTGACCATTGAAACTCACACGGCAGGCTCCCTTTCCGTTGATCCCGCGTCCCGCGATATCTAAGGACGTACCATCTGCTCGTTTACCACGACCCACGTTGAACACGCCGCTGTGGCCGACCAGCAACCCGCTGGCCGCTGTGACGTCCGGTTGAAAGGTGGTCAACCCCCACTTCCGTTGTCAAAAAGACAATCGGCTCGGCGTACGTCGGCGTGTACTTGGCCGATCCCCCGAGAGAACCGCCGATACCATTGAAAAACGGTCGCCGAACGAATGGTCTTATATTGACGTAACAATCAACCGCCCTTCCGACACCAAGGGACCTACTATAGTGGTTCGTATTCGACCCATCGACGCCGAGCTATCGACCACTACTTTCCAACCCAGTCGAACCACCGTACGTCATAGTATAAAGCTTGCTCCATCAACAATGGGCCCCTTGTCTCCTCCCCGCTCGGGACCCCTCTCTCCCGTGTCACTAGAATCCAATGACATTCCTTCCTTGTGCCTTCCTCCAATTTTAGCGTCACGCCTATCTCACTCTTTCCTCAAATCGCCCTCTCATCGCTATCTCACGTCTCGTGAGAGACGTTTCGTTTCACGAAATGTCCAGAAGATTTCTCATGCCCCCAAACTAGTCTCTCCTTACCAATATTCCCACAACTTCCCTTCAAAACGACTCCATTGTTCACACCCCCTCGCCCGTCGGTCACGCTGCACCACCGCGTGTAAGATCCCTTCCCTTCCGGCTTGTCTGGACATCGCCATTACTCCGACCTCGACCGAGCTTATGATACCTCCCCACAAGCTTGTTGATCGGGTTCATCTCCCTTCCCCGCGGCCGTCGACCACGGGTTCGGCGGACCGTTCCTTCTCCTGTCTTCAGAGACAGCAAGACATGCGAGGCGCTCTCCATCGGAGACATAGCACTGTAATCTCCGAACTAAACGAAAAGGAGCGGTTCGTACTTCCCTTTGACATCCCGAGTCCGCTGACGGACCCAGGCTAGATATCAACCATACCATTCATCAGTCGTTCCTGGAGCCAAACGAGTCCAGACTAATCGGTTCCCATCTCGCCTCTATTCACGCCACAGGGAGGCGGAGCAGAGTGCTGGATGTGGGCACAGTAAGTTGACCTTTGACTGTTTGAGGTGGGTGGGCTGATCGTTAGGGAACTGGCGAGCTTTATGATCCGTCTGGTTGCCCATGCTGATGAGACAGGTACGTGGGCTGTTGAATCAGGGAACAAAGAACCCTTCTCTGATATCACTGGGGTCGAGTGAGTCGGTCAATGTCTAACGTTGATTTCCCTATTGACCGACGATAGCTGTCAATGGACAAATTTCTCTCCGGGTATCTCTCAGCATGGCAATGTCGATTTCATGACCGTCGACATGACTCAACCCCTGACTGCCTTCCCTCGCGAAACCTTCGGTTGGTAATTTTCCTCCGAGCTCTTCCCTATGCCTTACCGACGCCCGGGGTACATTCTCGGGTCTCAGAAGTTTTTTAATAGCTACCGATCAAGACTGCTGATCCACAGACGTAATCCATGTCAAGTGTATGTTACTCGAGATTCCAAACTACCAGTCCTTCATCGAGCGCCTTGCTGTTATCTTGAAGCAGAACGGCTTGATGATTATCGTCGAGCCCGAACCCACATTCGTAAGTTCATTCACTTCGCATCGCTTTCGAGGCGCATAGTGACAGCGCACTGACCCCACAGCATAGCGCTCATGGTGAACTGCCAAAGTGTATGCGAACTTGGGATACATGTGTGCAAAACGCTTTTGCGAACCGCTCGAGTGAGTCGTTCTGGTGTTACCACGATGAGACTGATAAGAAGTTGACATTTCAACACCTTCACGTATGTTAGTTGCCCTCGAAGCTTCTGGCGTCTAGTCAGTGCTCCTCTCTACTTTTCCTGCGGTGTGGAATGTCCTGACCACAGTGCTTGTCCGGTGTACGTCTCCGAGGTTGGAATACCCTGTGCGGGTTATATGACAGGTGGTGAGTCTCTCGTCTCCCTCTGCTCCCGCTGACTCCAAGTGTATACTTACGTTGATCATTCCTCGTCTTGTGACATCCGTCTCTCTCCTGCTTTCAGCCCGAATCGTGACAGACTCGGAGACCGAGCTGCAGCCTTTGCTGATTCGTCAGAATGTCACCAACTTGCTAGGGCAGGCCGGATGCACTCAACCGTGATCGCTGCCAACATGAAGGCCATACTACCACGCCTAAGGGGGTATGGCTATGACGATAATGATTTAAAGCGATTGCAACGGGGATGTTTGACCGAGGTGAGTTGCTTATCTCCTACCTACGCCCGTTGCACTATCCCTGATCCATCCTCTCCTTCACTTCTCTCCGCTTGTCTTAGTCGGGCGTGCAGCAATTACCGTGCACGAGGGCTGACGTGTAAGATCAACAATCCCAGTTCCCGGTTCTACCAACGTCTCTTCGCCTTCTGTGCTCATAAAGTCACCCTTCGTTCTTAATCATTTCCTATGTTTTACATCTCGTTAGCCATTCGATATACCCCGCATCTCATATTACCTAAAATTGCCACGCGAAAGCATATGCCATGTCTCCAGATAGGTCTAAACCGGACGTTCCCCTTAGCTACACCTCGAACTTTTTCTTGACTGGGCGTTATACCGCGTATATCGGCGTGCTCAGACCCCTAATGTCGACTAAAAGCGATTATAAATATCATATGGACGTCCTGCAGGGAAGCCTATGCATTGTTGTACACCCATAGCTCTGTTCTTTGATACCCTGTGATCTTCTACCCCCTATGACTCCTTTTCAGTTCCACAGTCTCTCCCGCCTGCCGCCTGTCCACATCAGGCGCGCTTCCATCAGGAATGCGAAGCGGAACTCCCTAAGTTCACTCGGCAAAGTGGCTCTTGGTGAAACAGTGTGCCACACTGTCCTCAGCCCTCAAGAAAGGGGTCGCATTCATGCTCTTCGTCCGAGTAGACCTTCAGTGTCCGCTTCCGGTGACCAAAATACCACCGCTCGACTGGGATGGGTAGCACGGGAAGAAGGTATGTCGATGACAAGTGAGAGTAAAGTGAATTGTCCAGAAGCGTTCTGTCATCAGTGTCTGATGCTCTCATGGTCTGACGAAGTAATTGTATCATCTCACTTGCGGGTCGCTCATATACCCTCTCTGAAGCGATGGTTCGTAGTTCAGGGAGATCAAGACGAAACTCACCTTGACATAATCCGCTCGAACCTCCCCAATCTTATACGTACCAGGAGGTACCGTCCCCTTCTGTCGTCTTTCCACTTTGACGGGTTTTAAACTCAATCCCCCAAACATATTCCCCAGATTCAAACCTTTCTCAGGTACAGTTTTTATCTCTGGTAATATTTCTTTCTCTTCTTCTGGAGAGTTCACGATACCTAAATTAAGAGCAGCTTGACGGGCATATCCTTCAGCTAAGGCGTACCACCTTCTTGCCCATCCAAGAGTCTCAGGTTCATCTTTACCTCTACCATGCACGAAAAAAGTGAGGAGAAGATGATCTCTACCTGAATGAGGATGTCGGATTATACGATGAGCCAGAGGTGGGGAGCCTCGGACGGGAGCGGATGATTGAGGTGAGTGGGTGAATGTGAGTGGGGGAAGAAGATGAGGGTTGAGCTGAAATGTCAGTACAGTCTAACATACTCTTCATTCCTGAAACGTGGGCCACAGACCGGGAGATGGACAAAGTGTTGAATAGGATAAATAACGGTATGTTTTCGGTGAACAAGGCGTAGAGAATATAGGAGAGATGATGAGTACTCACAGCATTGGACGCTCTGATCAAATCTACAGCTTGAGAATATAACACGCTTGGTGAATTTTTGGCGAATAGTTCAGTGGTAAGGGCGAAAGCGAGGATGGCGAACAGTCCGAAACCTAGGGCGATGACAGTTATGTTTCCTGTTTGTTGGGTTGTTCGCCATACTTATCATTAGCGACTACTTCTCTCTGACACCTCTAAATCTTTTTGTCTACTGGGTATTTTGAGTCAGTCTCCGCTGTTTCAAAGTCCTACTGCGAAGAACTATCATGCAACTTTGTCACTGCATCGTTGAGGTTCACTCAAGATTGAATGTGATAATGAAGTAGGAGGACACAATCACTCACTTTTACCACCCAACCCAAGTTCATTCCATCTCTTCCAAGCTCGACTCCTTCCACCTGGACCTACACCAAGAGGAAAAGGTCCCACGGTCTCCTGTCCTAGTGGTTGTTTCCTCAAAGCCTCCGCGTCAAGTTTCGCGAATATCTCTTGTGCTGCTCTTGAAGAAGTGTTGGAGCTTGATCCACCGGAGGCACCATGAGAAGGAGGTGTGAACGGTCTTTCCGTATGAGTGGCATATGTCCGAAAAACCGAGGGGAATGATCGGGTGGTCCATCTTACTCTCTCATTTGAGTGCCCTCGTGGAAATTTTGACACCACCGCTGAGATCCTTGAGCTTTGAGGCAGCGAGATAAGGACAAGAAAGGGTCTCATTGGCATGTTTCGATAGTGATGGCGCGAGTTACATAGTCCATCGTTGACGAGTCACGGCAGATGGCCGGAGTTGGTGGAGGAATTTTGATTCCGCTCGAAAGTTCACGCTCTGTTCGTCTTGTCTCCCCCTGCCTCTCTTCTCTTCCCTCAGCATCACATTCCAACATGGCTGCAACAATGTATCAACGTGATCCCAGATCTGTAAGCTCGATGTTGCGGAAATGACAGAAGAGCTAATAAATAGGGCCTGTTCCTTGGTGGGACAAGAGTCAGTGGGGCGGAAATACGAGATCAGAATGGTCAGTAATTTTCTCACCTCCTCTGATGACGGATAGAGCTGAATGAGTAGTCATGGCTTGTCAAACCGTGTCAAACATCCTAAAATCTTCTCTTGGTCCTGTAGGGTGAGCTGGAAAATCTCTCTCAGCAAATTCTGGTAGCTGACTGAGTGTAGCCTCGACAAAATGTTAGTGGACAATGTGGGAGATGTGACCATCACCAATGACGGCGCTACCATCCTTTCTCTGCTTGAAGTCACACATCCAGCTGCGAAGATCCTCGTGTCACTTGCTACTCAACAAGATAAAGAAGTAGGGGATGGGACGACGAGTGTGGTGTTGCTCGCTTCTGAATTATTGAGAAGGGCGAATGAGTTGGTACGGAATAAAATTCACCCAACTACTGTCATAACGGGATATCGGTGAGTTTAGTCTTTTACCCACCATTCCTATGGCTGTCACTTCTATCATAACTGTCAAATGTCATCAAGAAAAGCTTTCATCTCACTTCACTCGTGTCTCTCTGATCTTTAAGCGATTTCGTGAACGACTGAGCGATTGTGACGTGGCTCACGCACAGACTCGCGTGCAAAGAAGCATGCAGGTTTATGGCTGAACAACTCTCCACAAAGGTCGACAAGTTGGGAAGAGAATGTCTCGTCAACGTAGCTAAAACCTCCATGAGTTCAAAGATCCTCTCTGCGTAAGGATTACCTTCCATTAAAGCATAATGATGGGCCCGCTGATGCGTAGCGACGATGATTTCTTCGCTCCTCTCGCTGTCGATGCCATGATGGCGGTCAAGACGATTGATCCCAGAGGAGAGAAAAAGTACCCTGTCAAAGCTGTCAACGTACTAAAAGCGCATGGCAAGAGCGCTAGGGAGAGTTTCATGGTCAAAGGGTATGCGTTAAATTGTACCGTGGCTAGTCAAGGTGAGTTACGCCCATCTTGTCTGCTGGCTGTTTTACTTCAGAACAACCTGAGTCATCAGGATTCATGTGAGAGACGACGAGACTGATCATTAAGCCATGAAAACACGAATCACCAATGCCAAAATCGCATGTCTTGATATCAACTTGGCAAAGCAACGTATGCATCTAGGAGTGAACATCACCATCGATGATCCCGATCAATTGGAGGCGATCCGGGCTAGGTGAGTAAATTTTACCCCTTGTCTTTTCTTTCTTTCTTCTTTCTCCTCAGATTCTTGTGCGTCTTTGACTTTCTTCTGGTCTGAGAAGGATGTCCGATTCAACCAGTGTGTTGAAACTTGTGAATCTCACTGACTCCGACAGGGAGAGTGAAATGGTCCTCGAACGCATACGCAAGATCCTCGCTACCGGTGCCAATGTTGTCCTCACTACCAAAGGTATCGACGACCTATGTTTGAAAGAATTCGTAGAAGCTGGCGCTATGGCAGTCCGAAGGTGCAGAAAAGAAGATCTCCGTCGTATCGCTAGAGCAACAGGAGCCACTCTCGTATCTTCTCTCGCCAACTTGGAAGGGGATGAAACTTTCGAAGCTTCTTCACTTGGATTCGCAGATGAGGTGGTACAGGAACGTATCAGTGATGATGAGTTGATCTTGATCAAAGGTACAAAAGCAGTCAGCAGTTCCAGTGTGATACTCCGAGGAGCAAACGATTATATGTTGGATGAGATGGAAAGGGCTTTACATGATGCGTTGAGCATAGTGAAGAGGACGTTGGAAAGTGGGAGTGTAGTTCCTGGTGGAGGAGCTGTGGAGACTGCCTTATCTATCTACCTGGAGAATTTCGCTACGACTTTGGTGAGTCACCTTCAACCGTCCACATCTACCTCTTTCAGCCTGCTCTTTTTGTCATGGGTAAACCATCCAAAATACTCAAATCTTGCCGCCATTGATTTTCACGTAGAGTGGGAAAGGTACTGGTAACAGTTCAAGTGGTGAGAGGTGTACGAGAGTGAAGTGGCGTAACGGGAATGATACGAATAATCGAGAGATCAGTTGGCCACTTGAGGAAGAGCTGACATTTAGGGCTCAAGGGAACAATTGGCAATTGCGGAATTCGCAGCTGCTTTACTTACAATCCCAAAGACTCTGGCTCATAACGCCGCGAAAGATTCCACCGATCTAGTTGCCAAACTCCGAGCTTATCACAATGCCGCACAAAGTGCACCAGTCTCGGATCCTCAACGTGGTCTCATGTTTTACGGTCTTGATCTTTTGAAAGGTGACGTTGTGGATAATCGTCAAGCAGGTGTGTTGGAACCTACCATCAGTAAGATTAAAAGTCTTAAAAGTGCTCTTGAAGCTGCTACTAGTTTATTGAGGATAGATGATAGTATAACTGTCGCACCTGAGAAAAGAGAGGAAGATGATGGACATGGGCATTAGATATCGATGAATGGGAGTGATGAAAGTGATGGAATGCATGAAGTTTTCATCTACATGACAATGAACTCATCAACATAATGTCAATTGAAAGTGATATGGTCATTGGTCTTCGTCGTTATCGTATTTCATGAATGACATCAAAAGACAGTTCCATCGCTGATAATATCCACTGGAGCTAATTCGTCAGCTTTTGCCTGATGGTCAAAGCGGTGAAGATGAGAAGGACTGGGCGAACTCAGTACAAATACTCTACTGATGCCGGATCGCACAAAGTCGGAAGGTTACATGATGACAAAGGGTATTTGAGAATAACTTACGACCACCTCCAATACGTTTAATCTTTGCAATTTCCCTGCCTCCTTTCCAAGTAGCAGCCTCCAAAACTTGAGCCAGGGATAAAGTTTGTTCGTCCACACCTAATTTGATACAGATGAGCTGGTGAATTTTATCTCTGTTCATCAACCAAAACTCAACTCACATTCTAATTCGTTCGGGAGATATGGAAGGTGGGGAATGAACTCACAGACAAATAACGGTCATAGCTCTCCATTCTACAACAGCGGGATGAGAAGGTTGTAATAGAGGAGGTTGATCATTTCCTTTAGGAAAAGAATCCGGAGGTAAAGTCTCAGAACGGATGATGATTACATCGTGATCTACCAATAGACCTCCATTACGATACTACTGTATCAGCTTGTCTTCCCTCTCTTTGTCAATTATCGAGTTGTGAGCTTCCATCAAGCTACTGACAAAAAGGTTCCTAACAAGATTGACTGGATCATGAAGTCATGAATTGTACGGATATACTGCACTTTACAGATGAATCGCGTACTGAAGTGATAAGGGAACTTGAGGAAAGTGGCAATATGTTTCAATCAGATTTTAGACTCACCTCTGGTAATCCAGTTTGACCTTTACCTCTATCAACTTTCCAACCAGCTTCATTCTCAATAGCATCCACAAGAGAATAACATAACCATTGTGTCAATTTATGAAAAGGGATAAATGAATCTCCTTCTTCTCTCTTTATCCCGGAAGATTCGAGGGAATGATCAAGTGAAGGACATGGCCATACGTCTCCCAATGGATAATCAGGGTAAGAAGGTAGGGTGGTACGAGAGGGCCAAATGGGAAGGAGTAGTTCGAATAGTGTTGACCAAAAGTTTGAGAGAGGGAGTATGATAGGTTTGTTTGATTGATCGAGATGTTTTTGGAAATAGTCTTGTTCAATCAGTATATATCAGATAAACCTCACATCAAAACCGGAATTCCCAACACCTTGTAAACCTCCTATGGTGTAGAAATTAGTAGGTAATCATGGAGGTAGTGATAATGATTCCGGGAGAAAAGAAGAATTGAAATCACTCACGGAGCATATCCCCAGGACGACCATTACCACAAATATCCGGTCTAGCCTGTAAAGCAGAACCGAGAGAAATGAGTAGATTACATCTTCCTTCAAGACCTGCCATAGGGTTGGAAGATGATACTTGAAGATGTTTCGTGAGAATTTCCACTGTCAACGATTGAAGGGCTTTGGCTGATATGTCAGATTTGAAAGGTATTACAAATGGGAAACCTCCTATGACATCCTGATAAAACCGAACTTGGGCCTTGAAAGAGAGAATAGATTAGATGTGATAGAAAATTGAACTCACCATCTACTTGGAATTTATTCCCCCTTTCACTCGAAAAGATCCCTTCTGAAAACATATGATAACTCGCCACTGCTAATCCTTCACTTCTCCCGCCTTTCCAAACTTCCTTTCCGTCGATTATCTCAGTGTACATCCAATCAGCTCCTGCTCCTGCGTCCAGCAAAACAGACACGAGGTACAGATCTATGAGAGCGGCTGCACGGTCGACTTTTCCTTTAGGAAAATCAGGATGAGAGAGGAGGATGGAAATACGATCTTGATTAGGTGAATAAAAGTGATTTCTCCTGCAATGAGCTGCGAAGTGAGCTCGTAAATCTTGTGAAGCCTGATAGATTGCCTCTCTTCTGCATCTTATCTCATGTCTCTACTCCCGTGGTACCGAATGTCACGGTCGACGGACGTAGTCTTGAACGGATAGCTCCCTGACATTCCACCAGGGCCCTCCATCCAATGAAGAGGGAGAGGTCACTGTTTTGCAGGCGGAGCTTAAAGATGGAATTGAAAGGGGTAAATGGCCTCAGAAATAGTATAAGCTCACGGGGTATCTAATAATAAGCTAGCTTACAATAACCACTTGGCAGAACGTAGCTTACTTTATCATATTTCGTCCCAAAATCACGCTACCATCAGCTCATTCCATGAATCACTAATCCCTCTACTATTTCAATCCGAATTGTAGTCCACGATCGACATGACACTTTGTGAAGGAATCACAAATATCCAAGTTAATCGATGAAGAGACAGCATTACATATTTTCTCTGGAAGGTTGAAGGGGCTGGGTATTCCACCAGTACGTTGAGGAACATATCGATTCCAGGCTTCGAGAGATGAGTGAGGTCGGAGAGTGCAAGTCATGGAAACGCTATGAGAAGGGGTTCGAAGGTGAGAAGATAGCTGTGAGAGTGCCACGGAGAGGAGATGAAAAAGGCAGAACGATGATGAGAGAAATTACTCACCTTAATAATCGCAACACAGAAATCAACCACTTCTCCCAACTTATCTTCTTTATATTCCCAATGATCCAACTTACCTTCTAGGGCTAATTGGTATATTTTCCCAGATCTCTCTCTCACCGCTTCGAGAGAACGTAAGTATGTCACTATAGGTGGTGTTGACATGGTATGTTAGTTGTGTGTTGTATGGTGGGCGTTGTGTGATGTGTAAGGGGTGACGTGTGATGTGTGAGGTGTGAGGTGGTGAATGATGATGAGCGGAATGGATGTGAGAATATCGGAGGTGTTACGGACATGACAAAGGAGAGATTTCCCCCCACTTTACCCCACTTTTGGCCTTCCACCCCGTCATCAGAGTATCTTGCTTGATTGGTGAATCGCTGGCACAACGCTCACGGCAGTAGACCCAATGACAAGTAAGAGCGACAGAGCGCATCGTACAACGATGACGAATGACCCCAAAAAACAGCCCAGTGCATGCAAATTCATTCACATATGCAAGATACCCAGATCATCAACATTTCTTCCGCTTTTCCCTCTTATTCACAAATTCCCTTCTTCCTTCATCACCAAATGCGCCACACTACCCCTCCACACGAAACTCAACGTTCCAGGTCACTCTTAAAAATCCACCAGAAGGCAAAAAGCACTAAGCAGGCAGAGCAACAGAATGCTATACACTATCTTGTGACGGGATCCAGATAAAATCCCATCATTAGAGATACAAGGTACAAAGACCAATGTCCTTTTGATATAATTATTTTTCACAGGCAAAGTAAAGAAGTTTTAGGGATGAATATTTTTTTAAACAGATATGATAATTTATGATACAGTTGGCGAATGTCGGTTCGTCTCCTTGGCGTCGTTGTTGATCTTTGAAGTTACTTTGAGATTCAGTTTGGTCGAACGTGAACAGAAACCCAAAGATCCCCGGGCGAGTTGGGAAGAGAATTGGGATGAAGGTGCGTAGTGGGGAAAGGTATGAGAGGTGGAGATATCGTCGAGACGAATGAGTTCAAGAATGAACGAAGAGGAAGAAGTGAGATAGGGGAATGGAAGGTTAGGCATTAGGTCGAACGGTCGTTCCAGCATACGAAGCCACTCTACTAAATCCCATTCTTCCCATCGTCCTAGCTTTAGCAGTTCCGAATATAGGTTGACCTATACCTCCCATCGATACCACTCGATTACAAGGAGAGTCATCCCTTGGGTCTGCGGGAGAAGAACTTTCATCATGATCTTCTTCCGTTATGGTCATGCCTCCTCCTCGTCTACCAACAGCTGCCGACGCTGCCGCAAAAGCTAATGCAGGACATGGTGGGAGTGTTCTTGAAGATGAAACGACTTGAGTCTCTCCATAAGTGAAAGATTTCGTTCGGGAGAATTTCCGAAAATCGTGTAAATCGGAATTACGACGATCGGAATGAGCTGGATCATCCATTGGAGTGTAACCTTGAGGTGTACATCGTTTAGGTCGAGAATTGTAAAAACCGCAATAACCCCCTTCGAGGATGTACACTTCTGGGAAGTATATCTTGGGGTAAGAGGCATTGTTGATGGTTCTATCCATCGCTCGGAGATGTTTGGCACTGGATGTCAGTCATGACTTCTGGATATCATAGCAGGAAGAGGCTGGTGGAGAAGAAAGATTCGAGGAGAGATGTGCCACAGGGAGAGATGACTTGGGTGAGGAGACAAGACAGTCTGTGTGGTCGTAGTGTGGGGTGAGAGCATAGAGGACACTTACAAAGTCGGAGCACGTTTCGCACTGAATTCACAATGAAAGACAAGTATCACTTGCTGGTTCGAAGCTAATTCCCCACTCCGACTTGGTCTAGGCAAGCAATCACCATTCGCATGAACACCGCTAGACTCGGACAACAACAACTCGTCAAGAGCGTCCATGCTTTTCACGTTGATAGCTCCATCGATGTGTCCTCCTTCGTATTCATAATCGAATCGACAATCCAGGACATGAAACCGTCTCATCTTGTCGGAATATCTGCCTTGAAGTAAATCATCCAATGTGTCAGCTGTGATCCTGACCAAACCATCTTCTTTGACTTTGTGACAAGGAAGAATCTTTCCATCCATTTCATTATCCCCGAAACCTGGTAATCCTCCTGGTCCATATGGACTGACTTTCTTTCCCCTTTGTCCAGGATTCGGAGGGGACATGACTCCTTCTCCGGTGGCGGCGATGGAACATCTCATTGGCTTGAAGTTGGGGGAACCGTCCGCACGTGGTATTACACGATTTCCGTATCGTCTTGCATATTCAGCATGAGCACCCATAGAAGGAGAAGCCTCATATTCACTCTCTTCTTCACTCATCTCAGGCATGTGAGGTTGGTCGCATACCGAGTACGCCCGACGCATGGGTGCTAGACCAGCACGGGGGAAAGTTCCTGTGGGAGCGGTGTTAGGTTTTGGAGCATACAAAATTGGGTAAGCGGACGATGCGGAAGTGGATCGATCGGTGGTTGTCAATGGTACTGGCAGTAGTGAGGGTCGCTTGTATGGTTGAGCCCTACGGGTGGCAATCGCACTCGGACGACCTGTACCGAACAAGGCCGCACTAGAAGAAGCGACTTTGTCCATGTTTCTGTTCAATCCTAAAGACGCCCTTTTGGCAGATGGCGAACTTGAAGGTGAGGCGGGGGAAGAGTCGATCAGACTACGTCGTTTGGAGGGAGGTAAAGCAGCGGGGCCAGCAGGTGAATCGCAGAAGAAGCTTCCGAGACCCGGTGATCCGTCTATTGACTTACCACCGCTGAAGGAGGGTGACGAGGCCACTATGGGTTTGCGACTTGGGACGGGCGAGTCAATGTCCATACTGTTATTCTGAAGCGGCGAGGACGATTTTGGAGAGAGAATGGGTTCAGTCTGAGGGTTAATCGAAGGAGACCTCATGATTAGAATCCTAGCTCACCTCTCTTCTAAACATACTGGGATGGAATGCTAATTTCCCGGTCCCAGCTCCGGTCTCTTCATTGGATGCGGTCCATTGCATGGGTAAACCTCCACGTTTGAAGCCTTTTGCATCGGGCACGGCAGGAGGCAGCATCATTCCCAAAGTCTTTGTCGCTCGCAGGGGGTTAGGAGGGGGCCTTGGGACGTTGAGTGATAATTCTCTCCCAAACGTACGACCTGATCCCAAAGTGTTGAGAGCAGACTTGGACTGGGTAGAAGACCGATAAGAGAGAGACGATTGCAGTGGAACTGGATCAGGGCGACGAGGCTTTAAAGTGAGCATGGGTGCAGATAACATGTTGGATTGTTTGGCTGAAGGAGAAATAGGCATGGACATTGACATCCCTAAGCTTGGTGATCTTGGTAAAGGTGAATCACAAGGTGAGAGACACATGGAAGAGTTGAACGAACGGTCGACATCTGGTAGTTCGCATTCGGTCTTTGTGGGTGAAGGAGCGGGAGACTGAAATGCCGAAGGAAAGGTCTCTTGGATGGGAGAGGATGAAAAGTCCATGATTGCGACTTGACCGAGTGATGATCTAGGAGAAGAAGGTGGAGGTGACTGATAAGGATTAAGGTGAAGACTATTGTCAGCACCACTGATAACAAGCTCATGACTACCCCCTGAGGCTTTGATCGAGAGGGTTTGAGAATGGGAAGCCCAAGGGGAAGGAGAGAAAACTTACAGAGAAGCGAATGGAGCTCCTTATGCTATCCCTGCATGGACACTACCAATGATCAAGTGTGCTAGAAGCGGAGGGTGAAGAACAGCTCGACACTGTCCTCTGACGACGGACTGGGTGATCGAGATGCCGACTTTGGGATTTTGTGATCGAGTTATAATGCTGCAAGGGGTAGTAAGCCGGGTTGAGGAAGAGTTGAGTGAATGGAAGCTCGACAGCGGTCGGCGCGTTGTGATTGTATTCTATCGTCTTTCTTTTCTGCTTACTATCTTCATTCAGGTCGTCGAGTGGGAGTCGTGAGAGGGAGTGAGGAGTCTATGGATAAAGAGAGAGGATGAGAATGGATGATGGGTTGAATGATAGACCAAGTGAGGGGAACGAACGGTGATAGGAAAGCTTGTGAGGCTGGTCGATTTCACCTTTGGGAATCCACTTCCGAAGGAACGAATGAATTAGACCTCTTTTTCTCGGCAATAGATAACGTGCTGGTCGATCCAACTCCACCTTTCAATCGATCCAACGGTTCAAAGATGACCCAACGGACCAACGAAGAGAGGGTCTGACCCTTTGACGGGGTTGAACGATTTATTCCGTGTAAAGGCAAGAGAAGAGGACGGACCAGGGGCGATTCGAGGTTGGGTTTCACGTCGAGGGGAGATATGTGCGAAGGGTGCAAATACGTCAGACGTCACAATACAAAAATGAGACTAAAGCAGGTAGAAGTAGGTATCTCTCACGAATCACCTGCTGGCCGGCAGTGGGAGATCCAAGGGAGGGGGATCTGTACTACTGTGGCTCAACTTTGCTCAGGGAGTGTATGGGATATGACGAGAGTGTGGTGAGAAATGAGAGAAGGGGAAGGAGGGAAGGAATCGTGGGGGGGGGATTAGTTATGAGGCTGGAAAGAAGATGATATGAGTCAATGGATGAGAGATGGAAGGGTGAGTTGGGTGGGTTGAATTGGGGGGGAGGTAAAGTTGGTCGATAGGGTGGATGGTCGATCAACCGGTCAACCGGACCAAATCAACCCACCCACGCGACTGCCTTTACTTTCGTACTACATACTGATAAATCATTGCAAAGCACACTACAAAGCTGTCTGGTGACTCTGAAAGCAGTAAAGCTCACAACCTCTGTTTGCAGAGAACATGCATATCAAGTGTATTGTAGGTTCGTGGTGCAATCAAGTGACAAATGAATGTGAGATGACGAGAGCCCCGCGTTGGACGTGCCTCCTTCCGACCTCTCTCCTCTCGTGGTCCGCTAGGATGCCTGCGATGGCGTTGATACCATGATACCAGAGTGTAAGGAACGACTAACAACTGAACGATCAGGACTTGGGTGTGCTCATTCCATTAAATCTGCCAGTAGTCGTACCATAGTTATATTCCGGCTTCAAACTTTCATCCATTGTCAACAACGTCCGGATACGTCACCTTTCCGAATTTATCGGAAACACCCAAACCACCTGGGGACTTTCATAGCCATGTGACACTCTCTTCCTTGATGCATCAAGATTGACCTTGAATCATTACCTTCTCCCCATCACCAGCTCAAATATCACTCAAGTCTCTCAACACCTTCGTCATTCGTTAGTTTGGGAAGAAAAGTGGATGTCCTCGATGCCGCCTGCCCGCTTCAAGTCCGACGTTTAGGTCAGGGTTTACCTTTCGCTTCCCTGGCAATATCATCTCCAAGGCGATAATTGTTGACGTCATGCAACACGACCATCTTCAATAACTGAATCTCACCGCAAGAAAGATATATCCCACAGGAAGGTCCATAAACAAATAGTTAAGACGTCCAAACTGGGTATGACGACTACATGATGTAAACAACAATGTCCCCGCAAGATCACTCCGTATCTGAGACGAATCACATGTCATCATCTCCTTCACTTCACCATCTCCTCGGAGTCCTTGTCTCACACAAGCCAACGATGATATATACAACAAACAAGCAGTCAAATAGTTACAATATTGATCCCATGTAGGGATCATGAAGAAACCAATGACTCTGTTGAAAAGGTCTCCACGAACCTACTTCCATCCCCTTGTTTCTCCCCGATCCTAACGCTTCTTTCTAAACTCGACCCACTACCTTCCGCACTGTCACCATCATCCCTTTCAGATACACTTCTCATATCCGGGCTCAATCTCATAGTCTCATCTCCCCCCTCGAAAGGATTCTCGATTCGAGTCGGTCCCCAAGGTGTTTCTCGCATTACCCTATCCCCTTCCCTCGGATCTTCCTTGTCAGAAGGCGAAGTGATCATCCCGCCGGATGAAAGGTGGCGAGGAACTTGAGAGTGAAAAGGATAATCCTCATGTTCACGTCTTGTCAAGCCGGGTGAATCCACTTCTGCCTCTGCCCAATCATCCCGTTTGCCTCTCAAATGTCGGTTCGCTCTGAGAGTTGAAGTGTGAAGGGGAAGCTCCCATTCCGCGTCATGTTGATTTGAGTATGTAGTTTGAGTTGCAGGGAGGATGGTATAACTGAAAGGTTCTTCGGCATAAGGGTCCGTATTGGTAGGTGCAGTGAACAGAAGAGAAGGTATGGTTCGTGTAGGTCCACGTCTCACACGATGACGATGTCGGTTCCAAAGGTAGATTCCGAGGAAGAGTGATAGTAGAATGAAGATTGATAATCCCTGTAACCTCAGCCTTGAAATCTCATTGATCAGAAATCGATGAAAAGTGGACATACAGCAATAAGTCCTATGAATCCGCCTGTACTTCCGGCTCTAAATTGTCAGTGATGGACAGCGGTAGAGAAAGGACAATCCACATTTCTGGATCATTATCCCTGAACTTTGTTTGTGTGCTTTGAGGAGAGTTATCCCCAAACTATGGGTCAAACCACACGCCGTATCGAAGGGAACCAACGGCTTACAGTAGTAGTGGTCTGAGCTGGGCTCTGTCAACACTTGACACCTAGTGACCTCTGAAAAGAAAACGTACGGAACATAGTCGTCGTGATTCCTTCATCTGAATCTCTTCTTCCAGTCATCCCTATCATCCTCTTCATGACTTCGATAAATGCAGAGTACAGATGTCTTGACCTGCCTTGTGGGACAATGATGACAATGCATGCGACATGAGGCTACCGGTTATGAGGTTATTCATAGGCTAAGTACTCGTATTTTGCTTGCCCATCTTTATGGTGAAAGGGCGGAACCAAATTATCCTTCTCTTGTGGAGCCCCACACGAGAAAAAGTTGCTCTTCCTCTCCAAGCATCCAACAATCGGTATTCTACATATCCCATTCCTTCATACCTATTCCACATACAGGTCAAAACGGAGTACATTTGGAAGATGACTTCCAACGTTCTGCCTCTATTTTGGGATCTCGCCTCATCTTCAAAGGATACTCGACTACAAGCTTCAGTGAACCTCGTTTCGTCTTTGCAAAATTTTCAAGAGACATTTCTAGCCACTAATGTCGACTCTGGTTCCGATATAGAAGAAGAGGAGGGAGACGAGGAGAATGGAGAAGATGGGGATATGGATGAGGATGAGTCTGGAGAAGAGGTGGATGACAAAGATGAAGCAGTCGAGGGGGAAGAAAGTGATGATAACGCTGAAATTTTGCTGGATAAAGCTTTAGCGAAATCCAACGCGGAGGATGTGGTCTATACCGTCAAGAGATTGGTAAGAGGTCTGGGAAGCTCTAGAGAAAGTAGTAGACTAGGTTTTGCTGTCGCTTTGACCGAAGTGAGTCGTGTTCTAGTCATTCACCACTTACATCATGTCCGATCTCCTCCATCTCGCCTTCCTCAGAATGATCTGTGAGGGGCTGCCTTGGAAGCTCTTCTCTGGATTCAAATTTTTTTCTGTGATTGTATTACACTACTGACTCCAGCTCTTGTCTCAAATACATACCATCACAGCACCTCAGGTCCTATCTCTCCTCCTTCGTAGCTCTCCCATCTCGGCCTCGATGAAAGGATCCGAACAACGTGACTCTCTCTTCGCTCGTCTTTTCGGTTTGACTTCTCTTATTCAATCTAACTCACTTTTCCGACCTTCCTCAGACCAAGAAACATTTCAAAGAGTCACGAGTGAGCTGATATCACTCGGTGATTCCAAGAGCTGGCTGAGGGAGGCTGCATGGTGGGGACTATTACAAGCTGTTCAAGGGGCATGTGTCAGTCAAGTGGAATGGGCCGACAATACTATAACTCAATTATTGTCCTCTGTTCTCGGTGACAAGGGATGGACAGCAGAGAGAGTGGCTTTAGTCAGCTTGATGGAGAGATTACGTCCCGTGAGTTTTATATGGAAGTGTCAATTCTGATACTGACTTGAAAGACATTGGTCGTGGATTCTCTACTACAACCTACATTCAAAAGAGGATCTTTACTCGCCAGCCCAAATCTATTGCAATTGGCCAAGATCCTGAAGGAGTCCAATGTGAATGAGGAAGAATCTACCGCATCGGACGGATCTTCAAAATCTCAATTACATTTTGTTTGGGATGTCATGTTGGACAGTTACTTCGTTTCAAAGCCTGATAATTCTCAAGCTCCTTTCCAAGATTTTTTCCGAGTATGTGTCGATGGTCAGTCCTATCACATTTCTTGAGTTGCGCCACTCTTCCTTACCCTACTATTTGTCCCATTCCCCATTTCCTGGGCTATTCTATGTGTTCTATTTCTCATTTGTTTTCAAGCCCTTTTAAACCCCTCTCTTACTCACTCAACCTGAAACACAATTTCCCTACCGATCTTAGCCAAGACGAGTGAGGACTAACCATTAGAATCACTCTTCGCCAATTCGTCCTCCTCTCAACGAAAATACTGGGGATTTCAAGTTTTCTCCCGTGCCCTCCCTCTTCTTTCCGCTAATGAGATGCCCCTGATCTTCACACCAAACTTCATGCGGTGTTGGATGAACAACCTATCCTCTTCCGATAGATACCTTCACAAAGCTGCCCAGCACGTTGCTCAAATCGTCCAGGATGTAGTGAAGACCAACCCGAATGTCGGTTTCACCCTCTTGAGTCAACTGGTGGGGAAACATGGGAAACCCAACTTCGATAAAATCACAAAAACTCGAACTGTGGAGGGTATCATGGGATCTCTGAATCTGGATGGGGTGAAGGAATATGTGAGGTATCTCCAGGACATGATCGTCAGCGATGATTCGAAGTAAGCTTAACACGTGTAGCTCTAGGTTAAGCTGACTTTGTAGCTCTGAAGATTTGGAAGGATTGGAAGACAAAAGAACGTGGGCTTTGAATCAGATGGTGGCTTTGGTGCGGAATGGTTCCGTACCTAAAGATGATCAGTGGATAAGTTCTGTGTTGGAATTTTTGCTGGTCCATGGGTTTTTCGTTATTTTGAAAACAACGAAGAAGGGCGACATTACAGCAGTATGTCCTATATCTCTTCCTATACAGTGGGGCAGTGTTAATGAAAAGTTGTCCAAAAGTCCTAGACCTCCCCTGTCAGAATCTACAGCCGCTCTATGTAGGACAAAACTTCTTTCGTGTCTTGTGGAAGTGACCACTGTTTCGAGCCCCAAAGGTGAGTTTCCATCATTGACTTCAAACTTGTTGTCTAGGTTGGGGCTGATGTGAACAGGCGATGGCAAGACAGCTTCACGTAAACAGGGATGTGATTCTTCCAACAAACTCTGGCTTAGACGAATCCTCGAACTTCTCCTTTCTCTGCAAACGAACCCTCATTTGAAAATCATTTCCGAAGCCGACAAAGAGATCAAAGCTGGTCGTGAGGCTGGTATCGAGACGCTCAAAGCTTTAGACAAGGTAAATCATCCCTTTTTTTCTCTATAGCTTTTGCTAATCAGTTTCAGGTCGAGGGGAATGAAGTCGTCAAGGGTGTGGAGATCCTATTGAGTTTTTTGATCATTCAGACATATGACGAAAATGAAGATGCTTTGGAAATGCTTGAAGTGAGTCGTCACTTCCATTCCATTTTCGCATAAGGCTGATGTGTAGGAGACCATTGCAGCTTCTCAAAAGATGTTCGGTCTCAAAGAATCATCAGCTCGAGAAAGTACGTCAAAAGAAGCGGATGTCAACCTACCGGCTATAGACATGTTACTCGATACTCTCATTGCTCTTCTGGATAAAGGTTCAAACGATCTTCGATCTTTGGCTAACTTGGTGGTGGGAATGGTAGCTGGAGAATTCACATCGTCAAGTGTACGACATCTAGTAGCGCAGTTGGAAGCTTCTGCCAATGTCGAGGACGAAGATGGGTCAGAGGAAGATATGGAAGAATTGAGTGATGCCGGTGATGAGGACCAAGAAGAAAATGATAGCGAGGGAGGGCAAAGTATCGTGGAAGACGAGGAGGAGGAGGAAGAAGATGAAGATGACGATGATGAAGAAGAATTACCACCTGTCGACCCTGATTTCAGACGAAAAGTAGCAGAAGCACTTCAAGTGACCGATCTTCTGGAGGATGGAGTGAATGGGGATAACGCTTCCGATTCAAGTTCAGAGGAAGAATATTGGGACGATGAACAAATGATGAAAGTTGATGAACAGCTCGCCGCTGCGTTTAAACAAAGAGCGGCGTCTAATAGAAAGTCTGATCTCAAATGTGAGTTGAAAAATCTGCCTACAACCCTGAACACAAACTTCTTTCCCCTCTTTCATGCTCCTCTATACCACATCACATACTTGACTTCAATCTCACCCATCATCTACAAACAATTCCCCATCTCCCACCTTATTGTCAATAGGTGAATGGTCAGCTGTAATCTCTGAGAAGGATCATGCTGATATTTAGTACTTGAAACTGAAAACCTTCATTTCAAAAATCGGATTCTTGACCTATTTGACATTTTCATACGAAAACAACCATCCAACCAAGCTATATACGATACCATCCTCCCTCTTCTTCAACTCGTCCGTTCTTCTTCCTCATCCACTAACGGTACATCTTCTTTAGGAACCAAAGCGACAAGTATCATTCGATCTCATTTCACGAAACCCAAAGAAGTCCCGTCCCCCACTTCTTCCCTCGGATCAATTATGAAAGAAAGCCATCAATTAGCTCGACGATCATCTTCATCGGAATTCTCATCTCTATGTTCCATCTGTAGTCTTTTTCTCTTACGCTCTACCACCTCGAAGTCTTCGGAAGAAGATGAGATATTGGAAGAATATAAAGAAACCATGAGAGATTTCATGTTACGTAAAAATTCTCAAGTCCACGTCAAATTCTTATCGGAATTATTTCAACGATATCCACTTCGAGCGTGGAATCTTCGGTTTGAATTGTTGGAATTGATTGAGAAAAAAGCGGTGAATGATTATCGTCAATCTCAAGGACTTTTGATGTTATCTTCATTATGTGGACAAGTCAAGATTGTGGATGATAAAGAGGGACGAGAGTTTGTGAAGAGAGCTTCGGGGTTGATCGTGAGTGTTTTAGAAAAGACAATGGAGGAAGGATCAACGATCAAAAATCAAGAAGTGAAAGAGGTGTGTGTGTTTGGTCTGCATTTGGCCAGAGGAGCAAAAGCGGGGGATATGTTGGGGAACTGGGATGAAAAGTTTGAGCAGGTGACGAGACGATTCTTGATGGATGAGAAGACGAAAGGGATGAAAGGGGCTTTAGACGTTTTGAAGCAGTTGGTTTCTGTCTTGGGGATGGATACAGGTAAGAAGGAGAAGGAGAAGAGCAAAAAAGATAAGAAAGATAGGAAGGTGAATAAGATGGAAGTAGATGAGAAACCCACGGGAAACGGTGAAACACCACGAAAAAAGAAAGACGAAGATATGCAAGTGGATGTCAATCCTCACATGGTGGTATCTACCGAACGCAAACAAAAATCAAACAAGAACAACAAGAAATCATCCGAGGCTGGTGAGACTCTGTCAATGGAAGGGTTGAAGGAAAAATCCAAGAAACGAAAGTCTTCAGAGGGAAAAGAAATCAGTAAGAAAAGAAAGATACCATCTGAATCAGCAGAGTAGCATGACCGACTCACTTAGGCATAATGCATTGATCTGAATATTTGCTATGAATACGTGTGAAGTTGCGTGCGACATGCAAGAAAAGTCTTCAATCTCTCGAGTTGACAAGTGCTTTGTAGAGCGTATTGGCATTTTGTATTATTTCAATTGGGTCGGTAGTTGAAGAAGTGGAGATGTCCGTGTATAATTGTCGAAAACGACGAACGAGAGATAAAAATCGACGAGATTCGTTTTCTCGTTTCAACTGATCAGCGCGTGCTTGAGCGTTGTCCAATACACTCCTTGGTAGTCCCGCAAGTCTGAGATCAGCTATGGAAATTAACAGACCAGGTTGACTTACCTGGCGCACCACACTCCGAACGACGCCTCTGCCAGGCCGCGAGAGAGCTTATAAAGGAATGTTATTTCAGCACTCCCATCTACTTCGTGAGCTAATGTCACACCGATCGACGGATGACTTGACGACTATGAGAGAATAAGGAGACACAAAATCCCAACGGGTGAGGGGGAACGAAGAGTGTGAAAAAGCGAGATGAAGGACGGTAAGGTAATTGACCCACCAGGTGATTTGACCTGGTCAAAGGCCATGTGCCAATTACTGATCTTCGCAGGGAACTCTCTAGCTAGTTCTTCGGCCACTGTGGGATAATGAGTGACAAACAAAGTGTCACAACCGATCCCGGCTAGATGAGAGAGGGTAGCGTGAGCTATTGCTACACCATCGTAAGTGCTGTCAGAAGTCAACGCTCCATTATTCCCCATGTGAAAATGGGGAAGCCCACCTGGTACCTCGTCCTAATCTACTTAGTCAGCAAAGCTCAATCATTCAGCGAATGCTCACTCGTCCAATATAACCAAAGTCCTCGGTGTGACGGTACGCAGAATATCACTCGTCTCTGATAATTCCACCATGAACGTCGATTTCCCTCGACTGATCTCGTCCGAGGCTATCACATAAGCTCATGGCAGTCCATGATGTTTGCAGCTTACCGCCCATACGTCTGCATGTCAGCATCTGCCCTCCAAAAATTGCGTCATACTGACGTTTGGACAGCATCATGGATGCCCATGACGGCAGAGCTGGCAGGGACGAACGAACCCATTTGAGCCATACACACTATGAGAGCCTATACATGAGTACAAACAAGCCTGGGGTGATGAGCCAGACTTACAGTTGCTCGAACACAAGAACTCTTTCCTAACCTCCATCAGTACGCGTGCTGCACAAGGAAGTTGTACTGACCGGCCATATTTGGACCCGTGATCACTTTGACAGACCCATCTTGCTCCGAAAAGTCGATGTCGAACGGTACGTACGCTTCGTCTCGGAGCATCTCCACCTACTGTTGAGTCTGGGAGAATACAAAGGTGGCCGAATCTCACCATGGGATGCCGCCCAGCCCTGATATGTAACCCTGGCTCAGCGACAAATTCGGGCTTGCAATATCCTGAAGCTGCCGCGACCTGAGATAGGGACATCAAACAGTCTATCACTGCAAGTTGTTTGGCCACCACGACTAGCTCGTGACTTTCCGAGATATCCGCTTGAAATGCTGCAAGCGCACGTCGACCAGCAGCGGTCAACGTCTCTTTGTGCTGCTCTCTTTCTTTTGTTCTGCCCGTCAGTATTCCAGCGCAAAACATCCCAGTCTACATACATGCGTAGGATATCTGGAGTATGAAAGCGAACAACGTGTTTGGTCGAGCTGATCTTCATCCATCTTGCTGGCACCGACTTGGAGTCACGGACAGGCACTTCGACGAGGAACTGAATGGTCAATTACTATAATTTTTGGCAGGAATACCTACCTCTATTCCCGAGACCGTGACGTAGTTGAGAGTAGGCCTCTTCAAGATCTTTCGAATGTCCTTCAGATGTTGATCCAGCTCGCTCTCGCAAACACTGATACACTGTCGAGATTAGCGTTAAATTCCATCCACTGGTGGACCCGCACATCTTTAGCATCTTGCAGATCGGGGTACCTGTCCGGGTCGACCCATAGGTTGGCTTCGTCATTTTCGAAAGCGGCCTTCGTGTTCATAGCCCCGAGGAATTCCCGGGCCTTGTCTCGTATGGTCGGCAGTGTCTTCACAATATTGTTGAGTAGTGACGATGAGAAGATGTCACCCTCGTTGGGCTTGAACTCGGATCCGGTACGATTGAGACCGGTGAGGATTGTAGCTAGCTCAGATGGAGTCGCCTAGGAGTCAGACCATGCATGAGCAGGGGTATGCTACGCACCTTGCCATACTGCGCCCGAGTCAGACCTCGCACGAGATCGGGCATGTTGACCAGCAGACTTCGTAGCTTCTCCATGTGATAAAGAGTGTTGGTCATGATCTCCTCGATAGCATCTAGTCGAGCGCGGAGGGCTCTTTTGGCGTCAGACGCGTGAAGGTGAGAGCACAAACACTCACCTAACATCCAACAAAGGACGTCCGATCCATTCCCGCATCAGACGACGACCCATTCGTGTCTTTGTGCTATCGGTTAGGATTGTCATCCAGCCTATGCCGACTTACTGGTCAAGTACTGATCGTGAGCAGATTCAGACAGGAGAGTTTTCATTTGAGACTCACGCCACGCAAGACTTCCATATACCCCGCCATCGGTCTGGTTTCTGTAGATCTCTCTACACCTCTCAGTCTCATTGTATTAGAGCTTAGCGACATGCTCACAAATTGACAAGTGTGTTGCTAGACAGCAGCATATGCGCACGATTGGTGAACTGGATTGATCAGCAAGACAGACTACCGTGAAACGTCTCAAGCTTACTCTAGTGAACGATGAACGATGCCTGAATGCGTTCTCCAGTTTGAAAGCTGTGAGCCATCAGCCCACCCATGGTGCTGGGCTCAACGATAGAAACAGTACCTTGCAGGTGTTTCACAGCGATAGCAAGAGCAACCACTACCTGTTTTGGGAAGGCAACAAGAGCAAGAACAGCTTCTACCGCTCACAAATTTAGCACAGTACCTCTTTTCCTCTTGGACATGACTCACAAGGCACACCGGAGGCAAGACCAAGTAAGCCTTGAGCATTGTCATCGGCTAGAACAACATCCCGATCATCCGTGGATGGGCAATCCGGGGCGTCATCCTCGATATCTTCATTGTTATTACTGACCAGGTCGATCATCTCGATATCGCCTGACGTCCGCCGGTCCCTAGCATTCATCACTTGATTATAGAAGTCGGACAGGAAGCTTAAGGCGGCGCTATATTTCGCCACCTTATCTACCCGCTCGATGCGGACAGAGGCAGATACACTTGTCCGTGATATGCCGGCGAAGTGGTTCAACATTTTCTCCGTGGCTTTGCTGAGATCACGGGCAGGTATGATCAGTTCTGCTGGCGAGAGATGATCGAGCCGCGTTTCCAGCTCGGAGCGAACGGGAGAGTCTGCGAATGAGCCGAGGTTCCGGTTGAACCATCGTCGATCCAGAAGATGGCCCCATATGACTCACCATCAAACTCATCCCAGACCACATCTCCGGTGCCAGGTACCACACTGACCAAGCCGATTCGCACCCGTTCATCCGCAGTGAGCCCACCTAGGCCTTGCTCAACTATGGCGACAAGCGCGTTGGTCGGTGGAGGGGCGGAGCCTGGAAGGACGGGATCGTCAGTCAGGACGGAAGAAGAGGACATCGAAGAGTCTTCGACGTAGCTGCTCGGTTAATGGGCTTAAAGACTCGAACCCCCATCCACTCACGTGGCAGCAGTGAATAGATGTGTTAGCTCTCTTGTGAAGGGAGCGTTGCGATTATCGGATACTTTCTTCAATGCAGCAGTCTCCGTTTGCGAGATGACGCCGACTTTGTAGCCAAGCGATATGAGCTTTTTGACGTGAATATGGAGACGGTAAGTGGGTATAGAGGCAGTGTAGAAGTTTCGATTCGGAAAGCTGATGGTCAGTCATTGCGCGAATTACGGGTGTGTTTCACTCACGCAACGATACCGAGCTCCTTGGATGCGTTCTTTGCGTCTTCGCCATGAAACCTGAGAGGGTCAACATGTGTTGACTGATTATAGAACACGTACGCACTTGTACTTGTAGCCCACTGATAGAGTTAGCAACCATCTTCAAAGACATGAATAGCCCACCCTCCATCATCAAGATGACGTCCGGATACTTGACTTTGATTTCCTTATACTGCTTCTCTAAAGGCGTGAAAGTGAGACCGCTCGGGCCGACCTCTTCTTCCTTTTTCTTCTTCCTCCCCTTGGCACTAGCGGCTGAGCTCTCTTTGGCTGAGTATTTCTCTCTGAGGCTGCTGACTATACCGGATATAGGCTTGTCTCCTTTCGTGTCCTCTTGAACGTCTGCTACTCCGTCGACCAGGGAAGTGTCCCCTTCCTCTAAGATATCGTTATCATCGATTAAGCCAGTTTGGCGCCGAGCTTCTACAGCCGCAGCTTCGTCAAGGGCCAAAGATCGGCGTCGGCGAACAATCTCTCCACTGAGCACACGTCGCTGCCATTCCGCATGCCTCTTGACTTGCTCATATGTCCTCTGAGGCAGAGACGACGGGCCTACGGCCTTGTCATGAGAAGCCAAGGAGTAAGCTGGAAAGGCAGAGCCCGACTGCGACGGGGGAGGAGGCGCTAGGCGAGGGAGACGATATGATTCGAGCTGGGTGGACGGAGCGGCAGGTTCTCGCCGTGACCTGTCAGGAGGACCTAGGTTCGCTGATGGCGGCGAGCTCAGTCTGGCATTCACATGTGGTTTTGGGATAACTTCGGTGAGCTTGACCTTCTTCAGTGGGGGTGAGTCCGTGAGGTCCACAACGTCGTCCTCGGACTCTTCGACCGAAGCTGTCGCCGGAGGTTTGACGGACGGGAGGGATAGGGACTTGCGCTTGAAGAAGGCATGCAGAGATGATCTGGGATTAGCTAGGCCTCCTCAACACGTATGATGACTGACTGGCCTCTACCCTCTGCCATATCTCATCCTTACAAAAGTTGCAGAAATTGAGGACGAGTGGAGGAGAGCAGTCGCGTCAACCAGCATGACGTGGCATTGGGGAGAACTTTTGTAATCGGGTGACGTCATTGCGCTCGGTTCACCGCATTCCTCCCCACCCACGCCGGTTGACCGTCCTTCTTCCCACCCGCCACCTCTATCAACTCTACTCCCATCTCTTTCTTCTTCTTCAGCTTATCCACTTTTAGTCGACAGTCACACACCAAAGGTCAAGATGCCATTCACTTGCTCGGATATCCTTAAGATTGTACTCGCCGTCATACTTCCGGTGAGACGTTGTTTACAACTCTACACATCCCTTGACTATCTACCTTGTCCTAGTCGCTCGTCGTCTTCACACGTCGAGCCGTGACCGACGTGGATCTGTCTCGAAATATTATGCGAGAGTTTATCGACTCTGTTACGTGGGATGTCAGATATGTGAAGAGTGACAGGGCTGACTGGCCAGCCTTTGGGAGTGTTTCTCGAGCGCGGATGTAATGCGGATTTCCTCAGTAAGTGTCCATGCTCCGTAACGCATAAGTTGAAGCTCATTTGACAGTTAACATTCTCTTGACCAGTACGTCTCTATAAGTTTCACATCTCATCTCACCCTGTCTCTTGCGTATCCCAGAGTTCTGCCACCCGATACATACAGATGCCGACTTTTGATTGACACTTTTGCTAACGTTTCTAGTCCTCGGTTATATTCCAGGTACGGTCTGTCTCTTGTGCTGTTGACCTTTGCTAATGCTTCAGGAATCATTCACGCCCTGTACATCATATTGTGAGTTCTTACGATGCGCGCAAAGCTGCCTTGCTGATAATACAGGAAGTATTGACACCCCGGACATCGACAATCACCCGGTGTCCGGGCCAAGCAAGGCAAGTTCTTGGCTTTGCTTACATGTTTTGAATGCTGATGGAGGTTTCAGTGGTCTGAACGATCAAACAAGGACTTCCAGGATAGTTTGCGGTTAGGGATAGTATGACGTCTTTCTATGCACAGTTTCAACACTGATATTGACCAATGATGCTTATCGCGTATAGCGTTTATGAATTCTAATGGATTCGCCAAAATGTCTGATAAACCGATGGGTCAAGAAATCTGAATCAAGATGATGATCCCCTGGCCCCTGGGATCCTTCACGATATCGCAGCTATAGCAAGAAATCAAACTTTCATCAGCAATGACTTTGGAACGCTACCCGACTCACCTTCTCGCCCTTAGAGGTATACAGCCTGTCCACGGCTAGTAAAGCCTCAGCTTCCCAGTCTGACTCAATGATCTGCTTGTGTCTCTCTCTGACCGCCGCTAGCCCCATAGCGGGTGCTGTCACGTTAGCCATATGCACTAGCTCGGTAGACGATATGTTTTATCGATGATCTGGCGGAGGGCAATTTCACTTACGGATATATCTTTTGATGGGGTTGGTGAGTGCTGAGAGCACAGCTGCCTGCAGCTCATTACCATCGCCCTGATGCTTCCAGTCAGCCATCTGGGGCACTTGGAGATAAAGGTACGAACTACGTGATACACATACGGAGGTGATATGCTCTTGAGGCTGTTGTGCTGCGTGTCCCACTTGCTTTGATCGTCCGGATTTGCTCTGTCCCACTTGAGTATCGGATTGATGAATGGTACTCCGAAGCATAGCGCGTCGTATGCTGCCAGCGTGAGCTTTCATAATCTCCGTCTTCGCCTTCTCCGGTCTTCCGTTTGGCCCCAGTATATCACGGACTCGCCAGGGTTGAAGCGACTGAGGTCGGGAGAAGAAAGGGGAGAGCACTCACGAGAAGGCGAGGTGAAGGGTCGCCCGACTCCGAGCTGATTGTCAGGACCATGATCCTCACTGACATTTTCGTGCGGAATTGAGGATGGAGTCATAAACGTACCAGTAATTTGCTCCTAGCCACCACACTGTTCCATTCCGCCATTGGTTTCTTACCGTAATTGACCACACCGCTCGTGTTGAGCGTCACTCCCATGGCCGTGTTCTCATCGGTCGGGCCTGCAAAGGCGATTATCTCAAATTGTTTTCTGTCGGACCCCCTCGGCATCGCGTGGACAAGGAGATCAAGCTGATTCGTCCAAGTAAAAGTCTTTTGGTCGGGATCGAAGTAAGACGGTAATTTGCCCAGAGCTACTGCACAGTGTTCGCGTTCCTCGGGTGAGAAATGTTTTTGAGAACGACATCGACTTTCTATCGAATATCCTAACAATCAGCATGTAATTCACTCAAACTCCGCCACCCATCATCCTTATCGACGACGATGTCTCGCCGCCAAACGTAATGTCTCCGCCACCCTCTAGATTTTATTTCAGCCGCTACCAATGCCAGACGATCGGGCAGCTCGAACGGCGACGACGGCACGATCAGAAGTTTCAACGCGTACCTAGATAACGATTTTGCTCCTTCCCAGGTTTCCACTTCGCATAATCCTCCGGAGCCAAAGTCCACCCATGTCCTAATGGATGCCTGGGATCTTGCCAAAAATGAAAAATCCAACTCTTCCAAACGGGTATCCCATCCTCAAACCCTTCCTTCTTCGGGCATCCCTTGGTACCAGTCTGCCTACCTGCACCAAAGGGTTTCTCAGTCGATTGGTAGTTTTCGTCGTTGCATTGTAGACATTTGAGGAAATCCGCACTAGCCCACCAGATAGAAGTCACCAAATCAGGGATTGTCTGATATACCAGAACAGTGTCGAGGACCCCGAATGTGTATACGAGTGTATAATTAAGTGACTGAAAGGCTTCTAGGCTTGATGCAGCCCTAAAATTTAGCCACCTCTCCCATCGTATAATCCCTTCAGCAGGCTTCAGTTGGTGAATTGTTCTGTGTTTGGTGAATGTGATGAACAGGAGATGGTAGTCGGAAGATCACGGGACAGTGGTATAAAGATGAGGTTGACTGACCAGATATCTTCACCCGACGTGAGCCCTCGTTGGGCGTTGACTTTCCCATCAGCGACTGACTTCAGTGAGATCGATGATCACTCACGGAAATGGGGAGATTGCAAGATGATCAAAGTCTCTTGCCCCTTTTCACATGTATTCTCCGTTAGACAAGCTATGAGTCGATCGATGGTAGGTTCATTCCAACTTCGTCCTGATGTCAAGCCTCTGAATGACGTTCAGCTCTTCCATCGCTCGTGTCGTATACCACAAATGAGATAGTAACTCACTCAGCTGGGTAGATGTCCTTGAGTAAGATCTGCAGTGCTTTCAACTTGGCGATACTCTGCCATCTATCCCTCTCCGGTGAAGGCTCCTGAGTCGAAACGAGCGGTTTGAAGTATTTGAACATTCCCGCCATAGTCCCCGACCCGTCGTATAAGAACGGTAAGTCGTCCTCATTGCTACCTGAGAATTTCGAGAGGGAGAGAAGGAGCAAAGACGAAGTCAGCAGACCCAAAATCTTGAGCATACCCCGACTCAACCGAAGCATTGTGAGAATGGTCAGAGATGTCATCTCCCCTTTACTCGCTGTTCAGGAATTGGACTATGGCCTCGCCTTCTCAAATCCGTACACCCTTGATTGTAAAGGAGGGCCTTGACCGTTAGCGTTCTCGGTCAGTAACGACGGGATCCCGAAATACCGACGGAGTATCGCGTGTGAAGATAAGAGCATGTCTCCTGGGGGCGCAAGGATACGTACATGGCCATACGAGATAACAAAATTATATATCTGTGGTCCTATGCTATGGATGAATGACTTGAGATTCCCATTACATTCCGAAGGTTGGAAAAAGTGACTGTCAAATTGTGCAACTCTTCTCTTCGGGGATCGGGGGAGGAAAGGAGTTGCATGATCGCTCGTTCCGGCTAGACGTATCTGTCAGCTGATCTACCGTATGATCACAGCCTGAGACAAGCCCTAGATGATTCGGGCCACGGCGTGAACTAAGCGAACGAGAGCGGGGTGATCTCTTGCCTGGTTGAAATGAGCACCACTATCCTCCATATCATATCTTTTGAACTCACCGCCATGCAAAGAATCCCCATTGACTTGAGGATGACATCTGCAAAATCCCAAATGATGTCATGATCCCCAGGACCGCGTGGTTGCGATAGACCATCGGACGATCGGTGGCCTCCGCCAGAAGAACTCGCAGTCGATGGAATATTTTCATGAAGTAAACCCGACCCCTGTCCAAGTCGTTGGGCTTTGAGGACCTCGGCCGTTCTGATGGCGGTCATGGTGATATCGTACAGCTTACCGAACGTATCGCTACTGAAGTCTGAACTGGCGACTTGTTGGATATAGGTTTTACAACGGGGAGATAAGATGGCTAAACGGAGATTGTTGAGGACTAACGTGGGACGAAGAGCGGGTTCAGGAGATGCGGGATCTATCAACCCGTGGGTAAGACAAATTTGAAAGACGAGACTGAAGAGTCAGTACAGATTGAAGAGGAACGAGAGAAGGAGGGGGGACTTACTCTCTTAGCCATGCCACTGTGACTGCGTTGTTGATCAATCTGCCCATCTCCCAAGCATCTTTGGTAGATCCGAACTTCCCCGTGACAATGCTCTCCATGTGTTCCCCCAATTCGTTTTGAATACTGACAGCCTCTTCTGAAGTCCAATCCGAACACGACTTCTTCTCTCTCCAGCACCGAATGATTCGATCGTCAACCAAGTCTAGACTGCGTACATGTCCCGTCTGGAGTCCGTTCATAGCAAACGAAGGTAGAGCTTCTCTTAAACGACGAGTCTCTTGCCACGGTCTCCCTGGTAGTCGCAGGGACTGAGCATGCACCATAGAGAGGGGTCGCAAGAGAGCATGTGTTCGTTCCAAAAGGGTTCTGTGTATCAGTCAGAAATAAAAGACATCTGTGATAGGTAACACGTACAAGATGTAGTACGTTCTCAGTCGAGTGGCCCACCATCCTAGTCCAGGACTGTGCCCCTCCCCATCCGGCCGCTCGTCAGAGACGATCTGAGCTAGATGATCGACCTTCGAAGCCTGCGCTCTGGTTATCGCTTGTTGTAGATAATCCCATGACCGATGATGTGCCTTCTGCCATTCGGAGGCTAAAAACAGGTGTAGCGCGGTGACGATGTCGGCTAGACAAATAGTTCCATCAGAGTCTGAGAGGGCATTCGCTCTCTGAGCATCGCGCAGGTACGCTTCCTTGATCTGATCCGACATGACCTCCACCTCCTCGGAGGTAGGCGGTGTTTTGTTACCAGGGAGCATGGTTTTTGCATCCACATTAGAGACGACATACATGGAGAGCATACTGAGAAGCAAGGCGCGGAAGTGGATCGAACGTTCATATTCTCGATTGTCGAAGGCGGTCATGAACTCCTCGTAGTGTAGTAAGGGGACGAAGGGTGCGAGTAGAACGAAGAAGATGGAAATGCGCTTCCGTATGATGGCGTGAGATTCGGGAAAGGGGGGTATGGCAAGCATGAGTAGCGGTTCGGTGGGGTGTTCTGATGCATGTCAGCGACTAGTACCGTGGGTGTTACAGTTACTTACTGATAGCTTCGTTCACGATGGATTCCGCCGGAAGCTCAGCCCGTCCTCTGGCTAATTGAACTATCGCATCATAATAAGATGAGCTGGGTGGATCTGAGAGGAGCTGTTGATGTTGTGCAAGACCTGTGGGTGATGATTCTAATGAGTGCCAGTTGATATGTACCGGTTTGAATGCGTTCGTCGTAATTTGATCGCTGGAGTCGAAACCGATAAAACCGGAAGAAGGCTGAGTAGCGTTCAAATGGTTGGCCCCGAAAGGTAGCTCTGGAAAGAAGAATGGCCAAGCGTTCGACTCCTCTGATGATGTAGAGTGATAGGACACAGCTGGAAGAGAAGGTTCCCCGCTGAAGCTTCCACTACCGCCACTAGGGGTGAGACCATTTGAGATCCAACTCCATTCACCTTCCGGGTACACATCATGTTGCGTACGAATTGCTTCATGAGGCATATCAGACGAGGCCGGCGGGAGTCGTGTTGGTGTTACGGATGTTTCACCTACAGGGAAAGAAGTCAGCCCCCATGGTATCGTGCCCGCGGATCCTTCGCCCTGGTCAGGCGCCTCCACATGGTGATCGGTCGTACGGCCGTTGGTGATCGAAGGATGATCACCAGGAGTCAACGCACTCCGAGGACTTTGAGGTTGTATGGTAGGGTGTTCTTTTTTCCTCTTTGGTCCTCGTCGTTGGGCTGTCTAGACCGAATTAGAATTCCCTCCACGATTGTGTAACCAAGAAACCCACCCGTTGCCAAGTACACGCAATGTTAGCTCTCTCGCATCCAATACAACGACCTTCAGTAGATGATTGAGAAGGTGAGGAAGATGAACGACACTTTCATACATCAGCCTGATTGAAGTGACTAGGAAAAACGGAATTTCTCACTTTGATCTTTCGATAATTGCACTAGTAAGTCAGTCACTCTCCCGCAAGAGCAACGTATCACTTACCTGATCACAAGCTTGAGCGATGCGCTGTACCTCGGGTCGTACCAAACTCAACTGCCGTTTGAAACCGGTACTGCTGTTGCTACCACTCGCAGCGCTGTGATTGCTCTGAAGGGACGCCGGAGACAGCTGGTCGGAGGTTTCTGACCGGGGCACTGTTGATGGCCCGGACTCTGGTGGTGACATGGAGTCGAAGGTCGATGGACATGTGTCAATCAAGCTTAAGCAACACTTCGCACTGAAAGTCTTGAAATCCTAGAAACATTCGTCACGCAGACAACTCGGTTACCACAAGACCAAGGGCGAGGGGGGTCCCAGTGGCCAGCGGTTCTGAGTTAACACTACGCAAAATTACCGCTTTGAGAAAAAACGCAAGAGGCCGGCGGCTAGGCCTTTTCCTTGAAGACACGCACTCCACGAATACATACGAATCCTCTGCCAACGAGGGGGAACGATAGCCATGCGGTCCGATGTTTCCGGTCGCACCCCTCAGTCAATACCCCTGGGTCACCGTGACAAGGTGAGGAGCTCCAAGATAGGATCCGGGGTTGCATGGGGAGACCCGTGACGGTTACCATTCGATGATCGGTCTTTGTCGGTGTTCGCCTCTTCGATAAACCTCGCCGTTCGACCGTTAAATAGCCGACAAGATCTGTGGTGCGGTTCTCCTCTCTCCTCTCTCCTCACGCCTCACATCGTTGTTCATGAAGGTGACTTCCCATTCACTGAATCATTTCCTCGACCCCCCGCGGCGCCCCCTCCTGGTTCTCCACTATACTACGCTCCTCCACAACAGCTCTGGCGACCCGCTACCCTTTCCTCTTGCCGCGGTCCAGATCTACGTACCGGCAGTCGGCTTTGAAAAAAAACAGAAGAGACCCGATGATTTCAGGCTACCAAATCTATAAGTAGTGTATCGAGCCCGACTCGAACATCCACTCATTCTTCTCTTACCATCGACCCAAATCTTTCAGCAACATGTCAACTGAGGCTCCTTCCTGGAAGACCTGGCGTAGTGAGTCACCCTACTAGCTCCTACTTTAATCAGTATTGACCATCACAGACAGCGCCGACCCCAAGTGGTGGCGCGACGCAGGCTTGCGCAAGTGCATGTTCAACATCCTCATCCTCTACGGCTCCGTCTTTGCTAATGGTTACGATTCTGGATTAATCAGCTCGGCACAAGGATTACCTTCGTGGATTACGTAAGCTGGATTTCGTAAACTTAGGCCCTAATTACATAATGGGTAGGACAGGGGCTGACCTTCCTCAAGCTACTTCAACAATCCGCACGGGGGTGTGTTGGGTGCGATGGTTGCCGCCTACTCTTTCCGTATGTAGTTTTCCGAGATCATTCGAGCACGTGCTAACAAATACAGCTCAGCTTGTGTTCCCTCTCCTTGCATCTTTCCTATCCGACAGGTATGGCCGTAAACCTTTGATCTTCACGGCTTCGGTCTGTGGCGTGAGTACTTCGTTTTCATACATCTGGCACCGCCTGACTAAGTTAAGATCGCTGGACCTATGCTGTCCGGCTTTGGTAATTCGAAAGGCACATACATTGGAGGTCGTCTAGTCACTGGGTGAGCTTTCCTTGTTTTCATGACGTATGAGTTTCTCTGACGAGTCTCAGGATTGCTTGTGCAGTTTTCCAGGTCACTGCAGCGCCATTGATTGCAGAGATCGCACATCCTCGGTTCCGTGCTTTCGTGACGGGATCCTTTCTCTCGACGTAAGTATAAGCTTCGTAATACCGAAGACAGTTGTTGATACCAAGGTACTTCATAGGTTCTATCGTGGTCGCCTGGATCGGTTTTGGTTTCGTTCACTGGAACTCTGAGTGGGCATGGAGGACCGTCACCATCCTCCAGTGCTTGGGCTGTATTCCCCTCCTCTTCTGGTCGGTCACTCCGTGGATGGCTGAGTCGCCTCGATACCTCGTCAAGAAAGGTCACCAGGAGAAAGCTCTATCGATTCTTGCCAACTTTCATGCCAATGGCGACAAGGATGACGAGCTAGTGGTGAATGAATTCCGTGAAGTCGTTCTTGCTGTCGAGCTCGACCGTCAAGCCGCTCAATCGAGCTATTTGGACTTCTTCCGCACGAAAGGGAACAGAAAGAGGTTGTGGCTTGTCTGCTGGGTTTCATGGACTACTTCTATGGCTGGTGTGAGTCTCTGAATTCATGGTTACGCCACGAGGAGCTAAGCTTCCAGAATAACTTGGCCGCTTACTACCTGGTTCCTATTCTGGAATCAGCGGGTATCACGGACTTTGCCAAGCTGCAAGGTATCAGTGCCGGACTCTCTGGGGCTGCATGGTTCACTGCTCTTGCCGGTGCTCAGGTTTTCGAACGATTAGGTCGACGGAAGACAATCTTTATCAGTTTTGCTGGAATGATCGTCTTCTTCTCCCTTACCACTGGATTATCCGTGAGTTCAACACCCACTCAATGACGATGCTCATTTGGTTAGGCTGGCTACGTCAATACAGGCAACGTGTCCATCGGTATCGCTGTCATTCCTGTTCTCTACCTCTTTTTGCTCTTCTTCGTCTTTGCCTTCAACCCCGTGGCCTATCTATGTAAGTCGACCTACGTTGTCCCACGCAAATTATAACGCTGACACTCCACAGACCTACCCGAGATCCTTCCGTATCAACTTCGAACCAAGGGCATGGCTCTTTTCTCGGTGCTGTCAGCCGGTGGTCAAGTCTTCAACGCCTATGGTTAGTATTCTGATAAAGTAATTCTTTGCCGTGAGCTTATTGGTAGTGAATCCTATAGCCCTCGCGGCCATCGCCTACAAGTACTACATTGTTTTTATCGTTTGCGACGCCATCGCCGCTGTCATTGGATATTTCATTCTAGTCGAGACCAAGGGACTAACGCTTGAGGAAATAGCGGCGTGCTTTGATGGGGACGAGGCTCTCGTCTCAGGTGGACACGACGGCAAGGTTGCCATCGATCACTACGAAGATGAGAAGGTTTTGGAGAGTGGAATGCCGGCTCTCGCCACGGCCAACAACGACAGCTAGGGTCGGACATGTTTGGCTGGGTTCATAGGGATTCATAGGGAATAATCTCAAACGTGTATGGATTGCTTGCTTTCTTGACGTCTGATGACACCTCGTGCCAAAGTAAAACACCACTACATTCTTCGTACTCGTTCGAAATGATCGTTCCCCCAAGCTGTCCAATTGGTTTGGTGACTGACATTCCCCCGGTTATACCGGACCGAGGCAGACCGGTTCCTTGATCTTGGTCATCTAATTATTTGATGGGCGCGGTCGATTGATGGGTCCTTGCAGGGTTCAATTTGATGCGATCAGAGCGCCCCACATGCCCTGTTCTAGTGACAGGGGTATCAAGCGGATCATATCGGGAATGAAGGGGTCCCAGTTGTCAGGTTCACTTCACTATCTGCGTCGTATGTGGCATCCCGTAATGCTTAGGATTGGATGTTCTAGCTGAGCGATCCTCTCCAACTTCAGGATCCTGCATTACGAACACCTACAGACAGTTCCAAGCGTCTGAGATGGGCAATTGAGTGTCGTGAGTAAATTAAGACTACGTTCCGGACAGTTATGGCGGGAAACCGGACACTCAAGACGGCATGCGGATACCCCAGACATCATGCGGCTACTCAGGACAGTATCCATGGCTTGTGAAAGGAAAAAAGGCAAGTCGGAAAATAAGTGCGGTCAAAAGTCTACCTAAGACGGGAAAAAATCATGAATGTTACGACCGGGTGTCCGCTGGGTAACACTTAGACTCATACATCGACGATGGTGTGAATGGGTCGAAGCATGTCCGATCGCCCTGTAGCTGTCGATTAGGATAGAAGGGATGCATGATAACGTGCAGGGACGCTCAGATGGTGAGTAGAACCTCCAGGGCAGTGGTGGGAGGCTGATGAAGTTAAGAGGGTAATCCGGCTGCTTAAAGCTACTTTTCGGCTTTCAAATGCAGTGAACCGGTCAACTTATGATATGTTTCTGGCCATCCGAGCTAAGATCCCGCCTTGTCGACTGAAAAACGGCCTTTTAAGCTGTAAAACGGTCTTATAGGCTATTAAACGTCTTTTTTGAGTGATGAAACGGGCTTGTAATCTGGGATCCGGTTGGCGGGGTTACAATGTGGAGCTGCAATCCAGGAACCAGAGAAATCGGGAAATTAGTGGGCTGTTAATACTTCGTGACACGGGATTAAAGATTTCGACCAAAAAATTAATACCGCGAAGGTTTGGGGAGATTTCCCAATATTGTCCCATTTTTTACCCGACACCGACGATGGCCCAGGGCCCAGGACCGACGGCCGACGGACTCTCAGTAAAAGTGACGGGTTATGGTTAATCTCTACTATGACACTTTGTATAAGAAATGAGAACGAGGTCGATATGATAAAAAGTCTTTATCTTGAACCGCAAAACGATACCAACGAATTCATCTGAACTTGCTCTCAAAATGCCGGTATCTTTCGAAGGTCTTGCTTACGAACGTATATTGTTCAAACCTGTGGATAACTGTGAAGATGGGGGTTTGCATGCTGATGTCTATCTCCCCACTGAGAAGAAGAATGGGTATACTTCCTGGCCTGTCGGTATGTGTCTTTTTCATTTGCTTCATATTTCGATCTTGATCTTCGCTGTATCGTAATAGAGATAAACTCTCGGAGAAGGGTGGTAATGGTGGGGGGAAGCGATGCTGAAACATGAGCTGATCAATAGCTATGGCCATCCACGGTGGTGGATTCTGTCTTGGTGATACAAAACATATATTTGTCGGTCACTTTGAGTACCTATTGGAACAAGGTTTCTGCGTTGTAGTGGTCGAATACCGTCTTGCCCCTCAGTAAGTGACATTTGCCCTTTCCTCTCCTGTTAACGTCATATCTCTCAACTCTCCCTCCCCGTCTGGCTCATGCTAAATGTGGAAAAGCAGGCCGAATTGATTGCTGACATGTAGCGCACATCAGAAAGAACAACGTGAAGATTGGGTAGACGCATACAAATGGATCACCAGTCCTAAAGGTCTTAACGCGGCTCTTGGTTCTAAAGGTCAAGTAGACCGTGAGAGAGTGTTCGTCTGTGGAGCCAGTGCAGGTGGAGTGGCATGTTGGTTCCTCGTTGGTCTTCTCTACAAGATGATCGGACGACTCGCTAACAGACTTCTTAGACCATCGATCTTCTCGCTGCTAAATTACCACTTCCCAAAGCTCTCTATGTTATTTACCCGGTTACAGACCTCAACTTGCAGTTACCTAATCCTCCGGTAACTCCTCAACCATTTTCAAAGTTCCCCGAATTGGTCAAACAGCTCAGCGAGAAGGAACAGCAACAAATCAAAGAGTTATTTGAGGGTCCTATTGGTACTGGATTTTCTCTTCGCGGAGAGTTCGACCGTCCAGTTCATCCTCGACGTGTTTGGTTCGATTTTGTAAGTCTACTTCTTGCATGGCAGTCTCACCTACATTGATTTCACTCCACCTCCTCCCAATTCTGTCGTTATCGCACCTCGCTGTGTGCTGCCAAAAATAGTGGAGGTAAACTTGATGGTTCGTTGAATACTGACTGACGAAAAGGCCGCCAGTAATGGTATGCTCGTGCCTCAATGGGTCGACGAGTTCCCTCCTCCTTACTCTCCGGAGAAGAACATGATCACCCAATTTTCATCTGATTTCCCTCCCACGGTACTCATCAAAGCCATGGCAGACAAGTTAGTCCCTACCGAACACACACAATCGGCGTACGACAAACTCACAGAGCTGGGTGTCGAGACCAAGCTCTTCGAAGCGCGCGGGATGGAACATGGAGATGTGGAGGAAACCACACGTATCCTACAACGTTGGGGACGTGAATTGGCACACGTCTGGTGGGAAGAAGCATACAAACCCGCCACTGACTTTTGCATTGCTAAATGTCGTGCTTGAATAAAATGTATCGAGTCAGATCATGATAGTTTTGTGTCTCTAGGGTGACCGGCATGTATCTGATTTGCAATGATATTGGACATTCATGTTTTACGTTTGATCAAACCACTCATTAGATCAAAGCTATTGCCATCGGGTTGTAAGTCAACCCATGCCTGAGAACGTTTCGAATCGCCGAAATCTCCACGGTCATACAGCGGTGTGAGAGTCGAAGTGGATGTGGAGGAAAGGGGTAGACATCGTAGGAGACCGTGATCAGGCGTGATGGAATGAATTCGAAGACGTTGATGGGGAGTGACGGTGGTGAGAGTGACTTCTTGATTTCTGGGCCGTCAGCATAAGTTCATAATAGTCAAAATTGACCGCTGTATCACGGGTGTCATTGATCGCAGAGCGGGAGTAAAAGACTGACGTATGTAGCCATCTTCCGTAGTACTCGTCTAAGAACCCTTTGAAGCCTTGTTCGTCCACAAACTGCTCCCATTTGAGAGCGAAGGAGTGCATGATCTTTGCAAAAATCTCTTCCATCGTGGGAGGCGGCAGGGACCTCTCGGGAAGTTTAGCACATAGGAGTGAATGCAGTTGACTGAGAGATGTAGTTGGTAGTGCGTTGAGTGTGTTGATTCCGCAACCTACTTGTCAACGTCTGCACACTGGTAGGAAAAGTGCAGGTAGGAGCAGCGAGGATCACTCACCAACGACGACTCTCCACATCCCACCGACGAAATTAGTGTTGACTAATATACCTCCCAACTTGGCTTTACCTTTCACACCCGAGCCGACTTCACTCCCCCCTACACCCTCCACTTCCGCATATATGTCATTAGGCCACTTGATCCTCACGCCCAATCGACCATCCTCGTCCACAGCTTCACATACAGCCAAGGCCGTGAGATACTGTATGAACACCAATTTTGATGACATACTGGAAGGTACGTCCAGCAGTATAGAAAATTGTAAGCAGCCAGGAGGGGATAACCAGATGTTGGAACCTCTACCCCGTCCGGTGAGCTGGAAGGAAGCGAGAAATGCAAGAGGGGTCGGTAAGTGAGTGAGTAGCAAGGGATTCCTAGTACGTCAGTGATGTTTCAATCAGGGAGAGAAAAATGGGTTTGTGGGAGAAGACCGACCGATCGAGCATTGTCTGAGTACTGGTCACCGTCTCTGCGTACCAGAGCAGATCACCCAGCGTTGGTTTACCATTTCTCAATAACCCAGACTTTCGCCCAGCTCGCTTGCGTACTGCATCGAGAGCTGTCCAATAAGTGGTGAAGTTGAACAAAGGGGTCCATGTTGGGGAGTAAGGTAGCGAATGGGAGGGTAGCAAGATCGTCTTGGGTATTTTGTTGAAATCCGGAGGTTGTGGGATACTCGTGGCACTATCCTCGAGGGTCAGATCTTCCAATTTTATTTCTTTCGATACAGGAGGAGGCGCTCTCCGCCATGTAGCCAGGTAGGTCGACATGCTGCCTGTGTGGAGGACAGATGACGTGGAAGTGATGTGTAACTCATCATTGCCATCCCGAAGCGTCTTCCAGGACCCTTGATCGATTACCTTGCTTTGCAACGCCGTCTGAGAAAAGGAGAGCTCGCCAGGTTGAGGTAGATTTGGATGAGAAAGGACGAAAATTGGGGATGGGTGAGTCGGATGTAAGAGAAGATTTGGATCCTCCTCTCCGTCAGCGTGGACGATCGCACCAAGAATATCACCCCTGTCTTGTTGTCTGCTGGTGGGACGTAACTCCAATTCCTCCAGAAGATCCTCCACCCATTGTATACGAGCCTTATCGCAGCGCTCCACATCGTCCACAGAGGGAGAAGGAGTAAGCCTGGAGATAGCGTCTCTAGCTGGCGGATCGTTGAGATAATATTCGAAGTGCACTGAGCATAGTAGAGCTTTACCTTTCCCATTCTGCGTGATCACAGCTGCAATTGGTCGTTCTTCTCCTGAGGAGGCTGATTCGGCATACCGAGCGAGGACGCGGACAGAGGAAGGTCCAGGAGAAGGAGGGAGAAAATGTCCCCCGCCGTTATAATAAAGCAAGTCGAGTGCTTGAGGCTTGGACGACGAAGCTCCACGACCATCGAGCAGGAGAGTCACCGCTCTAGAACCAGACTCTGCTGCATAGGCGAATCCGGTGAAGGTCGGTCCTACGCAAGGTCCTGGGAAAAACGCCTGGGTGTTAGTGTTAAGCTTCATGATTGAGTTGGGGGAGAAGAAGGAACTCACCAAATCTCTTTCACCAGTCACCTCTAATCCTCCACCTTGATCGAATCGAACCTCTGCCGAGCCGAAATATGCTCCAGCGCAGATACCCAGGTATTTCCCTCCTTGTTCGACATAGTCCTTTACTCGCTTGGTGATTTTCGTCTTTACGCTAAGTACCTCAACGAATGGCAGATCTCTACCTCCAGGAATTACCAGCAGTGCACAAGATGGCTCCCAAGGCTGTAAGGAGAGGACGTCCGAGGTGACGGGCTGAACCGTGTAGTGAGGTAAGAGCAGGAGGGAAAGTGTGAGCAAGGTGTGTGAAAGGGAGAGTGCGGATACGCCTGGCCCGGAATATACCAAAACTTGGTGTGCAGAGGGAGAAGGTCCTGTCATCTCCGCCTTGCTACAACGGCTCCTGCCCCCCGGAACGTCAGTAAGAGTAGAGCTAGCAGAGTGAAGAACAGAGAGAACTAACTCCCCACAACATGTTCTTGATTTCAGGCACCGCACTGCACGTGATCTCAAAAAGTCGATGTTGAAAACAGGTCAACATTTGCACTTGTCAGCTTCAGTATTTGAAATCTCTGGACAACGCTGACATGGGTAAACCTGCGAAAGAGAAGAACGTGAGAGTACCTGGACGAGGTAAACCGAGGGGAAGAGGTGGGCGATCGGGCGGACGAGGTGGGGTCGGAGGAGGATCAGGTCGAGAGAAAGCTCTTCGTGCTGGTCCTTCAACATCTTTCCCTGACGATGAGCAACTCTTCTCACGGCCTGTCATAGTCCCCGTAGCAGTAGGTGAGTTTCATTATTGGTTTTGTATGACGAACAGAAGCTCACATCAGCCGAATCGTCTACAGCCACGTCAGGATCTGATGAAACGGAGGAAAGCGACGCCGACGAAGAAGAGGAGGATCGAGGACCGGTCAAGATCGAAGTACCTGTGGCGATGTGGGATTTTGAGCATTGCGATCCTAAGAGGTGTTCGGGGAAGAAACTAGCAAGACATGGATTGATATCATCCATGAGAATAGGTCAACGGTTTAGAGGTATCGTCCTCACGTAGGTGTTCCCAGGCATGTCCTTGGCGTCACTTTCCTACACATATGATTCTCTTCCTAAAATAGGACGGTGACTGATCAAATAGACCAAGAGGGAAAATACCGATATCTGCAGGAGACGAAGATATCGTTCTAGCCTCAGGTTTAGCAGTCGTGGAGTGCTCCTGGGCTAGATTGGACGAAGTGCCATTTGGAAAGATCAAAAGTCCTTATGAGAGATTATGTGAGTTGTTTTTGTCACCTTCTCTCCGGCAACAAGTTGCCATGATATAGTCGTTATGAAGCTGAGTTATAGTGCCCATGCTGATAGCTACCAACCCTGTGAATTATGGAAAGCCATGGAAACTCAACTGCGTGGAGGCTTTAGCAGCTGGGTTTTATATAACGGGTCATGATGATTGGGCTGAAACTTTGTGGGTTGTTTCAACTTTTCCTGACCTTTGACAGATATTCTACCTCCATGAATCATCACCCAATGCGTAGGTGTGAGGAGCTTTGAGGGCCCTCTGTGATACCCACATCTACCACGAGTTCGGAGTAGTGACACAGTCCCAAGTATGTTCAAGGCGTGTTGGCCTGCTCGCACGAACTGACCTTCAGATTGGCCAAATTTTCCTGGGGTCATGCTTTTTACAAGATGAACTCCCAGTTTCTCAAACGATATGCCACATGTAAAACCGCTGCCGAGGTAGAAGCTATGCAAACCAAAATACAGGATGAGATGGAGGAAGAGCGACAGCGGCGGAAAGTTGAGCGTGGTGAGTTCGTCAAGCTTTGTTTCAATCTACTTCTAGCCAGTCTCCTGAGAAATTTCAGACAAACATAATTTTCCATCCTCACATTTTATGGAATCGTGGACGAGTAGCAGAGATGATGGGTATAATAACCATATCTACATGACCAAATCTCTGACGTACAGCCGAATGGGCCGATGGGGATTTACTCAGATCAAACCCTAATCACGTTGGTCAAGCTTGGCGTCAAAACTCTCCCGGTGAGGTTGACGATGAGGAGGACAGTGATGAAGAACGAGTCGAAGATGTTCTTTCTGCCATTATGGCGAAAGTGACTGTAAGGGACGAGGGAAATTGATTGTTTCCTGATCCATGTATCTTGGGATGTCCATATGTCCCAAGCCATCACCTCTCGTCTCAAACTCAATCAACAAAGATGCCCTACGAACGATGGGTAGTTAAAATTTTCCCCACTGTCATCCCCTCCTCCGAACCCTTCCTTCTGAACGACTTGACGACAATCCATATCTACATCAAACGAATCTCACACTTCTCTCATATCTTTTACTTACCAAACTTCAAATCCTAGAGATCCGTACATACTTCTCATCTGAACATCTTCCCAAACCATTTCTCAAGATACAAGTCACCCAATACCCCTCACTCACGTGTTGATGACGTAACACATAACATAACTTTCCATAACAACCCAAAAGGTCATTCCTTCTAAACATCGCCTCTACCGAAAACGGTGAACACTTGTCAGCTGAAACGGTCATCACCTGTGAGTCAAACATTGACAACATCCGAACGCACCTTGTTTGGTACGAAGATCTCGCCCTGGATATTCGCATCCGTCTCAACATCTTGAACTTCGACACGGATCCTCATCGCAATGAAAAGTCAGGTATGCATATATGTTCTTTGGTAGACCAACGTCTACTATCTTCTGAAGTCTCGATAAAACTCCAATCATTCACATCTTTCTCAATAGAAACAAAAAAAAAACGGGTACAGACGGTTCTGACAATTCCTACGAAACTAGATTCAAGAAGATCGCACGTACAATCAACGTCCATTTAGCCAAATCGCAATTTTCAAAACTACTATATCACTTTGTCTTATCATTATAACAAAATCATCAAGACCACCGTTTTCAATCATCATCGATCACCAAAAAGAAATAACTCATCTCATCACGACCTCCATTATCCTCATCAACGAAATTTACCTACATCCTTTGATTCTCAATGAACACATCACCTCAATTCTCCACTCCCCTTCGTCCTATCCTACTCCCACCACGTCCATTCCTCCTAAGTCCATCGATCGAAAAAACCTCAAAAAACCTCTCCCTCCCACTTCCCTCAGACCCCCTTTCTATACCTTCTCAATCCTTAGCTCCCTCACCCATACTCACCGCCCAAAAACCTAGAGCACCCGCACGATATCTCGGACTTAGCATCCATCCCACTCCATTGACCATCCAACAATTCCTTGGATTACAAAGTCCACCTACCACACCAATACGTCATCAATACACTACCATCAGTATTCATCCTGATTCACTCACACCTAATACCGTCAGGAAATATTTAGGTTTAAACCCACTCGCTCAACCCGGTTTCTTATTACCTCCTCCTGCTCATGCAGATTGGCAAGTCAAGAGATTACGGCATGGTAAACGTTCCATTATCATTTTAGCAATGGTAATCTTCGTAGTGATGGTTTGTTCTTTTCCTTATTCTTACACTCCCATCACGGAGAAAAGTATAGATAGAACGGTATGGATGAGATCAGAATATGTTCCTAAATTACGATTGCATGGTCTGGGGAAGAGGGACATGTCTCTGAAAGATGTCAGATTGGGAGATGGGAAGGATACGTCAATAGGAATTATCAGATTGGATGATGGAACGGTTGCAAAACAAGTCGGAAAGGTGGAACATGTTTCTAAACAAGCGGGGAAGGAGTATGAGGTGGAGAAGAGATACCAAGAATCGCTTAAGTCTTCGTCCCTCATAGCCAGAGGGGAGATACTACTCGGCGACTTGCGCGAACAGGTCATTAGGAGGAGCATGGGTGACGGGTCGAAGATGGTTAAGGAGGTACAGAGTGGGTATGTGTACAAGAGGGATATGGACGATATGGATGTGGAAAAATTGCGTGTGAGGAAGGAAAAGAGTGGGATGGCTTTAGCGGGAGTGGCGCAAGTCGTCAGGGGTCATTAATCTTGAGAAAAATGACGGTCGTCTTATGAAGTTCGACAAAGGGGACCATCGGATTTCGAGTCTTAGTGCGCAATGACTGTCTCAGTCAATTGGGAATTTAGCCCGGGTGAGGGTATCTGGGTGATAAGCGGGAGCATATATCTGGAGGACGAGCGGTGGATGCAGGAAAGTCACGGATTCAGACCGACTGAAGAGAAGAAGAGAATAACATCAGTAGTGATCAATATCAGGTAGAAGAAAACACATATAGAGATATCACCTTCATGCACAATGCGAATGCCCAAAAAGGACTGTGTCCGTCACACTCATGATCCTGTATCGTAAAAGTACTCGTGACATTCATACTCCCGTCGAAGACTGCTCAGTGGGTGGTTGTAACCCAGCGGCGAGCTGCTCATAAGCTCATATCTCCCAACGAGGTAGATCAAGTAGATGTTCATGGAAGACGTGGAACTTACCCAAGCTTCCGATCTCACTCTCCACTTACTATCCTTAGTTTTTCCTTCTCTCACCGCCACCTCTTTCACTTTATGCTCTATCGCCGCTTTCGTAGTTGTATCCCCAAAATGAGCCTTGAGCTGGGAAACGAGATCGGTTCGGATACGTGGGTTATCATGTACCAATCGATACAATTCCCCTAGTTGTTCCGCGGGAAAAGCGACTTTAGGTCCTGTAAAGCGTTTGGAAGGACCCGCACCGTTCATCATGATCGTCGTTGTGTTACTCAGTTGTTTTACCGGGAGAGCGGGGACAGGGGTCGTGATATGTTCTGCCGAATAAAGACATCGGACGTTGAGATTTGGTCCTATTGCGATTGTAGAGAAAGAAGTTTTGTATGTAGGAGCTGGTGAAGGTGAGGTGAAAGTGAAAGGATCAATTGTAGAAGGTGTTTCTGTCCTCCTCAGTATTGTTGTCTTTATATCATGCGAGACGAGGAGATAATCAAATTCACTTACCATTGAGCAATTCTAAACGGAAAGGCTCTAAACCATCTGTTCCTTTCCCAATTTGTCTTTCCCACTCTGGTCCACGCCAATAAGGGGTGATTTTGGCTACTTTCTTCGGTACTTCCCTACTCTTCTTCACGACCTTCATAGGTAAGAGCTTCTGATCCAACTTTTTCGGACTGGCGACGAAAACTTCGTCATCAGCCGGCATGGGTTGTATACCAAAGTCTTCGGAATCATCAAGCCAATCGTCAAACTCATCATCTTCGTCATCCCCTTCACTTCCATCAACCTCAGCTTCCTCAGCAAAGTCGTCTACGTCTTCACCACCTTCATCATCTTCCCATTCGTCACCAGAATCGTAGGAGTAATCGAAGATAGGGTCCTGTGCGAAAGGCGTCCTAGGTCCAACAACCAAAGATTTCTTCGTCCATGTGCCTCGTCGTCAGAACTAGCTATCGGATGAGAGATAGGCTTACCGCTGTATGGTGGTCGAACCTGCTGATCGAAAGCTAATGTCTTCCAAGGGAACTTGTGTCTGCTACAAAGTTGATTGAGGACTTTACGCGGGTCGGCAGCTTCTTGATGAGCCGCCCAGATGTCAGCCACGGAACCGTACAATGGACCAGATTTGAGTCCGGGCGGAAGCAGTGATCTGGGCTTGAAAGGTCTGATGCGATGCTTTTTCAGGTGATCGGCGATGAAATCTGAATGATTCAGTAAGTGCACTTTTCCCGGGGGAGATAGAACATACCTGCCGGACCCCAATTGGCGACATACCCATCGTCATCCGCCGGTTCGCTATCGTCGTTGTTTGTTCGACTCCGTCTACTCACTAGCCAGCGATTGATGGGTGCCCAGACTATATTAGGGCGTACGGCGACAGGTTTGAAAGTCTTGTGAAAGTCGCTCTCTGCGGGTGGGGAGACGTGTTGCGGCTTGACAGCTATATGGGATTAGAGATATACAGCTGAATTGACTCGGAGGCTCACTCGAAGGTCCCGCGGGTGTTGACCGACAGACAGGCAATTTTGAGGGACCCAAAGGTAGTTTGGGCTTGAAGAAAGCACCGAAGTTTTGTGCTTGCTTTGCTAGAACTGTTCGCTTCTTTTCTGTTTCCTCATCTCTCCTCCGTTGTTCCTCCTCTTTCGCACTGAAGTATCAGCGAAGTCAGAAACGTAAAGTTGCGTACTAACGCCTTTTTCTCTGCTAGCGCCAGTCTCTTCGCTTCTCGTTCCTCATGCTTGATCCGTCGAGCTTTCTCCTATCACTCAGTATCACATGTAATCGCGGCTAATACTTGTATGACTCACCTCCTCCGGCGTCAGCTTTGCCTTGTTAGGCGACATACTCCGACGCGATCCAGAAGTACCAGCAGTGCCCTCTCGTCCTTGTCTAGGGGATTCATCGGTGCCGTCTACGATTGATGATTGTCTCGCTTGGCCAACCTAGACATTGTTAGCCCTTGACTGTTGTGCCGGGAAGTGAACTCACGTCTTCCATACCAGGCGCCTTATCTTTACCAGTCACCTTCTCCGCTTTCTCACTTCTTAACAATTCCAATTTTTCTATGTCATCCATGCTTTCTAAAATCCGCAAGCACTGCTGCCTGGCCTTCTCGTATATGGCAATCCTAGAGCGTACAACCTCTACCTGGTCTGTCGGAAGATACACAGATATCTCTCTGACCTCCCATCGAATTATTTGAAGTGACACTGGAAGCTTGCGAGGCGTAACTGGGAAGTCCTCTCGAGTGAATCCGTAGTGTTTCTGCTGGAACAACCTCGGTATCAGGCCGAGGACGGCATCCATGTCGATGAGGTCTAAACTTGTCAATCACACACATAGGCATATCTTTAACTTACCTTGTTGCTCTTTTGTGGCCAGACCCGACCTGATTTGTCTAGCAAGGACAACCTCTGTAGCAGCGGAGCTCCATGTCAGCTGTGCGATCAACCTTGAAGCGAAGGCTTACGATTCATGTCCTAACATAGCAACCAACGGCCAGTGCTCCTCGGGGATCTCTGTCACTTTTTTGCCTGCCTCTTCCACATCGAGAAGAAAGCTCTCGAAGTTCAGCTGCCCTGTACCTGGTTAGCAGACAGAGACTGAATTGGACGAGACACATACGTCGCTTGGGGATATTTCTCTGCCAAGGAGCCTGGTGAAGGAGGAGCCTTCGACCTTGGAGCTCTACCAGAGTTTGAATGTTGTGTATGGATTCAAGCTTAGGTTTCTTCTCTATCTGAGTGTTCTCCTTGTTCTCGTGATGGTCATTAGGGTATAGGCAGACGATCTCCGGTTCTACTGACAATATCAGCTGGAGCTACCATGAGGTCCCTCTAGTTGCTCACCATGTTCGACTTTGCGTTTGAGACCGTTGAGCCTTTCGGGGGACAGGCTAGGGATGTGTTCCGTTATAATGATGGGAGTCATTGGTTTTTGGGGCATGAAGCTGTCTGAAGACATTATGAGGGTGACGCTCGAGGTGCTACTCTAGGTGCGTCTCTCAGCAACCAGCCAGAAACGACAGCGCGAGAAAAGTCAAAGTCATTGACGCGTCGGAAGAAATTCGGAGCTACGGCGTTATGGTACTGGAGATGGAATGTGGCATAACGGGTTGTCCTGCTGCATACTGCCATGCTGCCAAGCCAAGACAAGAGCCCCTCGTGTGTGAGGCTGTGGCGAGTGCGCAGCGTACGCATGTGCAGAAGTTTGAAGATAGAGAGAGAGTATCGTCATAACTTCCTCGTTTCCAAGCTCACCCCCAACATAAAAACGATGTATTGTGAGCCGAAGCGAAGGTGGGGCACTGCGCCATGCGCCATGTCCCAATTTAGTGGGTTCGGTTCCGAGGGCACGGGCCTTGAAGCATGGCGTGCTCTCTTCTATCGGTGGTGAGTGTCTTCATACGCTTGCTCTTATGACTCACTCGATTGTGTCTCAATGCTTTTAGACTATGAGTCTGTTCGGGTGGATGATCTTGTAAATTACCTCGCATGACGATCGATGCATCCCCTTTGCGTGGTACGCAATGGACATGACGCAAAATGCACAAATGTCCCCCTCATGCCATGCTCGAGTTTCCCCAATTTTCGCCATTCGCCATGACGCGTCATTTGTTTCTAGAAAATTTGGCTCTGATCGGCGGCCTCGGCGGCGCGGCGGTTGTAACGAGTAGAGAAGTTTTTTTGGGGGGGACGCTTACAAGTAAGCTTTTGTGCCTTGCCGACTCGATGGTTTTTTGTGGACGTCCACTTGGGGCACCCCCCTTTTCTCCTCGGGGCACGACATGCCACGAACCCTGAGCCGAGGATCATAGGCCCGGCGTTACTGAACTCCCGAGGTCCTGATAGCTCGCTACCAAACGATCTGTCCTCACTATCAGTAGCCTCTTTCCCGTCATCATACTAGCAAATTCACGCTCTTTTTCACACACACAGTCTCTACTGCTCTCAAGGATCATTTTGATACCCTTCTCACTCTTTTGCGACTAATTTTGACCAACTTCGGGCCCTTTGCCTTCTCAACCTGCCCCCTCCCTGACTACCCCCATCAAATCGCTATAACTCTTTCAATCTTGACTGTGGTGTCTTCTCAGTCACTCGACGCTCTTCTCCTGGTCTCTGCGGGTCTGTGAGTACCATTTGGTCCTTATGGTGTGTGGTATGCATAGTCAAAGAGCGGATTTCAGTAGACATGGTCAATACTGCGGGTGATGATGATAGAGAAGAGTGGGAGCGGCGAACCCCGATCAGCGGCGTGTCCCGATCAGCGGCATTATTGAATCCCCGGTTGGTACGTGCCTGAGTTTGAGGCTCGTGGCATGTCGTGCCCCGAGGAGAAAAGGGGGGTGCCCCAAGTGGACGTCTTTTTGTGTACGAGTACCCGTATCCTTTCGTCAACATTGCATCTTCTGACCACACTACTTTGTATTCACCTCACTACATATATCCTTACGCTCACGACCCCACCAGTCTGTATCGTTACTTCGTTTATTGTGAGTAGAAGAGATCCTTGTTCCCCCATGTCTCATCTTTACCTCTGTGAGCGACTCGGGTTTCGGCCACACACGTGGATCATTACCCGGCCGAAATTTCGGTTCGACCGATGACATCTGTCCTTGCTCGTTCACTCACGCCCCCTTTTGTGGCTTTTGTACTTTTGTGTAGATGGCTACATACCCTTCAACTCTTCATCATCTTCCTTCTACATCAAGTGTCTATTCGGTACCATACTTTGTCTTTTACCTTTATCAAACCACTGCTCGGTTCTTCCCAAAGCCTCCCGTTCCGCCGTGACCTCTCGGTCCCCCCTTGTCCGTTCTCCTCGAAATCTTTCATATCCCTCATGACTCACTTTCTTAGTTCCTTTCCGCATATCTGACTCAAATACGACACAGTTAGATCTCTCGCTGATCAGTTTCAGCTCGTTATCATACTCGTCACATTACTCTCCGTCAATCTCCGACCTGTCATATACTCAGCTTGAAAGGCCGATAACCCGTGTCAGAGAGTCCAACGTGTCAAAGCCGTTTCATCTGATCATCCTCTCTACCCATCCCTTCCTCCCTCCTTCAGCCACACCAAACCACCACGTCCGACCGAGTCGGCTATCTAGAAAACCCCCCCTTTCATCATCTCTCCTTTCACCTGAAATTTCTACTACGTGTACGACTTCTCCCCCTCTTCTACTCGGCTCTTGTATCGCTCTAAAACTAGTCTTTCATCGTCTTTCTTCACACGTATTGCCTCCACCCTCCCTTGTACATCGCCCCGCTTTCATCTCCAGCTGCGACCTCTGCGACGCCCTCAGCCGTCCTCTTCATTCAATTGCTGTGCTGGCGGAGTTCTGTCAAAGTTCCAAAACGAGCAAGAGGTCGGGGTTTAGCTTGCGGAGACGTGAAAACCCCTCCCACGGTGGTACATAAGGTAGCACTGTAGTTCTCGTGAGTCTCTTTCCGCCTCATAACTTCCTCTCAACTCATCGATCAATTTTCCGCCTGCCTTCGAAATATTTCAATCGCTGACATGGGTGTACAGTCTCTACCTCCTCAAACTCTCGGTCCCAGACGTCCTCCGGCTTTATCTACCATGTTTGAAGAAGATCTTGAACGTTGTATCATCTGCGGAAATCAGTGTGAGAGGTGAGCTCTGCTCTAACTTACAATCCTATGACATTTCTGACATCATTTAGTTTGTATTGCTCATCAAAATGTCGCCTCGATGATTTGAAAGGCACGCCTTCTCCGGCTAGAAATGGCCAAGCACCCATACGTCTCACCGCTCAATTACCTCTTTCCCTCAGTCCTCTCATCCGTCCTACGCACCAGATATCTCCCAAAATTCTCGCTCGCAAACCTCGGTCAGCCCGGTCGGATAGTTCGGGTTCAGATTCGTCTCTCGGTCATTCGCCCAATACCATCCCTTCCGGCCCGGGCTCGCCACACAAAGATATCTTAAATTTGCCACCCCCCGCATACCCGATCCAGCAATCTTTGACATTTGCAGGAAGCATGCCTGTAAAAATTCCTGCTCTCCTTCCTAAACCTCCCAGTCCTCCCCATGGTTCGGTCAGTCCTTATCCTTCTTCACGCCCCTTGGCCATGGGAGGTTCGATCGACACTTTACATTTCGGTCGTAAACCAGGTGCGACCAATAGTGTAACTTCGCCTAACGCTCTCATTCCCATGTGTGCTTGTGGAAAACCTGCCAATCATAAAGGTCGACAGAGTAGTAAAGAACGAGAAGGTTCTGGTTTTTCTCGTCTTTCCCTCGGACCAGCCATAACCTCCGCCGAACCTGAAAACAACGCTCATCCAATACGAGTGAACCGTGTGGTCTCCGATCCGATCGTACCAACACCACATGAACGTTTCCTGACGCAAAAGTCCGATAAATTAGCTCTACCTCAAGAGAACCATCGAGCTTATGGTATTTCTAACATGCTGGGCGGTTCACTTCTTTCCCGCTCTCGATCAGATCCCATGCCTCCCAATCTGGCCAGTCTGAATACTCCAAGACGAATATCAAGTGCACAAATCGTACCTTTCACTCCTCATCAATCGACCGATGTGGAGATATTGGCATCACCCCTTCCAGGAGGCGGTGCTCCGCCTTCTTTAGCTCCAACTCATATGCCTGAGAGGAGAGGGAGAAGTAGAGAAAGACATCAACACCCCACTCTTGATTCCCCTGGTAGTCTTCTGGTTCAACCGCCAGAGAGGGAACGTCCACCTTCTCGATCCCGTCAGAGGAGAGATGAAGAACAACGTGTTGTAAAGAAAGAACGTGTGTCTCCAATTTCCACTCCCAATGAACCGCCTCAGATCTTGCCTAGCTGGTCGACCGACGAGAAAGCGGGTGGAGAAGTCGTTCCTGCTCGTCCACCCGGAAGTGGGAATAAGAGTCCAATCTCGCCAGCCAGGGGAGTGATGAGGGAAGAGGATTTACAAAGAGCTAATAAAGTGCTCCGGGGAGTGTTTGGGTGAAGACCGAGTGGTGGTGGAAGATTCTTCTTCACGGATGTGCGGGAAGGGGCTTCATATTCATTGTCTAGAATGGATGCAGGAAGGGAAGAGGAAGATTCAATAAACACGTTTGTCATTGTCACGATTAAAAAAAACCCAGCTTTTTTCCTTAGAAAACATATGTCTGCAAAGATTAAAAACTCAACTTATCAACCTTCAAAAATGCATTACATCAAATGAGTTTGTTCTTAAGGTGCATCAACCGTATCTTATACAATCATGAGTTCCAGCGCGTCCATCAATTGAAATTGTAGTAATCATTCTCAATCTTTTTGAACGGCTCTTCAAGGTAAATAAAAGCTCGGAGCAATGCAGCATATGAGACAATGACAAATGAGTAAATTTTCATGCATCTAACCAGAGAATCGACTATGGTGCTCGTATTGTGAGAAATGAGGAGATGTTTGTACAACAAGGATGAGGTTATATGTCCACACGAATCTTTTGTAGAATGGGAATGATCTGTAGTCAGTAAATTCATTGTGTTCAGTATGAGAGATATGAAAGATAATTACTTTGTCCCAATCGTCCATTGCCTGTGTGAGTCAGCTGTCATATTTCTCTCAGCATGTCTGAGTATGGGGACATAAGATTACTTTGAAGTTACAGGTGGGGTGAAGAGATGATACCGATTTGAGGTATGAGACCTTCGAGTGAGGTCACGATGGTGAGGGACAAGGGTAGGATGAACGATATTAGCGAGAAGGAAGAACATGAGAGGGAAGTGAGATATAAGTGAGGATGAGACAAGTTATCATGGATATTACTATAGATGACAAAGGGTTTAGAAGACGAAAGATGAGAGGAAAAAGCAGAAAAGATACAGGACAAAGACTTACCTTTTGAAACATCTCAATTTGACCATCAGCATAAGTTTGAAGCATCTCTTTCATCTCTTCTTTCTTTGATAATTCAAAAACATTATGTTCTTTTAACACTTCGTCAGAAAAGGCCGTACTTGTTTCGTGAGCGTTTGTGACCGCGTCTTGCAACTGTTGATGAGTTTTCTTCCGTTCTCCCTCCGTCAATCTCCTCTCGAAACCTCACCACTACCTGGTCTAGATTTGAAAATTTCAAGATGTTCCGTACCATATTACATGTCGTATAAGGTGATTACAGAGGATAACACGAGGCAAGATAGACAAGGGGTGTGATTGGAGGAAGATTGTCAATGAAAGCGAATGACACACCTCTTTTATCCTTCCGTCCAACTTCCTCATTCTCTCTCTTCTCGTATGTATATCATCTGTCCCTCTCAGACGATCAACCTGATCTCGAAGATATGTTGTTAATCCCACTGGTGCACCCGCATGTCCAGAGGAAAGAGCAGCAAGTCGATCACGTTCCGATACTATGGCAGATAAGTAGGCTGAAAGTTCTTCGAAATCTAATTGTTTTTGATCTCGGAGTTTGATGATACCTCTATGAGCTGCTGCGTGGGTGAGAAGAGAGTGAGATTGTAAGAGGAAAGGTTCTAAGGTTGTTGCGTTCTGTTTGGTCAGAATGGGTCTGAAAATAAAGACATATTGTCAGAATTCCCCCCTCCGATTTCCCATCAAGTTGTGTTCTTTCTGAGCCAATCAGGAGACGGAGTCGATGAATTTATTGATGATGGACATCACTGAAGGAAGATGTGATTAAGGGTGAAAGAAGTTCAAAGTTTTGAAAAAATGAAAACGTACCATATGTTTGAGTAAAGCTGAGAAATCTAACATCTTCTCTGCAAACCTATTCAACGGTTCCGTTATACCCGATTCTAAATATCCCAAACCTTGATACGCAGCAGCCATATCTTGATAATCCGCCGCTAAGTCATCCACCCTATTCTTACTCCTTCCCATCAAACGTTCCACACCACCTAAACCTTCTTCGAATCGTTCGAGCTGTTCGGCCATTTCCACAAATCGAGCATCGGGTTTACGAACACGTGAAAATGCATTGATAAATGTATCGCTCAAAGAGTCGAGGAGTGAAGTGTGGGAATCAGGTGGAGGATGAGCAAGATGATGATGTTTCGCTACGGACCATTCTGAAGAGGTTAGGAAGTCGTAGACTAATTTACTACGTTGTAATGTGGGATGACGAGCTATACGATCTGCGAAACGTTGAAGGCTTGTTGTCAGTCGAGACCGTTTCAACTTGAATCAGTGAGAAGTGGTCAGGTAATTGGACTTCAGGTGGAATGGTGGAGCGTAGGGAGATGGAGGTTGTGAATGTGACTCACTCTTGTCGACGACGCTCAACAAATTCCGCACCGAAACGATCACCTTTGATGTACTCTACATTCTCAGCTGAATGAAACGCGAAAATTCACATGGCGAATGCATAACGGGAATACAACTGCGGGGTACTCACCTAAACGGTGTTTGTCGGGGATGGGAGGTACCACCGAGGCCGGAAAGTTTTTTGCTAGATGATCATGCAGGAATACAAAATCTTGAAATCGTCTTCTTGTTACAGATTCTGAAGTGCGAAACGTAGGTAGATTGGTCTGATTGTGTCAATAACACCGCACATGCTCAAGCATAACATTTCCAGCTCACCTTTGTTCGAACGGCATAAGAAACGAACATGTCCTTTGTCCCATCATGTTCTTTCATCGGACTGTACACCTCTACACTCATCCATCTACCACCCCATTCGGCCGGATCAACCTCTTCAAGCTTTGCTGGTAGAGTCCGACGGGGTGCTCGTGGGGTATCATTGTTCGCTGTGGAAGTCGAAGGACTACCGGGAGATTGAGGTACAGGACTGATGGTTTCGAAACCGTGATCATCATCGATAGGCGATGACACGTCGAGGTGTGGGAGTTTAGGGGGAGCATCGTCCCATGCGATAGATTGGAACCCGTCTTCGTCGTCCATGACTTGAGCTGACATTATGGCGATGCGGTGTCGCGACGTGTCCACTTGGCCACTCACTCGCCTCAATACTCTAGGTTGTGGTCAATGTAATCTAAATGAGGGGATCGTTTAAATAAATGTGACCCGCCAGTGATCCAGTGACCATCAACGTCCTGTCACGAACAGAGAGAGAGAGCGTCAGACAGCAGTACTTAGTGTTAGCATCATTATTGACTACAAGTGTCCCAAGCGAGGTCTATCCATACAAGTGATACCTTTCAATAGGACTGCTGTCTATAGCCTATCATAGCCATATTTTGACTCATCACGTGTCTCTCTTCCTATCCCCCTTCCCCCACGTCCCTACTCTTACCGATACCCTCTATCAATACGCGGACGGGAGGCCTTCCCCTCCCTCTGTCACCACGTCTTCCCCTCCTTCTTCCCCTAGTATTACCGTCGACCCGTCTCATCCTCTGCTCACATTTGGATCTTCGTTACACACCGGTGTCGGACATATTATTGACCCGGGTACCGAGCCTAGCCCAGACCCAGCACGGACATCTCACGCACACTCAGCGCCTTTATCAGGTCCCGTATGTCTTTTCTCGCATCTTTCCTCCTCACCTTTCTCTCTCGTTTGTATCTCCCTCCTCTTCAACCTCATCCTTGTGACTTATCCTTTACAAACATCATAAATAAGAACCTCGCTCACTTCATGCAGCGAGGCATCGTAAGAGCTCGCTCGTCTTCCGTCACGAGTGATCTCGATCCCAGTGACATTCGTCCAAGACAAAGAGCAAGACAGTCGACGGTAATCTCCCCACCTTCTCCTCTCGTACATCTTCCTTCTTCACCCAAAGCAACACCATCTAATCGAGGCGACACCATTGACATCAATCAATTTGCCTCCCGTCCATCCTTTCCTACCCCCTCGTCCAATCCTAGACCTGGAATGTCAAGCACCATGGGTCCACCTCCACATGCCAGCAGCTCGATGAGCAATGGCAATTCGACATCTCCTACCAAACATACCAATGGTCATTCCATTCACGAAGCAGAAAGCCTGACCTCAAGTGGCATACCTCGATCAGTCCTTGCCGCTATCAGACCTCTAGAACCTCCCAGTGACCTAATGTACGACGATGATCGTGATTGGTCGGAATCTCAACGGCCTCCTGAAGTACCATTCATCTTCTCCGATGATGAAGATGGGTCTGCGGGGGATGACGAGTCTGAGAAAGCCAAAGGCAAGCGGGCTGTCCGATCAGTTGCCAGTCTTGGCAAGCGAATGCCAATCAAGCGGGACGAGATAGTCCGGCTCATCTTACAGGCTCTCCGAGACATGGGCTATGAGTGAGTTCGCTCGAATCTCACAGACTCGTGCTAAGCTTCCTTAGCCAATCATCTGACGTACTTGAATCGGAATCTGGTTTCCGACTTTCTGATCGAGCGGCGGCAGATTTTCAGGCTGCGGTCCTCGGTGGCAGATGGGCAGAAGCCCTCGCTCTCTTTGAAGACCTTGGGATACCCGTAGTGACCTTCCCAACAGAGTCTGAACCTACATCGTCCAGTTCAAGCAGTCTTTCGGGGAAGACCAAGGCTGTGGCAGGTGGCGGCAATTCACCGGCTGAGCAAGCGAGGTTCTTGATCTCACAACAGAAGTATCTCGAATATCTCGAATCTGGCAACCAAAAGAGGGCGCTGGCCGTCTTGAGATCCGAGCTGGCCCCTGTGGTGAAAGATTCGGAAGTGCTTCATACTTTGTCAGGGTAGGAGCTCTCCTTGGTGTATGAGAGCGAAGCTGACAAATGAGGTATATGATGTGCATGGATAAAGACGATCTCTATGAAAGATCAAATTGGGACGGCGCGGAAAAAACGTCTCGTCGTCGGCTTCTTGAACAGCTGCAAGGTTGGTGGATCTGTCGCTTGTGTTATAACGCTCATTCAAAGTCTTCATTTCGCCTGAAATCATGGTGCCATCTCGCCGACTCGCCGCCCTGCTCGAGCAGGCTAGACGGTATCAACAACTGTCATGCGTCTACCACGACGAAGCGGGACCCTCTTCCCTCTATACAGATCATGAATGTGTCTCTGGGGAATTCCCATGTGTCACCACGCACATCTTGGCGGACCATACGGACGAAGTGTGGAGAGTAGAGTGGAGTCCAGACGGTAGTATGTTGGCGAGTTCGGGCAAGGAGCAGACGGTGATCATCTGGCAGCTGAAGGTGAGCCGTTCGGACCCTACTACAAGAGTGGCGAGCTGAGACAAAGATCACGAAAGCGGAAGACGGATCCGTCAAATACGGTATCGAACATCTGCACCACCTGACCGATCATCGAGAATGCATAGACGTCTTGGCTTGGTCTCCGGACGGCAAGACGTTGGTGACGGCGGGGGAGAAGAACTTATATCTCTGGAATACTAGGGTGAGCTTGACGAGTTCAAGTCGGGCTGGGTCTTACGCGCAGACGGGCAAGCAAAAGCCCACTGTCACGGGTGTATCTCCACACACCGACTCGATCAGCGCTGTACGGTGGATGCCTGATGGGTCTGGCTTTGTCGCTTCTTCCATGGACTGCAAGATCATCTTCTATGTTTGTCAATCTCGTCTGACGTTGTGGCAGTGGCTGACGGGGCAGAGTCCGGCAGGTGCCGTCATGAGATCTTGGGCTGTTCCTTCACAGCAAGTGCTGGACTTTGTCATCACCCCCGACTCTGCACGACTCATTGCCGTTTCAAGCACACTACGGCGGGTACCTATCGATAGTAAACTGAAGCCTGCCATGTCGGCTCGAGCTGGTCAAGGCCCCGACATTGACGCACCCGAGGTCACCCAGGGCTTCGATTATGGTCAGATGGAAAGAGGCCTGATGATAATACGCATCAGCGACAAGGAGATCCTAGAGTGAGCTCGTTGTTCATGGCGGGTTCGTCGACGATGAATTGACTCGACAGTTGGTACAAGGACTTGAGGACGGACGCGACTTGCGTGACATTGTCATCAGATGGGAAGAGAATTCTCATTAGTTGTTCGCCGGACGTGAGTTATGCTGATATGATGTGGAAATCAGCTGATCTTGCAGGAGATTCAAATGTGGACCATTGAGCCTCAATTACGGTATATCCGGAAGTTCTCAGGTCACATCCAAGGCAAATTCCTGATACGCTCGTGTTTCGGGGCGCCAAAGGATCAATATGTCCTCTCTGGGTCTGAGGGTGAGCCTTCTTCATCTTGCTCACGAGATCGGCTGGTGAGATGCTGACTAGCAGATGGGTCAGTCTATGTCTGGCAGTCCGAATCGCCTACGCCTATCGAGGTGTTAGCGGGACATGGCGAGACGGTTAATTGCGTGGCTTGGAATCCCATAGCTTCGAGGAAGATTTTCGCATCGTGTTCGGATGATTGGTCGATGTGAGTTTCGCCTATCATCTGTTATGTTGCCTTGCCCCAGGAACTGATATCTCAGACGTATCTGGCAACCGCCAAGTGCCTTGGAACGGACGTCTGATGCGATCGTGCAAGATGGCCAAGGGGAAAACAAGGAGGATGACGCTCAGCCCGAAGAACTAATTGAAGAACTCGGAGATACTGGCGCTGAGAGATCTGATGAGGCGATGCTTGGATGATGAAGAGCTGTATGGGAGATCAACTGGAAGGAGATTTCTTTGCATGGTATGAGCAGTAGGCATCTTTCAGAGAAACAAGAGTCAAACACAGAATCAATGCAGTCACCTGTCCGATCTGGGTTTTTGGACGTGTGGCATGCATGGGGGCGGGAAGAGGAGGCGGGGGTACGGGTCGGCCGGACCGGTACCGGAACGCCGGCGTCGTGCTCTCTTTACGAACCTCTGGGGGGATTTCCAGCTTATTCTTTTTTCTCAACCTTAGCAGTTGAAGCTCTGACCATTCGAACGCTTTCGCTTTTCTTTTCGCCACATGCCGTATCGGCTAATGACCGCAGATCAGGACCGGCCCGAAACGTCCTCCACATATACACAGATGTCCTCGGCTATGAACTCTACTCCACTTCTAACATCTACTGAAACAATCTACCATTTTGACAGAAACTTATTCGACAAAGTACATCTCTCTTATAAGATGTCATCGACAATGACCATGACGGCTCCTCCAGCCACCACGGCTGTACATCAACAGGCTAAACCGTTGACCGCCGAGGAACTTGCATGGCTCAACGACGGAAAACAAGTCGTCTCTGGTCAACTTGCCGCTCAGGCGTTCGGGGCCACAAAAGGGAACAGATTACAATTGAGATTGAACAGTCCTGAATGGATGCATAAGTTGGACAAGGATGGTGAGTCTTGCTTTGCTTTCCACAACGTCTTTTCGTTCCTTCGACTATTCCTGTATTCTTCACCACCGTGTATTTAATCAGTTCCTTTCATCACTTCTCTCATTTTGCTCCTGCAACGTCTTTCCGTTCTTTCAACTATTCCTATATTCTCCATCACCGGGTATTTGATCACTTCCTTTCATAACCTCTGTCAAGTAGGATCATATGGAGGGAAACATGAAATCATCCTTATGGTTGTGTGCACATGTCTGACTCAAATAGGCTTTGTGGTCATACCTGGTGTCATACCCGAAGAAAAGGCGAAACAATATGCTTCTCAAGCATACGATTGGATGGAATCTTGGGGATTAGGATTTGATAGGAATGATCCTAGTACTTGGAGAACTGAAAACTTGCCTTTCAACTTACGAGGTGAGTTTTTTTCTTCAACTTAGAGTATTCATCATGCCTTCTTTTGACCTACTGCTTTCCATCTTCTTCCTGGTGAAATGTTGCTACTTAGTACTTCAGCTTCTCCCTCTTGTCGTTATAAGATATACAGAAAGCCAGAAGACATCCTCATGACGTTATCATCCGTTTCCCACTTGGTTGCGTCTTTTCAAACGACGGTGCACTCTGTTGATAGAGATCCAGACTGTGAACCTATGGTAATTTCAGAACTGACATATAGGCGGTATTTTCGGTCGTGGTGGAATGTCATACCAGCAATTCGTTTGGGACATAAAGTGACTTCCTACCATGTTTATCTTGAAATGGGCTGAAAGAGATAGACAAGATCCGAACGTTATCGATAAATGGGAACAAATTTGGGGAACGAAAGAACTTGTTACTTCGTATGGTCAGTTCACGTCGTCTTCTTTTCTCCTCCCCCCATGTCTACCCTTTGTTTATCTCCCCTCATTGATATTCCTCCATTTTCCATCCTAATCACGAACACGACAGATACTACCATGTATACTTATAACCGGATCTCCTCACACCGTCCTCTGCCTCCACTTAATCGAATCTTGTTCCTGTCTGAAGGAGACAACGTTCTACTACTCCGTACGGACATTTGAATCATGCGATAGACCTGACATACAGACGCCGTCAACATCTCCATCCCTTGTCCCAGAGACCCAAATGACAAACTCCTCAAACCTTGGCCTCACGTGGATCAATCTCCTCTAGCCACCGACCTTTATTCCGTCCAGGGTTTAGTCAACCTTTTACCTAATGGACCACAGGACGGGGGTTTGTTAGTTTTAAAAGGTAGTAAACAATTGTATGAAGAATTTTTCAGAGCTTTTGACCATCAAAAACCTGAAGGTGGATGGCCTACTATAGATAGGTATGATCATACACCTGAACAAAACCAAGTGAGTCTATTCATATCAATCTTGTGACATTTTCTTTCACTTCTCATCCCACTCCCTTCACCTGCCCGGTATATCAAATTTAGTTGTGCACTACGTCGAGATAGACACAAAAGTATAGTAACCATGGGAAGTAGAGGGGTTCGGAGGTATGGTCAACTAAGATAATGGCTGATTACTTTAGTGGTTTATTGATAGAGGATGTGAATGGGTTAAAGTATGTGCTAATCCTGGTGATCTTGTATTATGGGATAGTGTGAGTTTTTCTTGTTTAACGTACTCCTTCTGGGTCAATTGTACATCTCCACATCTCCACGTCCTCCTTCCTTCTTTTTGTTATTTACTTATGTATTTGGGAACGAGAGAAAAGGAACTTACGAAATAGAGAACTGTACATTATGGTGGTTTACCTCAACGTGAAGCGGAAAGGATTGCATGTTGTGAGTGAACCCTCCCTACTTCACGTTTATCTTGATCTAGACTTTTCAAATCCATCTTCATTTAATCCCCCAGTTCTCAGTCGAAACAACTGTCGAAGGTAATGTCGAATTGTTGAATCGTTGCACGCTCATTTAAAATGACAGAAGAATGTGGAGGTGGAAGAACGAGTTTTGCAAGTAGGATGGTTGGATGGTTGGATGGTTGTCTGACTAGGACGAACGTTAGGAGATCAAATTAGCTGACCTCTTCAGACGTATGTTTCAAACCTGCAGCTTTCCTAACTCCCGAAATCAAAGAACGTCGTCTCAAAGCATGGCATAACCGCGATAACACTTCTCATGATCCTATCACTTTCTGGGTCAACCCTTTCCTCCCTCCAGAAGATCATCCGACATACGAAACTGCCAAAGGACGTGAACAACCAGAACCAAAGTTGACCGCTCGTGGTAGACAATTGGTTGGGTTGGATGAATATTGAGAGATGTTCCATTTTACTCGTACAGTATCTCAGTCATCTCAAGTTCATAGGGCGATGTAAGAGTATCAATAATTTGAGGAAAGAGCTCCGAGATGATGATTTCGTAATAGTACGATCACTCTTTATATGCCGTCACAATACTTTCTCAATTTCAACTATGCGACGGATAACTTTTGGCTACATCTCTTTCATGCGACGAATGCTACGTTTAACTAGATTCTAACTCTGACTCTTACTATGGATGCTCAATTATCTAAGGTCGGATAGCGATTTTGAGAGCTTGACGACTGGCCATCTTATCGAGGGCATCTTGGTATTGTTCCAAAGGAAAAACGTCGGTACTGAAGATCAACATCTGTTACGTCGTCTTTGATGATTCACTATCACACGGGAGTATATGACGGATGTGTGGGAAAAAGGTCAAAATTGGCGATTGTGAAGATACGATTGTGTGCAAGTAGATAGAACCTGGGGATACGTATCATCAGAAGAGAGGAGAGAAGGAAGACCAAAAACCCATACTCACACCATACCCTTGGTACGAATCTTACCAGAGTCTAATAGCTCAATAGCCCGGGGGAAACAGTAGGTCTGCGAGAAAGAACCGATAATCTTGATCTCGTCCACGAAGATCTTGGTAGGGGACCAATGAACGCGGGCTTTGTCTTCGTACACTCCATAAACGAGCAAAGTACCTCCGCGGGAAACGTAGTTGATAGCGTCATCGACGATCGATTCCACACCGGTGCACTCGGCTACAACGTCGAAACCGTCTGAATATATCAGCAAGTAGTCTACGACTTGTGTTTCACGGCCGAAGTTCCTCCCACAGTGTCTCCCAATGAAATTAGGCGAGAAAACCGCGGGTGGAGATGAGAATGCAAAGAAAACGTACATGGGTTATCCTGCTTGATCTTTGCCCATTGAGCAGCAGCGTCATTCCTGTCCAAATCGATATACGCATCCCCCGCATCCAACTGACGCGCGAGATCCATCTTGATGCCCTTGTTGGCGGCGATGGTGATATGTGCTGCTCCTCCAATCTATCATCAGCCTTGGTGAGGCTATACGGAGCTGGCTCACCTTCATCAATTGAGCAAGGATAAGACCAGTGGGACCAGCACCGATCAAGAGGACTTTGGCCCCGAAGGGCATCTGGAGTTTGTCCATCCCGTGAATAGCACATGAGGCAGGTTCGAGCAAAGTGGCCTCTTCGTCGCTGAGGTTCTTGATCTTGTAACATTTGGAAAAGTCGCTAAGAGTCTATCAGCACTCTTGAGTCCAAGTCTCACATCTTTCCACTTTGAATGTCACTAATGTCTCTGAATGCCCCGATAATCACAAGAGAGATGGGGAGAGGTATAGAGGTAATCAAACGAGGCAAACTCAGGTAAAGTGAGAAGAGGGGAATCAACCTACTATTTGATATAATCCGCAAAACCTCCATCCCTCGTCACACCTGCTGGGGAGAAATGTTCACAGAAGAGTTCTTCTCCTCGTCGGCAATAATGACAAGATCGACAAGTTTCTGTCCATCAGCCTCAAAACTCTTCAGATCGTTCTTCGGCTGATGGTACAAGCAACCTCAGCTGAGAGACGACCTTACAGGAGATGAATGGTGGAAGGGAAGGCAGAATGGACTCACCCCCAACATCCGCAGCAACCCTGTCACCTTTCTCGAAACCCGTCACTTTCTCTCCAAATTCCACAACCCTTCCCACGGCTTCATGACCAGGGATCAACTTTTACGTCAGCCTGCTCTCTCTCTGTCACCTGTCGATTTTGAAGCAGAGGATAGTACGGCGAAAATGAGGTAGGACCAGCGTGATATGACGAAATGAAGGCAACTTACAGGGAATTTAGAGATAAACTCTCCTTCATGGATATGAGCATCTGTACCGCACACTCCACAAATGTCCACTATCCGTCAGCCCTGCCTACCAGCTCTTCAAGATGGGAGGACTGACCTTTGAGGAGAATCTCAGTAGGGCCGACTTTAGGAATGGGAACAGTTCGAATGTCAAATTCCCTTGGCTGATCGAGATGATTATAATGACGTTGTCACCAATATAGCAGGTGTGGAAGTGAGTGGTGAGAGGACAGCCGATGAGCAAGGCAGGAGGAAGAAGACAAAGGAGATATCAAGAAGAAAGGGAGGTATGAGTGGTTGGGGATAATGATGAGAATTGAGTAGACATTGATGATTACGTCGACAAAAGAGTGGTATATTTATGAGAGAGGGAAAGTCGACAAGAGGAAAGAAGGGAAGACGTCAGCGAGGTTCGATGAGGGTAAGAATGACTAACCTGGCTATACCACAAAGCTTTCATTTCACCGTTGGCGACCATGATTATGATTTATTGACTATGATTTGTGAGTTCTGATATGAGTAATGAGATACGCAGACACTTGAATAGGTAACCAGTCAAATAATGTTTCAGTGGAAGAGGTACAAGTATTCTTTTCGGATCGCAAGAGCAAGTGAATAGAAATGAGATGGATAGATGTAAGATAGAAGGGAGAAGAGCGCTTAGCGAAGACATCCCACATGATTGTGGTACTGAAGGAGACTAATGATGGGCGTGATATCAATTCCAGGGAAAGATATGAAATTTGGGGGGACAGAGGATTCGATAGCAGCACCTACCTGATTAGAAGAGACTTGCTGGTTGATAACAATGTCAATGACAGTTGTAATGAGAGTGAGAGAAGAGTATAAAGAAGGCCGAGAGTAGCCCTTTGAAGTCTTTGAACAGTTAGGGATGTCTTCGATTACACTCCCTTGTTCTCTGTCTACTTTCTCTCATCGTGGACATCGATCGCCACTGGAAGAAAAGATTTGATCCGGCGCGGCGGTACTGATAGGGGTCATAGGGTGATGGCCATGATGACGTAGTGCAACTCAATAAATCCCTGAACGATTGTGCACCCCGAAAAAGCCAGCAGCTGCTAGCTCGCTGGTTGAACCCTCACAGCATCACAAAGAAGCAAAGTCTTTCACGCAGGACAACGTGTACAACGGAGAAGAAGCGGAACTGATAAGGGGAATATGCAAATTCAAAGCGCTCGACGATCGACGTGTACTATTCGAAGGATACATGAAAAGACCTTCACGAGTTCAAACATTCCATCATTCCAACCTCCACCATTCATGATCACAACATGCAGCACGCAGCATGCAGATCAAGATGCACGTCGTTACGCCGGACCATCAAATGGAGGATTTACTGCGGTCGAATGAGCGCGACGAATCCGAGACTGTGAACAAGACTCACTTTCGCCATCATCATCTGCACAAACTCGTTATAATTGATCTGACCATCGCCTGCGGATGAATAACGACCCTCAGCTAAGTCCTTTGTCACACTCATCACAGTTTTCGCACCAACATTAGGATCATAGATACTATCAATGGGGCAAGGCAAGCAGGAAAAAAGGAAGCTTGGTGAGAGATACCGGGCATGGAGTACTATCTTGCCAACCACTCACCATCCTTGTCCGCTTCCCGGATCATCTCATCCACTTCTGTGTCTGAGAGCTTCTCACCCAGATTGGCTGTTAGTCAACTTCCTTTCTCCTTTCAAACCTCTCAAGGAACATACTCATGACGTGTTTGAGCTCTTGGGCAGAGATGTAACCGTTACCGTCCTTGTCAAACACCTACACGTTAGTTCGCTTTCATCTTGCATGGCAATACCGTCCCTCTCTCTCACACGCCCACACACGACCGATCTATTCGGGAAGCGAGGGTTTGGGGTTCGATGTGGGGCATGAAAGGACTTTGGACCAGAATAAACGGAAGAGGCACATGCAGGTAGACGAAGGATCATTGACAGATCACGATTAGTGAATCTCCGCGATGAGGAGTATAAATGGGTATCTCATGGACGGAATAGGAAACAAAAAAGCCGGTTGAAACGGAACCTCACCTTGAAAGCCTCTTTGATTTCCTCCTCAGAATCGGTATCCTTCATCTTACGAGCCATCAAAGTAAGGAATTCCGCAAAGTCGATCGAGTTGTTACCATCCGCGTCGACCTGAAGGTCAATATCCAATCTTCTTTCCATTTCTCTCAGTACCACACCGCCCCTCTCTCCCGCCGTGCATACAGTCGAAGCTGTCAAACCTGATAGCCATCAAACGTAATACGCTGTGATAGTTGATTTGTTTTTTTTTGGAACCGAATGATATTTTCCCAGCCAAACTCCCCCCTCAAACCTGATACATTGTGAAATCTGATCACTTTTGGGGGCTACGGAAGCCTAGTTTCACAGCTTCGACTGTATATCTGGGAAATGTCTCGTTAAATATAGAACAAGATCACGTTAGACCGCGTAGAATAGAATGTACTCGGTGATCTGTCTCTCTCAGAGACCCCAAGAGATGTGGAATGATATTCCGACCGGCTGGAAGAATGTGGGCTTGTTTCTCGGATAGACCACATGAGGCACCTACTTCGTTTATCATATCTTGCAATTCGGCCTCGGTAGGGTTTTGACCTAAAGATCTCATAACGGTACCGAGTTCTTTGGTGGTGATTGTTCCATCTCCATCTGTTTCCGTAATAGCAAAGGACGATATCACAATGATGTCGCATTGATATGGGATAGATCGCACCAGGTTGATTTCCGAGGAACGGGTAATGATGTAACACAAGGAATGAGGAATGTTCAATGAATGTAAATTCAGAAAAAGAACACATCAGCGAAGATATCCCCTACGGTTGACAAAGACCACAGACTGACCTTTATCAAAGAGAGAGAAAGCCTCTTTGAACTCTTGAGAAGCATCAGTACATCGCCTCGTGTTTCTCATGTGTATGACTTACCGGCAACTTGTTCTGTAAAGGGGTGGCGTCAGCATGCTCTTCCTGAATCGACCACAACCATGTCCCACTATGCTTCCTCTATCAGACATACTTATTGCACCGATGGAAGATGATAGAAGGTATAGCGATGATCGAGAAGAGACGAGAAGTCGGAGGAAGCAAGCATACCTTTTGTCTGATAATCAGCAAAAGCTTCAACACGTGGAAAGCTGCGAGGAATGTGAAAGATACTTACAAGTTGGTCCGCCATTGTTGTCCCTGTGTTTTAAATGTTACTTGGATACTAGAATTTGTATAGATTCGATGTTCAAATTCACTAGGAATGAACGTTGATGTTGAATGGGAGAAGCAGTGAGAGAAGCTGTACGAGGCAATGGCGGCACACGGCCGCACGGCGTACTTACCTTAAGGAGGTCAATGCGTGACGCGCCAAATTGGAGCCCCTACCTGACAACTGACCTTTTTCTTCAGCTCTGTTGTCAGGTAGGTTCGATCGACTCTGGATTTCTTTGTGTTCGCACTGGTCAAAGAATACTGTACTTTACACTTCGTAAGCCAGTTGTGTCAAGACCCTCAACAATTGTAAAACAAGGAGTAAGAGGTTGACAAGATGACTTCTATACTCAATCGAGCCATCAACGTCTACTCTTTACCTTCTGTATTGCTCGATAACCTTCAAGTTCGTTCCATCCAAGCTGAACCTCCTTCCTCCGCCACCGCTGGACCTTCAACTGCCGTGATTCCCACCGGGAAGCCAACTGAGAATGGATTGATCAAGAGTCAAGTCGGAAGTGGATTGTTCAGTTGCCAAACATGTCCACAAGCCACATTTGAGACTGTCCAATCGCAGAGAGAACATTTTCAGAGTGATTGGCATCGATATAATATGAAAATAAAACAGAATGGTGTGGTGACAGCAGAACAATTTGATCAGATGGTAGAGAGTGAGTTCAACCCTTCTTCTCCTTTCTCTTTCCAATTCTATTACCTTCCTTATCCTGCTCTGGTGCTTGTTAGATTTAGGCATAATTCCAAAGTGAAATTTGACCTCTGCATTCATCTGCCTCATAAGATAAACAAAAACAAGTCAGAAGGCATCACGTCCAGATGTTTATATATCGTTATCGTGAAGAACACTCATATCAGACCTATCATCCATATCCGGTTCCGAATCCGGTTCATCATCTTCATCCTCGAATTCCTCAGACCAAGACAAAGTTTCTAAACTCCTTCGACGTCAACGTCTTCAACCTATCAATGAAGATGAAGAAGCTCTTGAGCTTGCTGATCGACAACGACGAGCACATCTACGAACAGCCATTATTTGGTTTGCTCCCAATAGTCCCATTGAACAATTGGGAATACCTAAGGACACTCAGTTCGGTATCCACAGAGCCTTATTCCCACCTTTCGAACGAGCGACGGAATATCTTGATGAGTTGAAGAAGATGCAATTGTCAAATCAAAACCAAATGAAGAATGGAGAGGAGGAAGAGGAGGAGGAGAGAAGGATGACTTTGTTGATGGTTGCCGGAGGACATTTTGCAGGGATGGTAGTTGGTATAAGACCAAAAGGAAAGGGAGAGAAACAAGATGTGAAAGGGGCTGGAGAAGTGAGGGTTCTACAGCACAAGACATTCCATAGGTATACCAGTGAGTGTTATTGTATCTATTTTCCCACTCTCCTTTTTCTCGCAGAATTTTAGTAGCATGGACCCTCAGCCGTTCTCTCGGCTTCGGCTTTGCGGTCGGCGGATTATTGGCGATCATTGCCTCGATATTCAACCAACCAGTCTTGGGATTTATGGATGGTCGAGAAGATGGGTAGCCATGTTTTTGAGTCGATGAAGATGATCAAGAAGAACAAAATTAGAGACTGATAAGTTAAGCTCGAAAGAAACAAGGTGGTTCTCAATCCATTAACGATAATGCCAAATCCAAAGCCATCTCAGCAGGTGCCATGCTACGTCGATATGGAGAACAAGCACTTCAAGAAGAGATCAGAGCTTTGATGGTTGAATGGAAAGAAGATATCGATTTGTCGGAACGTATATTTATTCGTGCTAGTACACATGGTAGAAAAAGCTTTTGGGGTTATGAAGGTGCTGTTTTGGACAAGGGGGATCCTAGGATCAGAGTATTTCCTTTTCCTACTCGTAGACCGGTATGTTTTTCTAATCACATTTCTGTCATTTAATCTCTCTCGGTGTGCATCATACACTAACGAACCCTTGCTTCCTCCCGGTCAGATCACCGTATCTCAACTGCAAAATCAACATCATTACCAGCGTCGATACCTAGCCCATGAATGTGGAGTGATTCATGCGGTCTCACCTGTATGGGCTGTATCAGTGCTGACGCCTCAGACACAATCCGAATTATTGAGATGTTGGCACGAATTGATCAGAGTTCGAATATCTCATCTTACCGAAGAAGCTCTTCGTCAACAAGATGAAGAATATATCACTTCACTACAACCTCGAAAACCGACCATCAAACCTTCTCCCCTCCCGTCTCCCATCACACAACCGGTACAGAAGAAAGACCCCGAAGAAATAGCTAGAGAAGATCGTCATCGTCGATTAGAAGAAATGATCATCAAAGGTCGTTTAGAATCTCTTCGTCCTTTTTGGGAAAAGTACAAATCAGGATTCTCCTCCGATGTTCTTTCTATCGCTTCTCAAGCGGGACAAGAAGAAATAGTGAAGTTTTTGCTAGAAGAAAAGGTTGATCCCACTTTACCTTTGGATGATGGGGCAAGGCGATCATACGATGTGGCTAGTACTAAAGGCGTACGGAATGTTTTTAGAAGGATGGCGTATGATCATCCTGATTGGTGGGATTGGAAAGCTGCTCATGTTCCTAGTGGTCTGAGTGAGGAGCAGGAGGTAGCACAGGAACAAAAGAAGATGGAGAGGAAAAGGGGATTGAGGGAGAAGATGAAAGAACGTGAAAAGTCTAAAGCTGTAGAGGTTGTCGAACCTATTCAACAAGTCAAGCAAGAGACGTCGAGCGTTATAGGACCTACCCAAAAGTTGGGAGGGAAAAGTGGAGAAGGAGGTTTAGAGGGATTGAGTAATGAGATGAGGTTGAAGATTGAAAGAGAGAAAAGAGCCAGGGCGGCAGAAGCTAGATTCAAGTGATCATGATTATTCTTGCATGTAGCATTTTCGAACACGTAAAGTTTGACGCATGATTCAAACTATCATACAATCCCAAATGGTACTAACAGAATGGAAGACTTGATTATTCAGCGGAAACATTGCGCACATTGAGGATGATCCGGAAAGGTGATTAGTCGAGTACGATGGGATTTGCGATGCTTCGACCTTTAACATCACCTTTGAGACGTCGTTTGGGTTCAGGAATGACAGGATGTTCAGTTTTGACTTTTCTCTTGGCCCGCATACGATTTAGCTCGGCCTGTGATCAGTCTCGAACAAATTCACCGTCACCAGTTGAAAGTTGACTCACTTCAAGTTCCGCAATACGTGTTTCTTCATCTGCTTCTTCTTTTTCACGCTCCACCCTTTCACGCTCTTCGCCTGTTGGTTCTTCCGGAGCTGGACATGAGCGCAGATCCACCACGAACCACAACCACTAGCAAGATCTTTGCTCGTAACGACGTACACCCATAGCAAGACTTTCGTTTATCTTTCAAGATGCACAGATTCCAAGTGTACTAGAAGGACTCACGAAGTTCAATTAAACCATTTGCAGCAAGTATACCTCTTGTTCGATACTGTCTCTTCAGCGATTGATCCTATATGAGGAAGAAATGGCTTACTCGGAAAGTGAAAGCGTGAGATCTGGCCTGTTGAAAACTAGCGGGGTAAGCGTAAAAATTGGCTAGACTGGCCTCCTTGGCAGGAGTCACCGCTCCTGGTCTGTTCTCTCAGATTTCCATTCTTTTAAAATAATGAATCTCTCACTCTACCCGCATTCCCACCAATCCCTGAAGATCAACAAAATCTCTTAGCTTTTTTTCAATGACAAAGATAACCCACTTTTTTACTCCGTTCATGTACGGGTCGTAAGTCTGGACGCTGATATCCTCCTGCGATACCTCGACCAGTAGCCCAACCAGTACCACTAGTCAACTCCAATCTGATCGTGCCCAGGTTTACCATGGCTTTCAAGTCAGACAAAGCCGTAGGATCGTCTGAAAGTGACTGACCATCAGTCTGAGTGGTGCTATGTGGGAAGGTGATGTAACATACCAGCTTCGCGAATTTTAAGGGAGCTTCCATGACTTGATTAGCCTGAGTGATCCTCATCTTGTACGTTCGAGTGGTAGATGGTGTACCTAGGCTGAATGGAGTATGGATACAACTATTTACGAGGTTTCCATCGGCGTAATAAGCGACTTTGTAACTGTCATTGGCATACTCGGATGAGTTTGGGTCGGTGAGGCAAAATGCGAATTCCTACATTGCTGTATCAGCTTCATTAGTTTATTATGGGAAAACAACAACTCACTTGACCCGGTTCACTCTCCAACCAACAATGTCTCTCTTGTTTCTTATCACCAGATGCGACCTCGTGAGCCTCTTCATATTCGTCTGAAGGAGGATCAGCCAATAGTCCAAGTTGGAAAAGAAGACAAGCAGCTCACTGAGTCTTTCCCATTTCCCATCTTTCAACCCCTCAATCCATACCTGGTTACTTAGCTAGCACACCTCAAAACAAGTATCAATAGCTCACCTCCCATCCATCGAAATCTCCTTGACCTTTCATGGTGTCGCCAGTCACTATCAAGAAGAGCAAAGAAAAGAAGATGAGGAAGACGAAAGGAGGTGAGCGGACGTGAGGTAGATTTCAGGCACCCACGTGAAGCGCGAAGCGGCGTCGCGGGGAGCCGTGCTGTGCACGCTGTGACGCGTTTCACGCGTCCATCCCATGTCTCCCCCGACTGGCCCATGTTAGATGCTGGATGCTATAACAACTGGAAGAAGAGCATCACTCGGGTGACCGTTGGTCGTCTCACAGTATAGTTATCCACACGACATATTGACCTATACATTCTTGTTTTACAACTGACGTGAGGTTGATCACCCACTATTACACACATGAAATCTGTTCACTCTGAAATTCGACTCATTCCCCATGGTCTAATCGTCCAGGACGATGGGGTTGGCGACACTTTGACCCCGAGCGGTCCCTTTTGTGCGGCGTTTTGGTGTAGGTGTCTCACAGAACTCGGTCTTGATTCTGCGCTTCGTCCTGAGACGGTTCAATTCAGCCTGTAAACATCAGTCTACTCGTATGGGGGACTTTCGAACACACAACACTCACCTCAAGCACTTCAAGTTCCGCTATTCGAGCCTCCTCCGCTGCTTCTGCTTGTGCCCCTTCTTCCCCCTCTTTCCTCGCACGTTCTTCAGCTTGCCGTTCTTCCTGCGTGGGCTCATGTGGAGCTGTTCTTCAGCCCAGTCATTCATGATAGGATGTGAGGATAGTAATGGCCAAGGGGGAAAGTAGGACCACTCACGAAGCTCGATGATATGATGACTGGCGAGATAAGCTTTGGTACGGTACTGATGATTATCAATCTACGAGCGCTCGAGTCGGATGAGACATACTCGAAAGGTGAAAGCATGGGATCTGCGCCGCTTGTGCTTGGACGAGTGCCGGGTAAACCGATATAGATTACGTTCCGTCTGCGGGGTCAATCTCCCGGGCCTGCAGTTTCAGAGACTCATATGTAAAGATGGCATGACAGACTTGACTCACTCAACACGTAGGCCAATCAGACCCTTCTCATGTGAGCAGACGTTTTCCCACTGACCGAGTACTGACCTTTTTGCTCCCCTCGTGCACGGGTCTCATGTCAGCTGTCTGAAAGCCATTGACGTTGCCCATTCCTGTGAATTTATAAGTCCCGCTTTTGAGCTCAAGGCTTATCGTCCCTATGCGAGCATTTGTATCGACCGCAGCGGCCGTCAGATCATCGGTTACAGGCTGGCGATTAGACACGTATCTTGCCCGGAAATCACTCACGAGTAGGGCGAAGCTCATGGGAGCCTCCATAGTCTGCCCATCCTTCATCACAAACATGTGGCTGGTGCGACTTGTGTGAGGCTTGTCGCTTTGGCACCAACCATCTGATAAGATAGGGCGTTTTCTGACTGTGATACCGTCGGCGAGAGAGATCTGTTGGATTTCTCCGTCCACTTTCGTAAGCTTTGGACGATCGACGCAGAAACGAAACTCCTATTGCAGTCAGCCACATCCCATTATGATTCGCAGTGGTCCCACTCACCTGTCCGGGTTCACTCTCCAGCCAACAGTGCAGTTCTTGCATTTCATCTCCCAATGCACCTTCATGTGTTTCTTCATATTCATCTGATGAGCTCAGCCAGCAACACTTCATGGTGAAGAGAATTACCTCACTGAGTCTCTCCCACTGCCCGTCCTTTAACCCTTCGATCCATACCTCCCAGCCGTCGAAGTTTCCTTCAGCCTTCATGAGAGACAGTCAATGAGTGCGTCAGCGACGAGGAAGTGAAGAGTTGAAGAGGATGGGAAAGGAAATCAGCGATGATGAGAAGGAGTCATGCACTTTGCTGGGGTCCGTGCGGCATGCGGCAGGCAGCTGACGTAAGATGAGCTTCCACATGCAGAGAGTTGGGGCGATCGCTGGTTCGTATTGATGCATCGTCTTACAGTATACCCTCGGTTCCTCACTACAGATCAAGCAAGATCCGTAATCTGGTCATCAGTCAGCCTGAACCGGCGATGCGAGGAAGCGCTTACATTCATCGGCATTTCATCTAAAGGGCGTCAGCCTCATTCCACACACGTGACGCGCCACAGACTCACCTATCTGTGTGCTATAGAACTGTTCAATGTCTCGCAATATAGAGACATCCTCAGTGGTGACAAAGTTGATCGCGACCTGCCACAATCAGCTATCGCACCTCATGTCCGCAGAGGAAAACGTACACCCTTGCGACCGAATCGACCGCTAAAGACGAGGTCAGCATTTCCCACTGTGTCTCACACTTGATACTCACCTTCGGCCTGCACGTGAGCTCATATCCCGAGTGTAAAGAGAATGTTCTCACCTATTCGATGCAGGTAGTTCTCACGGTTCGACCTAAACGGGTAAGTACAACCGAGCAGCAAAGTTCGTGGATCGGACTCACGGCAGGTCATAGTTGATGACTAGTGACACCTGCTGTACGTCGATACCCCTAGCCCATACATCGGTGGTGATGAGCACGCGACTGACTTTCAGTGATATGCCTATGGAGATCGTGTAACACTGACCTCTGACCACTCCTGAACTCTGCCATGATGGCATCTCTCTCTTTTTGTACCATATCGCCGTGCATGCTGCTGACAGTGAAGTTTGCTTCTCGCATTTTCTCGGTCAACCAGTCGACTTTTCGCTTGGTGTTACAGAAAAGGACGGCTTGTGTGATTGTCAGACTATAGTGAATTAGCATGAACGGCACTTAGAGGCATGAAGGAAGGGAAGAAGGTAATGATACTCACGTATCGTAAAGATCCATGAGAGTGTCGAGCTTCCACTCCTCCTTTTCGACAGCCACGACTGATATGAGCCCGACCCCCAGGCTAGAGAAAAGTTAAGGTCAGAGCTTGTGCGACTCACAGAACTGCTTGATTCCTTCAAGCGTCAACTCATCACGTTTGACGAGAATTCGAATAGGATCAGTCATGAACTTTGTGGTCATCTCCAAAACATCATGTGGGAGTGTAGCCGAGACGACCACGACCTGAGTGGCCGGAGGAAGATATCGATAAATGTCATAGATTTGATCTTTAAATCCCTTATTCAGTAACTCGTCGGCTTCGTCCAAAATCAACATCTGTTCTCAGCATATCCTCCAACCTCTGGCAAATAGAAAAATTAGCTCACCTTGATGTCTTTGGTGCGCAGATTACGACGACGAATCATGTCGAATACCCGACCAGGGGTTCCACTGACGACTTGTTGTCCAGCCTCGAGCTTTCGTATGTCTTCGCCGACACTGGTACCTCCAATACAAGCATGGCATGAGACGTTCATATAATCCCCCAAAGCGAGGACAACCGTTTGGATCTGTACAGCCAATTCCCGCGTAGGAGATAACACCAAAGCCTGAGACTCGCGAATGTTTGAATCGATCGATTGAAGGATAGCGATGGAGAACGTAGCGGTTTTACCAGTACCTGATTGAGCTTGAGCGATGACATCTCTTCCCCGCATGATGGGTATAATGGCACGCTGCTGGATAGCAGAGGGCTTCTCGAAATCTGAAATGCGCGTCAGTCAATTTCTTGTGTATGTCAATGGAAACATACTGTAAGCATAGATTCCGCGCAAGAGGTCTTCTTTGAGGTTAAGTGCTTCAACTGGTGATACCGTCAGCTACTGTTCATATGAAAGAGCAGTGATAGCTCACAAGTAGGAGCCTATAGTCGAGAGGGGCAAGAGCGCCAGCGTGAGCACTTCCACCCCTCTCGATGAATGCAGTCATTTTGCTGCTAGACGTACGACTGTGACTGCCTCGGAAGACTCGAAGATGAGCTTCTCGTCGGAACTGGATCCTGTCAGCTATTTAAATATTCCATCGGTATAAGCTCACGAGTTCAATGCCATTGTGATGGTACTTTTGCTGCTACGGGATGGATATGATAGAGAGCAAGCGTACGATTTTTATTGGTTTTCGACAGCGAAAGGGTGGCAAGAGGAGGAACACCGACATAACGCCGTAAATGCCGACTGTGGCATTTTTCCAGGCAAGGATGTTCCCGGAAAGTCTCTTTCCCTCCCTGTCATACACTTTACACTTAAGTACGAGTACTTCACTGCGTAACTGGTCACTCACGTCCGGGAGGTCTAGTCGTATTTTCACACTCAATATGGACTCCATCATCGAGACCGCCAGACAAACCCACGAGGAGATTGAAAGATATGAGCAAGCTCTTGCCGAGGTCCTCATGCAGAACCCCACTGCTGTGAGTGGTAGGCTTTTCATCTGTGCCGTCAAGCTAACAGTATACAGCAACGCAACATCACACGTAGAGATAGAAAGGCAGCAGAGATACTCACTCGAGTGGGCGAGCTTCGTTCTGATCTGCTAGAGCAATATGAGGACTTGCCTGGGTGTGTTCAACTTAATGGTGTTACGGTGCATTCACTGACGAGTAGGCTGAGACCTATCGAGCTATCTCTCTTGTCCGCTCCTCCTCCCGGCAAAGACGATCTTGCAGAATTCTACTCCCGATTTGAGAAAATCAAGGATTTTCACAAACGAAACCCAGGTATCAACGCCAGGGCCTTCATCAACGATCTGGACGAGTTGGTCAAGGGCGATGGGATGCAAGTGGTCGAGGTTGAGGGTGACGATGAGCCTACGGTCATTGATCGTAAGTCAAAGATTCCTGCTGAGATTCTTATTTTGGCTGAGATAGATAGCTCTCGACTCCGTGTTCTCTGGTGAAGAGAGCTACGGCAAGCATTTGGACCTTTATCAATCTCATACCCAATATCTCAATCTTCGTGGATCCGTTCGGTATGTGCTTCCCCCGATCTGCCTATGCCCCATTGCACGTCCGAGTGATGTTGCCACAGGAGGAAAAACGATTTCTGATGAATAGGCTCTCTTATATCGCATACCTCGACATGCTTAAACATGGCAAGGTAGAGCGGACCCTCGATCTCAAAGAGAAACTCCTTCCACAATACATCGAATATGTTCAAACCCTCTACAACTATCTCGTATCCTTCTTCGAACGTGCTCTACCCTTGACAAACATCCAGTCCAAGCTCAAAGAGGAGGAAGCGAATTTCGCCTCTGCATGGGAAGCCATCCAAATTTCAGGATGGGAACCTGAGAGTTCGACTTCCAAGCGTGCCCCGCCACCGACGGAAGGTGGCATATGGTGTGAATATTGCGGGAAAAGTTATGCCAAGCAGACAGTCTACGATGCACATCTCTCCTCTGAGAAGCATAAGAAGAAAGTTCAACAAGGAACGAAAGTCGTCGATCCTAATCACACCAACGTATCTCATGCATCGACCACAACGCTCAGAGAGAAGGCTCGCACACCCGCCAGATACACATACCTTGTCATTGCACTCCTCGCGTCTCCACCTATACCTCAACTTTTGATCGATTCACGAGCGGAGATTGAAAGACGGATGGCGTTGACTGCGAGAGAACGAGAGACGGAGCGTGAGGAAGGAGATGAGGCACCACCACCGGCACCCGCGGCCGAAGAAGAGGAAGAGGAAGAGGACGACGGAAGGGTATATAACCCGCTCAAATTGCCTCTGGGCTGGGATGGAAAACCCATCCCCTTTTGGCTGTACAAGCTTCATGGACTAGGTCAAGAACTACCGTGCGAGTTGTGTAGTACGACGTATCAGGGAAGACAGGCTTTCGAGAAACATTTTCAATCACCAAAACATACTTTCGCCCTCCAGGCCTTGGGTCTTCCTCCTACGCGGCATTTCCATGGAATTGTAAGTCCTCCCGCGTCGACGCAGGATTGTACTGATAGCTGCAGACAAAAATAACGGATGCGATGGCATGTGAGTTTCTTGGACATCTGTCATGGGCGTACCGTAACTGATTAACAGTGGGTGAGAAACTCAAGCGTGAAGGTCAACAAGAATTGGCCCAGATCGAAAGAGCAGAAGAGGTCGAAGATAGTGAGGGAAACGTGTACGATCGCAAGACGTACGAACAACTCCGCAAGCAGGGCGTCATTCATTGATTCATGATGTAGTCAAACCCGCGTTTCACTTCATCAGGATGCATCACTATCTGCTACTATGGTTCAAAGACAGGTTCGCAAACGATACGGAATCCCTACAAATCTGTCCATGACCTCTCCCGTTGGAACAAACTCGGCTGATTCTTCAATATCATTCTTTGGCCACATCAATTGCAGAGGAGACATGATCCATAACATAGCACCAGAGACAAATAAACTTCCTTAGAATTCCATTGAACCCGACCCAACCTGCTACCAAGTCGTTGTGTTTTCAGTACCGTTACTCTGCTCCCTTGGGGGTTGCCTGATACCCTTGTGGGGGACACACTTTGAGCTTTGTCCAGTTCTGCCTGGTATTGGTGGTGATAATGATAGTGCCTTGACTAGATCTTACAGATACTAATGGCTGGAGATGGTAATGTAGTGTTTCATGAGAACCTTCCTCGTAATTCCATTTTGTGTAAGAGAACTTGCCGTAAGAGGCGTCCACACTGGTGTAGGGTTTTCCACCTGAGACATTTGACTTCTTTCCATGACATGTATCGCTTATGTATTTCAGAATAAGACCTTCATACTGGGAAACCTGTTCTTCATAACCTCGAGAAGAAGACCGATGATATATGCAATGACCTGCTGCGTCTTTCACTTTGGCACGTGTGTCATTGTTGTCATGTCGGATATAAAATATGGACAGGTTTCCCACAGATGCAAACGGGCCCGAACCTTTTCGGCTGGCAAAAGTTGACAGGTGTTCTGGAGTGCAGGAACCCCCGTGTATGGTCTGTTAGAGAAGCTATGAGCCCATCAGCCCTGTCTATGGCTTCACAGAGGTTTCCATTGAGCCGTCCTACTCCTTGAAAGGCCTTCACAATTGATCCTTTGTCAAGAACATGCCTACTGATGCTAGACAGAGGATGGGCAGGGAGCATATCCTTCTTCTGAGCGAGAGAATCCAGCTGGTCTTCGGTAAGGGGTCATTCATTTGCATGGATAGCACCTCGTGCCCCTGCAATATCAATAAGACCATTCAGAGGATGGTTGTCTGAAGATTCTTGAGGTTCTCCTTTAAGTTGATGGGGGAGGCTTCTTTGAGTCCGAGGATCTCTTAGCAGTCAGGATTTGCGATAAGCGATACACTGAACGAGGGATCATAGGTCGCTGGGAGTCACTGGGTGAGACAAGAGTCAATTGGGTGTCCAAACGAGGATCCAAACGATCCGGAGGGATATTCGAGTTCAGAGTGGACTCAGAGTCATAACATCCGTCTGGGCACATAGGTAGTTAGTTGATGCACGAGTGAGTAGCAAGAAGTACCGATAATGATGAGATGGAAGAAGAGTCAATAGTATGACAGAGTGTCAAAGACGTGAGGGAAGATCAAGAGGATATGGAGAAGGACGCGTGAGAAACGTGCTATCTGGCGTCCTCCACCTCCGAGCGCGGATGACCAGACGTCAAGAAGAAGTAAGTAAGGGAATGAAAGGAAGGATCAGTCAAAATTCAACTTCCTCTATTTCCCACACCATGACATATCTAAGTGTTATTTTCATTTCGCACGCGTCATCCTTCCCCTTTGGGTAGTAGATAGATACAAATAGAAGACGATGATCAACGTACGATCATGACGTTATGTCCTTCCATCCTTCCTAAGCCCTGGGGATAATCCATGTTCTCACACAGCCGTCCTGTCCACTACTAACGAGCTTACTATTTCCCTCGAGCCATGAAACACCGCTCACCCCACCGGGGTGAGAGTTCTATACATTAGCGACGTCCGTACTTCTCTTCATTCATTTCGAGTGTGAAAGAGATAAATGAAAAAGTAACTCACCTTCATCGCGAGGTTCTTTGGAGGTTTCTCAACTTCCCACACGTAGATCGCTTCATCCAGTCCACCAGAAACCAGTCGCTTCCCGTCTTCGGAGAACTCGAGTGAAGTGACACGACCCGTATGAAACGTCCATTTACTTCCCACTACTACTGTTTTATTGACTACGTCGACGAGTATTATTCGTCCTTTCGTCTATCAAATCAGCACGGTACAGCAAGCATCTCTGCTAAGCTTTGAACGGTTTGAAGCACTCACGTCACCAGCAGCGAGTAGTGTACCGTCTTTGGAGAACGCCAAACTCAAGATTTCCCCTTTATTGTCTTCGAACTCGGCTTGCACTTTCACCGCTCCATCTGTTATGGAAGCGAGGACAACCTTCTTACTTTCGGAGCCGAAGGCCACAAGGTCCCCGTTGGGTCCTGGATAGGCAGCTACAGCGGTAGTCGCACCAGCGTGCACTGAGGTCGCATGGCCGGTGGGATGAATCTCCAGACCTGCTGCAGAGGCCACATATACACCATTCGGTGTAGCAGCTAGACCTGCTGGCTGAGCTTTGGTAGACAAGGAGGTTGAGCTGGTCATCAATGTCATCCCTTGATCCGAAGATTTGTAACAATGAAAAGAGATTTATGCCACTCACGAGAACTTCTGATCTTCGATGCACGTCACTTTATCGTCCCATCCTGTCGTCCAGATTTTGCCGGTTTCAGAACTCATCGCTGCTACTCTCGCACCATGACCTGCACCCTCGACAGGGCTACACGCCCCTTGCTCGTCACCATATCCCGAGCCAACGGAGAATCGCTTGATAGAACCATCAAAAGAGCCGGCGTAGAAGGTCTTTTCTTTCTCGGATGAGGCCGTGATAGTTGAGGCGGTGACCGCTTTAGTGGGACCATGAAGACTCCGCCACTTGGCACCGGACGATTCACGGGTATCGAAGATTGTTAAAACTCCAGAGAGAGATAAAGAGACTACGGTGGCGTTCGAGGCGTACACAACCCCGTTTTGCTGGGAGAAAACGTCTGTCCCGACAGAGTAAGTCTGCGAGGATTTCTGAGTCTCCACATTCCCTGAAATCAGCATGTTGGACCTCAGTGTGATTGCAGTATGTAACTCCATCATCATGATATGTATTAGCAAATAACTCACATATGGTCACGACACCGTCAGCGCCAGCTGTGGCGATCTTGTCCGAGTCTGGACTCCAAGAACAGGCCATCTGACGATTAGCTCTTTGTGCGGGTTGACCAATTGACTGACCAGACTACTACCTCCTTCATTCCCTACACTCCCTTGACTCTCTCCCGACTGTCCCTCGTAAAAGAGCAGCCGCCCGTCGGATGCGACAGAAGCGAAGGAGTTTCCATTTGGTGAAAACGCAACATCGCGGACAAAACGGTTGTGTGAAGAGAGGATTTTGTCATATTTGAATGGCGCGCCAGTATGGAGGATGACCGAGGTGTCGTCTGATCCAGAAACAGCTCGGAATGGCCTTTGATGTCTGATAGAGACTGCATTGATGGGCTTCATATATCAGTCAAGTGCAACATGTGAGATGAGCGAAAAGCTTGACTCGCCTTGGAATGCCCAGTGATTTCCCCACACGAGGAGCCAGAGTCGATCAAGAAAGCGGCTCCGAATCTGATCGTTCAGCATTTTTACTTATCAGGTATGAGATCTTACTTGTCTTTCCCCTCACCACCTACAACTATACGCTTACTCTCCCCGTCCCAAGCGAGATCGTTTATTTTACCCCCTAATGGACGAGCGGCCAGCTTGAGCACATTCTCCGGTTGAGTGACATCCCATATACGCACTAATTTGTCAATTGGCCTCTACAATAGAACGGTGAGAGCTTACCACTTCCTCCAATGTCCGCACTGGCACAATAGTATCCCGAAGGACTGATTCGAGCTACCGTAGCCGTTTGAGTGTGTTCTATCTCATCAGCCCAAAGCTTGCATCCCACTGCCGGACTCACGGGTGTAGACGTGAGATAGATTTGTATGCTAGAAGTTCAGCAAGACATACGCCACAGATGAATACCTACGTTGAGGTCTCTGATCTGGACTGTCAGCCAAGACGCTGTGAAGGTCTGAGACGACTCACCACCACACACCTGCCGTTGGTGTATACCAGCTTCTCGCCCTTGGGGTCAACAGCTAGCTTTGTGCTCTCCGAACGAGCGGTGTAAGGGTTACAAGGGTACACAGGTCCTAATCGTCATCTCTATCCTGCTCTTGATCAGTCTTGGATCTTACCTGCTTGATAGGCCATGTTGCGTTGTTGAAAAAAGCACTGACTGGTCATGACGACGGGGTGGAATTGGCCCAGTTCCGAGTCACGTGATAACATCATGGCTTCCACGTGTCTCTCGGGTCCGAGCGCGATCACTCTTCGGCCGCTGTTCTTTTGCCCCAAAAGCTACTTACTGTATGCCTCCGTCGTCAACATGACATCGAAACTTGTACGAGTACTGCTCGGTCCATGATACAAGCATGAGTGAACACTCAAATCATGAGATAGCGTCCAAAGCTGTGGTCAGGACAGTGTTCTTCTCCCTCGTTCTGGACCTCTTGGGTGAGTGTGAACAGCAATCACATCGTCTCGATCTCTTCCCTTCCCATTCCATTGTCATGGGTGAACCACTCGTGGCACGCCTCCTGATATCTCTCTTCCTTCTCTGTCTGTAGTTCTTGAATTGACATCTAGCTTTCACCCTGCCTCTTCCCTTATTCCCCCGACTGATCGCCTGGTATCTTCAAAGAGAATCTCACGATGCATCTGCCCTTCTTTCCAAGCTACTCCATCTGTCTAGCACGTGGAGAGCTTCTCTGCTCTCCCTCTCAAGCTCAACTCTGTCAAATCAAGTCACCTCACACAGAAATTGGGATGTGGTGCTACTTGGAGGAGCGATGGGAAGTTTGTTCAGTCTATGTCAATGTATCATAAGTCCTTGGCTTGGTGCTCGTAAGTCTCAGCCGTCAGTCGATCAGCCTTTGAGCTGATTTATGGTTTCGGATCGTTATGGACGCAAGAGGGTTCTTCTAGCCACTATGCTTGGAAATTTACTCTCAGCAATCATCTGGCTCAGATCTACTTCTTTTTCAACTTTCCTCTTGTCTCGTCTGGTTGGCGGATTGAGCGAGGGGAATGTTCAATTGAGCACGTATGTTTCTCTTCATCAACCGTCCTTCGAAGTTCCCAATCTGTGATTATCTGTTGGAAGCAAGTGAGGCAGAGGTAAATGCTGACAAGACAGAGCAATCATCTCCGACGTCACAACCTCTTCTACTCGTTCGAAATCATTAGCATTGGTCGGAATAGCTTTCTCAATTTGCTTTACTCTCGGTCCTTCTCTCGGAGCCTATTTCGCTTCACGTCCTATACCTCTGGCGACAAAAACCGATTCATGGAATATCTATGCTACGCCCGCTGCCATCTCTTTAGGTTTATTATTGTTAGAGACAACATATCTCGCATTTAAATTACCAGAGACGAAAACTTGGAGAAGGGATAATCCCACGAACAAACCATCGGACACTTCCAAACCCGTTGAAAGCGTAACTCACAGGTTGAAAAGATTGAAAGCTCTTGGGAGATTACATGGTCTCTTTCTACTCTTCTTTTCTGGTGTGAGTGAGATGTTCCCAGGTCTGATCGTTTAGTAATTAATCACAGGCTGAATTCACCTTGACGTTCTTAACATATGATTTATTCTCAGCTAGCAACGCAGAGAATGGAAGATTGTTATCATGTAAGTCTTACTTCGCCCTCCTCTTCATCTTGACATCACCCAACTTCTCAAGTTGAGGTCATTCCGAGATAAAGTCGAAAGAGCTGATGAATCGACATCGGAATTCTCGCTGCAATGCTTCAAGCTCGTCATGTCAGACCTTCTTTGGCGAGACTGGGAGAAGTCAAATTGTCTTCTTATGGCATTGCTTCATGTTTCACCGGACTGGGATTATTAGCTTTTCTACCTCATATCCGTCACAGTGGTCCGGCAGCTACTGTGGTGTTGTACGCAGGAGCGACATGTCTAGCTTATACAAGTGCTACTGTGGTCACCGGTCTCACTGCCGCTGCCGCTGCTTGTTGTGATGAAGAAGGACAGGGAGAAAAGGAGTTACAAAGGGGACGAGCATTGGGTAGGTTTAGATCTAAGGTGAGGTGTTTCTCTTTTTTTGCCAAAAATCACCTGCTTCCCGTATCCCTCTTATCTTACTTGTTCCCCCTCCTTCATGTTGCTTCACAAGCATTCTGCCTCTCTCGCACTTTCGAGTGCTTCATCTCTTTTGCTTGAAATGAACACGGGAGCGAAATTTTTCAACGCTTCGAGAGTGTTTCGGTGCCAACTGAGATGTTCATCTTGACAACCATCACCCATCCGTGACAGTCTCCCGTGACCCCATCAGTCGCAAAGGCTTAGACGATCGACGAGTTGCAATCGCTGACAAATAGGGACAACTAGGCCGAGCCATAGGTCCCCTACTAGCTTCCTCCATCTACTGGACTCTTGGTCCTTCCACAGCATACACACTTCTCTCTTTATCCCTTATCGGGGTTTATCTCTCATCACGTCAACTCGCCCTATCCACATCTCCTCCAAACAAAGTCAAATCAAACTGAACTCTTTCTCAAATCTCATACACATGTCTGAGCGTCATCTCCCAATACGACAATGTCTATGCATCACGATGATGAACGATGATCATTCTATCTTGATCCCATTGATCTTTGACCAATTCCGTTTTCCACCCTTTTTCTTCAAAGATACCTCTCACCAATTCTCCCTGACCATGTCCTATCTCCAACCCTACCCTCGGACCATGAAATGTTATCGAAAGTAAATCAGGAAGTAATTCCTTTATTCTATTATAAAACGCCAATCCATCTCTTTCCTTCATTTCTTTCTTCTCCGAAGAACCGTCTTCTGTCCAACACGATGACTTTCCCACAGACAATGACGCATCACCCAAAAGAGCTAATGGATCTTCGTACCCTTTCACAGACCTAGGAAGATGGTCATATTCTTCTTGAGAGAGATAAGGTGGGTTCGAAACTATCACATCTACCTTCCCACCGATTTCTTCTATCACCCTTTGTGCAAAATCAAGATCAAAGATGTTTCCTCGCTTGAAACGTATCGGGATTTTTATTCTGAAATTTATAAATTGAGGTGAAGAGAGATTATCTTCAGCGAGTCGTAATGCAGAAAGAGACATGTCGTATCCCCATATCTCGACTTCACTCCTTCTGATTCCACCACCATCTGTGGGTATTGTTTTCTCAATATCTTCATATATCCTCACTCGTTTCCTTCCGTGCAACATATCAAGTTCGTGCGAGGGATGAAAGTCGGCTTGGAGGGAAGAGATAGATTTTGGTCGAATGTTTTGAGAAGTCTTGGAAGGAGATAGATTTGATAGTTCCCAAGCTAGTAAGAAAGATATACAACCTGAACCCGTACATAAGTCCAGAATTCTCAAAGGTCTATCTCTCCCCCGTCCTAAGCTTACCGTTCTCCCGATTCTTTCCCCGTCCCTTTCAGCTAGTACTTGTTTTGAAGTATTGGGACTGTGAGAAAGCTTCTGGTTGTCGGATCGGATCGGATTTGGGAGCAAGAAGGAAGGACGAAGTCTAGTTGCGAATTCTGTGAAAATGTGTGCGGTTTCCGGTCTGGGTATGAGGGTGGGTGGACGACATAGAAGGGTTAAAGGACCGAAATCTGTATTTCCTAATGATCAGTCGCTGATCATATTCACTGGTCGGCATGGAGACTAAGCTTAGAAAAGTGAAGGCGACCTTAGAAGCTATACGAGCGAAAGAGAAGTATATACAAGATGGTCGACGAGCCCAAGGAAAGGAAAGATAAGTCAGGGATGAATGTCAAGTAGAAAGATGGAAGAAAGATACAGGATGAATGATGAGCAGAAAGATTCAGACATCTATCTTGAAAACAAAAGAGAAAGGTTTATCATCTTTCAGTTAAAAAAATGTGAGATGAGTGGTCTAAATGGGGTAGTGAAGAACGAACATACCTAAAATATATTGCAATGGTTCACCTTCCGCACGACGTGATACCAACTTACTCAAAACTCTTTCCTTCTCCTTCTCCTTCTCCTTATCCAAATCTCCAGCATTCACCTGAATCGAATTAGATGAATCATGTGAAAACAAATCTGAGTTAGTTGATGTATCGGACCATCGAGTACCGAGGGATTGTAATATCCATCTTAACTCGTCCTTGGCGTCTGATTCTGACAATTCGGGATTTTGACATAATTGACGAATGAGATCTCGTTTGACTTCTGACGAGATATATCTGCGAGCTAGTCTGCACGATTGGATTGGACGAGACCTATGATAGGCCAACATGAAGCTTTCAAAGTGACATTTTGTATGGTAAAAGGCAAGGTCAGACGAGATTGGACACGAAATGCATCGAACTTTTGCTTCCGCCGTACAAGTCCCTCAAAGTAGAGTAACTACTCGAGTAATATACTCGTACTCTCCAGAAGCATACATAGCCCTTGGCCCAGCATACGTAAGCTCAATGGTGTACCTGCTCTCTGAGCTCACGTCGGCCTGTCCTTACGGAGATTATCGACGATGAGTTCCTGCAAAGTCAAAATAGTCACTGAATGAAGAGAGTTACCCACCTTGTAAGCCGTCACATCACCCATAAACTTGCTGACCTTTCCATCCGCGCAAACCCATAGCTGAACATTTAGCGCGAGTCGTTACAAGATAGAGAAAACGTTACCTGATTCGAAGTACTAGTGATGAATCTCTCGTCGTGAGAAATACTAATCACACCTCCTTGGAACTTTGCGACAGCTTCGATCAGGGCGTCGATACCTTCCATATCCAAATGATTACTCGGCTACCCAGTTAGCTTATCCACATACCATGAGAAAAGCATTCACCTCGTCCAATAACAAGATATGAGGTCTTTGCATACTCAAAACAGCGAATGCTACTCTACTCTTCTGACCACCGGATAGAGTACCGATTTTCTGCAACCCTGTAAGACCTGTGATACCGAACGAACCTAAATGACTTCTATATTCCTGTTCCGTTTTACCTGGGAATTTCGATTGCAAAAACTGCACCGAGGTCATATTGACGTCTAATTGATCCACGTGATGTTGGGTAAAATAGGCGATACGACAACGATTGTTATGAGTCGCCCGACCTGATGAGGGTTGTAGATCCTGAGTGAGAAGTTTGATCAGAGTCGATTTCCCAGCTCCGTTAGGTCCAATAACGGCTATTCGACTATCGAGACCAACATCAATGTTGACACCACGAAGAAGGATCCTATCAGGTGTGTATCCGAACGTAACTTCGTCCAATTGTAGTAATGGGGGAGATATCTTCTCAGGATCAGGGAATTTGAAACTCTCGCTATCTTCTTGTTCGGGAGGTTCAAGTTCAGGTAATTTCTCCAGGATCTTGATCCTCGCTTGAGCTTGTGGAGCACGGTTGGCATTATATCTCCATCTATCGATATACGCTTGAAGATGTTGTCGGTATTGAAGTTGAGCTTCGTATTCCTTCCTTTGGGCTTTGGCACGTTCAGTTTTCGTTGCGTAAAATTGGGAGAAGTTTCCTTTGTAGTAATCGAGACGTTGAGAATGTTGATGGACGATGTCGGTGGCGACGGAATCTAGGAAAGCGCGGTCATGAGATCTGATACTTAGCATGGAAGTAAATCAGAGGAAAAAAACACTTACACGACGAGAATTGTACCTTGCCAAGTTTGAAGATAATCTTCAAGCCATGCGATAGCATTAAGATCCAACATGTTCGAAGGTTCATCCAACATGAGCAAATCTGGTTTGACGAAAAGGGCTCTAGCTAAAGCCAGTCGCATTCTCCATCCACCAGAGAAGGACCTGGTCGGCATCTTTTGATCTACCTCGGAGAACCCAAGACCAGCGAGGAGAAGGGACGCTCTCGCTGGTCCTGTCTCAGCTTCCATCTCAATCAATTTCTTCTGAACATCTCCAAGTCGCCCAGCAAGATCGTCCTTCTCGGTGTCATTCCCCGCATCTCCATCCGCCGTAGCCTTCTCCAGTACCTCAAGTTGAGCATTGAGCTCTTTCTCCTCCGTCATGAGTTTATGTCTCCACACATCGGCTTGCAGTACGGATTCCAAAGCGGTGGTATCATCTCCAATAATCTCCTGCTCGACATATAAGACTGAGATATGTGTGGGGATGGGCACTTCCCTCAGGGCGAGGTGTCGAAGTAGAGTTGATTTTCCCACACCATTACGACCAATGATACCGTATCTTCTCCCATGTGCCATGGTCAGACTTGCACCAGATCTGACAGTTAGCTACTTCCTGTTGATCTGACCTGATCGAGAAAGTGGCCAACTCACAGAATACGATTATTGGCAAATGATACATCGATGTTTGTCAGATGTATATCTTTTGACTTGCTCTTGGCTGCACCGGTGAGGTCTAGAGGATTGACTTTCATGAACATCTCCTCGTATGTCTGTTGTTTCTGGTGCATTTCCATGAGCTTGGATCCTTGATACAGATCTCTCCTGGATCGTTTCTCGATTTTGGCCTTGAGCTTCGCTTCCGCTTTAGCCAGCTTTGCGAGGTCCACTCGGGATGCTTGACCTTTTTGATTGTGTTCCAGATCGACTTTACCGCTAAGAGCTATGGTAGCTGACATGGCTTGAGATCGCATGTGAATGGTTTTATCCAGTTTGGTCGCTGTGGTGGACTTTCTAACTCGTTTAGATGACTGAGATTCGAGGTAGGAAATGAGTCGACCCATGCTAATTGTTAGTTTCAGAAATGGACAAGCAGAAGATTCATAGACTCACAAGTCATCTAGAGAAGACGAGTCTTGAGAAGAAGGTCCACCTTGCAACATCCCACGAGTCATCTCTACGATGTCTTCCACTTCTTCGTCTTCATCCTCGACCAGTCCGGCGATGTAAGACACGACGACCTCATCTGTCCGAGGGAAAGTTCGACGCTATGTGTGAGCTACCTCGCTCCTGTGTAGCTTCGAGAAGCTCACAATGTCAACTGCTACCTGAGTCATACCAGTATTGATATTCGAGGAGGGTATAGAGAATGACGAACAAGATCGAGGGCAGTTTCGGTGAGAAGTACTTACAGTTAACTTCCGGCGGAAAGAATTGATCCCGTCCATCCCATCCCTGTCGAAGGTATCGGAGATAACGTCGTATCGGCGATAGGTCAATTTAGTTCCGTAGAAACTTAGCTACCGCTTCCTCTCTCTCTTTATGCATTCCATCATCACCCAACAGATTAACAGTCGGAATAGCATCAACCTCTACATCCCTCCACAGGGAGCGACAAAAGCCATTTTTGGACACAGTCCGGCTTTCGATAGATCACGAGATAGTAGATAGAGGTCCTCTTAGATAGCAGACAGCACTTCACGCTCCCTCTCTATCCTCATCACACCTCACGGACACTTGAGTACGTCAAAAGCGCGTCGTGCTGCAACTACTCAGATCCATCATTTTACCAACACGACTTTCACGTCTCCTGGTTAATCTACTCCATTTCACGTCTTAATCTAAAGTCACCCCTACCTTCTTCAGTACTATACAACACTTCTGTCAAGTATTTTGTAGTATATAGGATACTCCGTATCATTACCATAATTCCACACGGTACGACCTAGTGTCCCCCGTCACAATCTACCAAGTCAATTCCTAATCACGCTCATTTCCCCACTACCACAACCACAGCTGTCAGCTTGCTGCAGTGTAGACGTCTCTGCGAGACGCATACCTACTGGCTTGTTCGGTAGACGGAAATCCGGTCCAACCCGGTGGTGGAATTACTGGACGGTGATTTCACCTAGTGCACGATAAGTCTTTCTTGAGAGTCTATTCCTTGTCATAAAACAACGCTGACATCACGCTTTACAATGTCCGATGAACTCTCTTCCCTCAACAAACTTGTCCCTACCCTCACGGGTACCGAAACCTTTATCCGTTGGCGACGTGCTCTTCAAGCATATCTTCTCAGCAAGAATGCTCTCAACAACCTTCTTGGTTACGAACTTGAACCACATCGTGCTTTTATAGACCCTGCTATTCCTGGTCATACGGATATCATCCATCCCCCTGGTCAATACGCCGGCCTAGTCCCTCCTGATGCGACAAATTCCACAAATGGAACTGCTCTTACTGTTGCTCAGAAGAACACATGGGACAATTGGGCAAAACAGGAACGTATTGCTCGATCTTTCATCATTCTCTCCATCTCTCCCGGCATTGCTTCAGACGTCGAAAATCTCTGGTCTGCTCACGACATTTGGTTACGTATCTCATCTACCCACCAAGTTCAGACTACTTCTCGTCGTAATGATCTTAATCAACGCATTGCTCTGCTCAAGCTCCCCGAAAATGCTTCTCATGAACAAATGGTCCAACACCTCGAAACCTATACTGGACTCATTGCCGAAGCTATTGGAGCAGGTTCGACACTTTCAAATGAAGATCGTACCGAGCGTTTCCTTCTCACTTTTGGTGAAGATCTTCAACCATTCTGTATGCAATGGGATCTTCGTGCCCCAGAACAACGTAACTGGGAACATCTCCTCACTGCCTATCGTTCTATTGCCGACTCCCGCCGTCTTCGTCAACAACTTCAAGCTTCTGTCAATGCTGTCAGATCCGTCAATTCTGTTGTTGCCAACAAGGACGCCATCAAACCCCCAAGGGGAAATGGTGGAAAGGGGAAAGGAAAAACTAGTACGGGAAAGGAGAAACCAAAAGGAAACGGGGGAAAGGGGAAGAGGAATATGAATTTGAAGTGTGGATGGTGTGGTTATAGGGGTCATGAGGAGAAGGACTGTAATGGGAAAGAAAGGGGAGATCCTTCGAAGGCTCAACTCTTGGAGGCGGCAAAGAAGTTGAAAGAGAAAGGGACAATAAATAATATAGCAAGATCCTCCTCTCCGGAGATCTTCGGTTCTGTTTCTGCAATTTCTGCCGAATACCTCTTGTCTCCACTCACGGCTGCCAAGCCACTTACCTTTCTTCTCGACACTGGTGCTACTCACCACATTGTTTCAAACCCACGTCTTCTGACCGACCTGATTACTCTCTCAAGGCCTAGAATATTTCAACTAGCCAAGACAGGTCGTACAATAACAGCAAATCAAGTTGGCAAACTACGTATTCCCACTCTTGATGGTCAGAAACTCTTCCTCAATGACGTACATCTCATGCCAGATACGGGTTTGAACATTCTCTCAGAAGGACAGCTTACAAAGCAAGGATGGAACGTGGATTTAAAGAATCTGAAGCTCTCATACAGCAGATATGTGCTCCACATACACCGAAAGGGCGTACTTCCATGGGTCAACATCACTCAAGGATCTACAACTTCTTCCACTTCCACTCCTCTGTCTATCAACGCTGTCACACGTGTACAATCTCCTCTCTTTCAAGAACATTGCCGTCTAGGACACATTCATCCGGACAAAATCCTTGAATTAGCTAAAGACTGGCCAAATTACGAAACTCTCAAGTCTGATGAATTCAAACTATCAGATTGTGATACTTGTCAACGTCAAAAAGCTACAGTTCTATCTAAACCTGGTCATAGTGAAAGGGGAACTGAAGAAGGAGAAATTGTCCACGTAGATCTAGCCGGTCCAGTACTACCCTCACAGGAAGGAAATTCATATTTCCTTGGTATAGTTGCCGATTGGTCCAAAGTCAAATGTGCTGTCCCAATTCGAACAAAATCAGCAGCTTTTGATCAACTCAAAGCTTTCATCATACGACTTGAACGCCAATTAGGAATCAAAGTCAAGATTGTTCGATCTGACAGGGGATCAGAGTTTGATAGCAACATAGCTAAAGCTTGGTATGAATCAACCGGTATCATTCATCAACAAACACCACGCTATGTTCACGAACATGCTGGAGTTATCGAACGGTTTAATCGAACTATCAAAGAGATGATATCAGCCATGCTTGATCAAACTCCCCTAGGTCATGCGTATTGGGACTACGCTGCTATCTACGCCTGTACCATCCTAAATAAAACAACAATAGGTGGTAATGGAAAATCGGCATGGACAACAATTACTGGTCGTCAGACCAATCTCGAATCAATAAGAGAATTTGGAGAATTATGCTACGCTTTTCTTCCATATGAAATTCGAGATAAATCACAGTTGGGTACTCCTAAAGCTCAACTGGCAAGGATTTTAGGACAAGTCTCAGATACAAGTGGATATGTCGTACGTTTTGAAAATACTGGTACCACTCAAATCTCAAGAGACATAAGAACAGCTACGGGAATGGATATAAACACACCTCTCATGGTTCCTATCCCATCTGCTCCTCCACGAGAAGTTGCAAGACCAAAACCAACTCCTCCCACTGCTCCTAATCCTACACCAACTGTTACGGCTTCAGTTCCAACACCTGCAGTCCCTGCAGAGCCAAAACAACCTCTCACCATCCGTCTTACACTCCCATCTCCTGTTCAACCAGTAGTACCACCAACTGTTGAACAGAGGGGAAGCGAGACAGGGGAGCGTTTACGTCAAGGTACTCCCATTCCTCCTCAGGAATCAGCACCACAAACCTCTCCAGCACCATCTCTACATCCTTCTCGTCCTCCACCAAGAGAAGGTACTCGTCGAAGCTCAAGATTACTCACAGCCATTGATTACGAGCAAGACACTGATCACCTCAATAATTCCGAATTCCTCCTCTTTGTCTCATCCAACCACAATAATCCTACGTCTCTTGGAGAAGCTATGACACTTCCAGACAATAAAGAGTGGTGGACAGCCGTCCAAAAAGAGATAGATAACCTTCAAGGAAAAGGAACATGGTCAGAAGTCAAACTTCCAGCAGGAAGGAAGACAGTAGGAAGTAAATGGGTTTTCAACCGAAAAACAAATGCAGACGGTGAAATCGTAAAATACAAAGCAAGACTAGTTGCTAAGGGATATTCTCAACAACAAGGAATTGATTATCTCGAAACCTTTGCTCCTGTCAGCCGTCACACTTCTCTACGAATCCTCCTTACCCTTGCTGCCGTCCACGACTTAGAAGTTCATCAAGCAGACGTAGAAGGTGCATATCTTAATGGAAAACTCGATGTAGAACTTTACCTCGAAATTCCTGATGGTGTAACAACAAGTAAACCCAAGTACAATGCTCTTCGCCTCCACAAGACCATCTACGGACTCAAACAATCCGGTCGAGCTTGGTGGCAAGCACTCGGTGATGTTCTCTCTGAAATGGGTTTCAAGAGATCAAATTCAGACTGGGGTCTTTACACGCTATTCAACTCCAATGGCTCCCCAGCAATAATGATGCTAGTGTATGTTGATGATCTCATCATTGCTTCACAATCTACGGCAGATATCAATTCGGTACTTGACAGACTAGGAGAAAAATGGATAATCAGCAAGCTTGGTCCAATCCAGCATATCCTGGGTATGAAAGTTCAACGGGATAGAAAGAATCGCAAGCTATGGATCACCCAAGGTGGTTACATCGACAAACTTATCTCCCGTTTCCCTGACTTCAACCCATCCTCAGCTCGTCGTGCTCCTCTTCCTACAGAATCACCGAAAGAAAGTACCAAACCAACTTCTCAACGCAATTATCAAGAACTAGTAGGATCAATCCTCTGGCTTTCTAGTTGTACGAGACCAGACATCTCTTATGCTGCGTCCTTCTTAGGACGTTATAGCTCTGATCCTCAAGATGTCCATTGGCAAATGGGTCTACGACTCATCTCCTATCTCTCTCATTCCCGAGACATTGGTCTTACCCTTGGTGGAGCCAAATCTCCTCGTAACCTTCAATGTTATGTCGATTCTGATTGGGGTGGATGTAAAGATACACGCAAGTCCACGACTGGCTATGTCATGTACCTCCACGGCTCTCCTATCAGCTGGTCTTCTCGCAGACAAACTACGGTCTCAACATCTTCGATGGAAGCTGAATATGTCGCGTATGCTGAAGCTACTCAAGAAATTCTCTGGCTCCGAACTCTTCTTCGAGAAATCGGACAGGGGAGTCTTGTCTCTAGTCCTACAGTAATGCACGTCGATAATCAGAGTGCCATCAAGTTCTCCGGCAACCCAATCACGCATGCAAGAACAAAACATATTGATATCAAACATCATTTAGTACGAGAAAGAGTGGAGAGTAAGGATATTCAGTTAGAATACATTCATACAAGTAAGCAGAGAGCAGATATCTTCACTAAACCTCTCTCCGGAACAACCCATCACATCCAGACAGTCTTTCTCCGACTTGAACACACCAAAGGTATCCAAACAGTGAAGAAGACATAGAAGATAGTGAAGAAAGGGGTTTTGATGGTGAGAAGGTGGATTGACCTCTCGAGGGGAGTGTCGAAGGTATCGGAGATAACGTCGTATCGGCGATAGGTCAATTTAGTTCCGTAGAAACTTAGCTACCGCTTCCTCTCTCTCTTTATGCATTCCATCATCACCCAACAATCCCCACTCTGCTCTAGCCTACTAACTTGCTCGTAAGTATCTCTCTCGCTCGCTGCCCAGTCACTGAGTGTTGCATACACGAGATGGCCGCCTTGAACCGTTTATCCCAGAGGATAAGGGAAAACTTCCATGTGAGTTATCCAGAACATCCTGTATAGGCTCAGCTGATCGACAGGAAACCACCAGGGACATTTCCCTCTTGGCAGGGGGTGCCGGTTCTTCCACCGCCGTCTACTTTGACGCTTCTGACGACAAGATCAGTGAGATCTCAAAGCTCTTAGATAGTAGACAGGAACGCGAGAGACTGGAGGGCATGAAACGGATCATTGCGGGGATGTCCAAGGGAAGAGATATGGAACCTTTCTTCGCTCAGGTGGTCAAGAACGTCGTCGCGCCCAGCATAGAGATCAGGAAGTTGGTCTATATCTACCTTTTACGTTTGTAAGCTCTCCACCGCCTCTTGGACTCAGAGCTGATGTCAAAGTGCTTCTACCAATTCTGATCTTCTGTTGTTATCGGTCAATACTTTCCAAAAAGACCTTTCCGACCCTTCACCATTGATTAGGTCCATGTCACTACGTGTTCTCACTTCGATCCGAGTTCCAGTCATTCAAGGTCAGTCAGGATTGAAGAAGATAGGAAGTTAATGAAGCTAATGAACAGGTATCGTGATGCTGGGACTGAAGAAACTTGTGACAGATCGAAATCCTTGGGTTCGCAAGACCGTCGCAGGTGGTCTTGCCAAAGTATACGAAATGGACCATTCTTCCCTTCCTCAACTTATTGCCCTTTTACAAACTCTACTGTCCTCTCCGTCGCCCCTCACATTGGGTGCATCACTCACTGCATTCTCAGAGATGTGTCCAGATCGACTCGACCTTCTGCATCCGTATTACCGTCATATCTGTCGATTAGTGGTAGATGCTGATGAATGGGGTCAAGTGGTAGCTCTGAACGTGTTGACGAGATACGCTAGGGTCATGTTGGAAAAACCAGATATGGCAGGTGCTGTCCGCCCATCGACGAAACTACCCAAGGAAAAGATGATGGGTGATGAAGAAGAAGACGACGACGAATTTGAAGGGTTAGATGTGGACTTGGCAATGTTCCTGGACTGTATTCGACCTCTGTTCCAATCGAGAAATGCGGCGGTGGTACTGGCCACGGCTATGGCGTATTATCATCTGGCTCCTGCCGGACATGATGTTATCGGTCAAGAATTGATAGTTTTACCTTTGCTCAGGTTGGCTAGTACCAATCTCTCTATCGTCGGAGGTGAGGAGATCGCTTCTCTGACATGGGAAACGCTAGCTATCATAGTGGAAGAAAGACCGGTAAGTTTCTCGTTTGATATCTTGATATCCTAACCAAAAACATCGGATGCTGACTCGATAGTGGCTGTTCAGTCTTCATCAAACTTGCTTCTATCTGCATGAATCCGATACCAGCATGGTGAAGTCGGCCAAACTCAGAGCCATGGTTGCTCTCCTCTCTTCAGAGAACGCAAAGGTATTCATGCGGGAGTTTCGAGTGAGCTTATTTTTTATGGTCAAAAAACAGGCTGATTACCCCAGCATTACACTCTCACGTCAAACGAAAATATATCTTCCCAGGCGGTCCAAGCTATAGGTCATTGCGTCCGTACTCAACCTGAGGTTTCATCTATGAGTCTCAGTATTCTCATGCGTCTTCTCAAGAGTCGACGAGGTCAGTCTCTACCATTTGTCCGTGCACTCTCTGATACAGATAGATAGCTTAGTAGCACAATCGGTCATCGTATTGAAGTCTGTCATCCTTGCTCAAACAAGTATCTCGGATCCTCAGCTTTTAGTAGGAAGGTTGGTGAAACAACTAGATGGGATCACCAATCCTGCCGCCCGAGCAAGTGTGTTCTGGCTGGCAGGTCAGTACTCCGCCAGTGATGTTTCACCTTCTATGGGATTGGGTTGGGAGGGCATGACATCTTGGGCTCCTGATGTTCTTCGAAAAGGCATCAAGGGGTTTATCTTAGAAGTGAGCGTCCCATCTGCTATTCGTCACTCACATATATCTCTCCTTCTTTCAAATAAACCGCCTCGTCTCCTTTCAACCCGTATCAACCTGGGCAGTGATCCGCAAACGAGAGTCAAAAGTGATGCCGAGTCCCTTGAGTGCATGATAGGGACTGACATTATAGTCAAGCATCGCCAAACTCCAAATTCTCACTCTGGCCACTAAACTCCTGGTACTCTCTCCTTCCACCCCACAACTCACCTCGATGTCCCAGTATCTTTTCCAACTAGCGCGGTTCGACAAAGACTACGACGTTCGAGATCGTTCTCGTTTCCTTTATTCTCTCCTAAAAGGCGTCTTCGTTCACTCGTCTCCATCCCTTACAGAGTCAGACGAGGAGACGACCGGAGTGGTCTTGCGTAGAGAACAAGTGAAAGTGGTGGTGCTGGGGCAAAGAACGGTCAAGGTGGAAATAAATAAGGACCAAAGTGGAGAATATGACGTGGGAAGTTTGTCAAGTTTAGCCAAGAAGAAATTAGTGGGATATGAGAATATACCTGATTGGACTGATGAACCTACTGATTCTTCTTTACGAGATTCAGAAGTAGGTTTCATTTTAATCTATATATACAACAATCTCTCACCTTCCATTTATGATCTTCTTTCTAGTCTCGCTGAATGAGGTCTGAGATCAGATATCGACCACAATTGGGGTAATTCAGGTATACCTCAGAGTCGGCGTGAATAGTGGAGTCAATGAATATGGCGAAATAGTGTCAGAAGTGGCCGAAGAAGAACAAGAGAGAATGCTGATATGCAGCGCGACAAAGAACCCGAATCAGAAAAACCAATCATGTCAATTCCCTCTCTCTCCCCTTCCCCTTCTCCAATCCCAATGCTCAATAATTCCACATCCTCCACCCAAAAATCTATCCTCACTCCTGTCGAATCACCAGCACCTGGATCATTGAATCAAAAAAATGAATTTAGAGATCTTGATGCTTTTCTCAATAGTGAGACGGAGAGTGAAGAAGAAACAGAAGAAGAGACGTGAGTCGATCCTTGTTTTGCAAATTGTCTCACCGCATGACTCATATGGCTGATCTCATAGAACATCGGAAGAAGAGGTGATACATCCTGTCAGAGCACCACCGAGGAAAGACATAATACCAGAGTATGAAACTTCTGAAGAGGAAGATGAATAGATATAGTTGTATTGACAATTCTACATTACACTTTTGATATACATCAAGCATGAGCTTGTCCATCTACAGTGAAATACTTAAGCTATGTAGATCTCGTCTACTTGACAAGGAGTGGTGGTATCAAAGAGATTGAATGTGCACAGGGATAAACATATATGCATGAAGATCTCTGAATGTTGGTAAATATTGAGAGATCACGCCTTACCCAACTTAGTTTTGAGATACTGTATAACATCTTCCATCGCTACCTCTTCCCCTTTATCATCCCCAGCTGCATCCCTTCCGACTTGTTCTTTAATCCGTACAGTACCTTTTTTCAGTTCGGCAGGAGCGACGATAGCTACGAATGGGACATGATCATCATCTGCCATCTTCCATTGAACGGGTGTTTTGGGTTTGGCTTTAAGCATGAATTCGGTCTATTTGTTAGCGAAACATTTCCTTTTGCAAACCAACCCCACTCCCTCCCCCACCTACCTCCAAGAAAAAACAAGTCCGATGTCTCGATTTTGTGGACCAGATCCATTATGGGAAAACGAGTAGATTAAAGAGTACGGAAAATTATGAGACAGTGATTGAGAGGTTTGAGGTGAGGGTTGTCATAAGGTCATGAAGATGCATTGGTAGGAATGAAAACGTGAGAATGGTTTTGGAAGATGGTGGATAAGTTAGGTGATCCGTGGATGAAAGTGGAATAGTGATTATTTGGAGGAAATGATGTGAAGTGTATGGGAAGAAAGCATTTGAAGATTTGATAAAACTCCATTTAACGCACCTTAATCCCCGCATCTCTCAATTTCTTAGCCAAACTCATACGTTCTCTCAATAACCCATCTCCCAAACTTAGAATGAAAACTTCAGTTTCTTTCCCTCTCACTTTCTCTTCCCTACCTCTTCTACGCATTTCTAAAATACTGTAAATCCTTTCCACCCCTAAACTCACACCTACACAAGGAACTTGTTCTCTTGTATTTCCAGCTGCTTCTGCAAACATTCCCACAAGATTATCATATCTCCCTCCACCGGCTATAGACCCAACTCCAACAGCAGATTCATCCACTCCATCTTCGTTTTTCTCTTTTTCCACTTGCTTCGTTTGTGTAGAAGTGGTAGATCCACTAGATGAAGTCAGGTCGGTGGAGGTGATTGTGGAAAGAGGAGGAACAGCTGGGTCGGGCGATAGAGAAGGAGGTGCGGATGCATCATGAATGGCTTCGTATATGATTCCAGTGTAATAATCCAGACCACGAGCTAGTGACATGTCAAAGGAAATTAAAGGTAGGACACCGTAAACTTCTAGATAACCGAATAGTAGACGCATGTCTTTAAGACCTGCTCGAACGGATGAGATGGAATTGAGAGTAGCGTCGGCTTCGAGTTTTTCCAAAAGCTTAAAACCAGGTCCTGGAGATGAGCTTAGTGATCTGTTTTACTATTCGTGATCTTTTTGGCGGGATGATGGAGAGGATGAGGAACGTGTGTATATTTTGTGGTGGATTACAAAATTGCTCAACGAACGCACCTTTCAGTCCGACGTATTTGCCGATTTTGTCAGCCACGGATTCGGGGAGACCCTTGTCCACAGTCATTTCTCTTTTCACTTCCGCCCAAGGAGTCTGACATCAGCTTTCAAGATTCAACTGATCTAGCTGTGAAAGTTCCATCGATGCTGATGAGAAAGTATGAGCATGCGAAAAGAGCAATGGGGCAAAAGGGATGGCAGTATTCGTGTAACACAGAGGATTCCACCCACCTTGTCAAGCTTGTCAACAGCAGAAGAGATGGACCGAGTCTGAGCAGCGGGTACACCGGCGAGCTCGAATATTCCATCTAAAATCTTTCTGTGGTTGACTTTGACGGTAAACTCTCCGATATCGAGAGCCGATAATGCTTCACATAACATGCCGAGGATTTCTGCGTCGGGTACCATGGGGTCATAAGATCCAGCGATGTCAAAATCCTGTTTAGTCAGCGAGCTGAACTTGTGTCATCATTTGTATGAGTCATTCCGTACAATCTCAGAAAAGAATGGGATACACATATGGATGGCGGGGATAAGCACGGGGGGATGGAACAGGACAGTGACTTACACATTGATAAAATTCCCTCAAGCGCCCTTTCGACATGATAGGTTGGTCTCTCCTGTAAACCTTACCAATGTGATATCGTTTCATCGAAAGAATTCCATTCATAGCCAAATACCTTGCGAATGGGACCTTTTCATAAGTCTAGTTCAGTGCATGAAATGATCCCCCAACTCACAGTAAGGTCATATCGTAATGAACACAATTCACCGCCTTGATCCTCGAGATCATAAATGAGTTTACTATCTTCTCCATATTTCCCCGCCAGAATCTTTCTCAACTCGAACACGGGCGTATCAATGGTGCTTGCTCCATATTTGACGAAAATTGTCTCGAGTGTTGAGAAGATTTTCTTCCGTAACAACGTTGCTTGAGGTTTGAAGTCGACCGTACCTTTTGGAGTTTTGAGTACGAAGCCTCCAGTATCTCCAGACGGTTCAATCCCTTCTCCTGGTTTGGGAAGGAGAGCTTTGAGCTGTCTCATCTCTTCCACCTCCGCGGAAGCATCTTGCTTTGCGATTTTGATAGATTTTATTTTAGCCTGCAAAGCTGCTATGCGGTCGGCGATTGAGGGTTCCGAAGACATGGTGAAGTATCGTTGGCTACGAATAGAGGAAAGGGATAGTTGTAAAGCTTTTCTGAGTCTGACTGTGGGTGATGTGTAGCGATACAAGGTAGGTAGCATGCAAAGAAAGAGGTAAAGAGGTCAGAGCTAAAGGAGGGCAAGGAGGGAATGTTGAAGTCGAAATTCACCACGTGATGTCCACGTGGCTTTGGCGGTGATATCCGCCTCACTGCACAAGTTCTTTCCTCCAATGACTCATCGGTCTACGGTCACTCACTCACTCCAATCAACTCACTCATTCCGTGACCGATATCGGAGACCACTATAATAAAGGGGAACTCACTGTAAATCACGGCCGAATACCTGTCAGGTCGTGCTCCTGGGATTCCAGGCTGTCCTCTTCGACTTGCGGGCTTTCCCTCTGCCACCCCCCTTCACCGGCTCGTGCACCTCTGGTCTACCTTCGGCCTGCGGTCACCAAGTACCATGGATCCTCAAGTCGTGCTCAAAGCTGGCCTGGTGACAGTAGAGAAGATCAGGGATAAATCGTGAGTAAAACATCAGGACTTTCTGGACGTAGCTCACTGTTTCAGCTCTCAATCCATCATCTTTCGAGAAAACCTGCTCATTCTTCCCATCCTTGCTATCTTCTCCTTGCTCGTCCTCATCCTCGTCGCTACCCTCCCCCGGATATATCGCTTCACTCACAAACGTCTTATTCTTCCTCTCCAGGAACGCTTTGCCAAGCCTTATCACGCTATAGAGGAGGAAGACGAGGTCGAAGATGATCAACCGGTGCCTCCAACTCCCATATACGCCGAGTCTCAAGGTCTTCTCTCTGACTTCAAGGCTCACATACGCTCGCTCAGAGAGTATGGGACGATACTCTTTGCCCTCGAGGTAGTACGAACCCTCTGTCTGGCTGCACTCCTCGGTTTAAGCATCTATGCAGCCATTCAAGCCGAGACGCCCGAGAAGGCCGACGGGCCCGTGAATTTCATCGAGATCCTGAAAAAGAAGAAGCACAAGCACAAGAACAAGCACAAAAACCACCATGACAAGCTCATCTTGGGAGAATACTCTCTCCTCGAGCTTGGAGAGTTTGGTGTCTGTGGTTTCTATGTGAGACCTTATGTCCACTATACTACATTGCTGACATTGCAGGCTTATACCCTCATCGCTTCATTCCTCCTCCTCACGCTTCGTCCAGCAACTCCTCTGAGAAGACATGTAATCGCTCATGTTGATGCTCTTCTTGCTCTGGCATTTGTGCTATATGCCTATCGGGATCTCTGGCCACTTTTGACCTATCATATCGCCCCGTCCGACTTGCAAAACCCCATTACATGGGCTCGTATATCTCTGTTGACCGTAGTGGCGGTGGTCATTCCTCTGATTAGACCTCGGACATATGTACCCGCTGACCCGGAAAATCCTAGTCTTCCAGACGACGTTGCTCCCGAACAAACTGCCCCTTGGCTCTCGTTCCTCTTCCACGAGTACATGTCCTCCCTAGTATGGAAAGCATGGAAAACCCCTTCTCTACCTTACGAGGCTTTGCATCCGTTGCCCGACGGTGATCGGTCCAAGCTTTTGTATGACGTGAGTATTCTAGACCCTGTCCATTTGACAACTGAACAGTGTTTGACCTGCAGAAACACATGGACAAGCTTGATCCGTATCGCCGGAAACGAATTGGAAAGAGACCTCGTCATTTGTTCTTCAGCTTACTTGAGACTTTCAAATTGGAGACAGTGGTAATATGTGAGTTTTCTCCCCCTTCGACACTCAGTCGCTGACACTCAGGTTTGATGGCATTTCTCGCAGCTGTCACGGAATTAGCAGGTTCGGTGGCCATTAATCAGTTGCTCAAGTTCGTCATTCTCTTTGTTTTTGGGGTATGGCTCACCGCTCAGCTTTCTTGAGAAGAACGGGAAGAATGCCACAATTCGTCCTTTCGTTTGGATCGCTCTTCTCGTCGTTGGTCCGGCTTTCAACTCGGTCTTCATACAGATGTATATCTGGCTCACCACCCGGAGCTTGGTGCGGGCAGAATCACTCCTCACTCAACTCCTCTTCGATCACGCCCTCCGACTTCGGATGAAAGATACGACGGAAGAGAAGACAGAGGAAATTCAGAGCTCACCACCGATCATCACCATTGAAGGTGTAGTGCAAGACGTTCCCGGTACCCCCGGAAGCTCGCAGAACGGCAATGGCCCCAACTCGACCGCTGAGGAATCCATCGACGCCACAGAAATCGGCAGTGCCTCAGACTCTAACAAAGGGAAGAAAGCGGAGACTGCAGCCGCCAACGCCAAAGAGGCAGCTGACGTCGAAGCTCAAAAGTCCAAAGGCCAAGGTCTCGCAGGGAAGATCAACGTTTTGATGGCCGCAGATGTCGACTCGGTTCTGAATGGTCAGTCACTCGTTGTCTGACAAGACAAAGCTGATGTCCCCAGGTCGGGATCTCGCCCTCGTCTTCATATATACTCCAACGCAGATCCTTCTTAGTGTGGTCCTGTTATATCGGATTTTGAGTTGGAGTGAGTCGGGACTTCAAGAAGCTGACCATGCTAAATGTGCTAGGTTCCATCATCGGTATAATGACCCTTGTGGCCACTCTGCCCCTGCCTGGTTTAATCACTAAGAGGAATGCGCAATTTCAACAACAGCGCATGCTGGCAGTATGTCGTGCCGTCCACACCACTGGATATAGCTGACCTTTGTAGACGGACTCACGTGTGGACACGATCACAGAGGGTGAGTGATCTCGTTGGCATGTCCGTCATGATGCTAACTCTCTCAGCGATAAACTCAGCAAGTGGATGCACCGTAAAGGTACTTGAACTGACGTGCAGCTACGGATGGTCAAGATGTTTGCTTGGGAGGATCGGATGAAAGAGAGGATCTCAGCTAAACGAGAAGTTGAGTTGGATCTCATTTGGCGAAGACGACTTATGACTCTGTCAGTGCGCATCATTGACTTATGGTCGTCCGCTCATATTTCCAGATCGACAGTCCTGCTGAACAATATCCTTCCAGTGTTGACCATGGCCGTCACTTTCACTTTCTATACAGCTGTTCAGAAGAGGCAATTGACCGCGGCAGCGGGTGAGTGATTGAACCTATATTCTGGCACAGGCTGATCGTCAGTGTTCACCAGTATGACCGTTTTTGAGCTGTTGAAGAGTGCTACGGGAATGGTAAGTGCTTCAAGTAACTCCTCGCTCTGGCTGACATCGCCAGTGTTTCTACTTGGTCAGTGATATGTGGAGGTCTAAGCCTCACGTCCCTGATATGCCAGATAAACGAATTTGTGACCGGATATGTGTCTATACAGCGGATCAATAAATTCCTCTTGAATGTCAGTTCGACTTTTATGCGGTCGATTGATAGCTGATACTTCAGAGCGAGATGATCGACGAATTCACCACTAATTCCAATTACAAGGACACCACTGTCAAACCAGCATCCTTGATCGAGGCGAAAGAGCAAGGCTTAATCAGATTTCACAACGCCTCATTCACTTGGGGAACCCCCGAAGGTCACGTCACTCCCGGATTCAGCCTTTCCATTCCCGATGTGACCTTTGTCAAGGGCAAAGTCAACCTCATCACTGGACCCACAGGCAGCGGCAAATCTTCCCTGCTCAAGGCTTTGATCGGTGAACTTCACTTCATCCCCGGAATTGAGGGGTTTTTCCATTTGCCTCGGGAGGGAGGTGTCAGTTACGCAGCTCAGGAAAGCTGGTGCTTGTCAGAGACGATCAAAGATAACATTCTTTTCGGTGAACCATACGAGGATTTCAGGTACAAGAAAGTGTTGAGAGATTGCGCGTTGGAAGCGGATCTGAAGTTGTTCGACGATGGGGATCAAACAGAAATTGGTGAGAAGGGAATAACCCTGTCCGGTGGCCAAAAAGCTCGTGTCACCTTGGCCAGGGCCGTATACGCCAAAACGGCTGTCGTTCTCCTTGATGGTAGGTTCTCCCCTTGAATTTGTGGTGTCGAACTGAGCATCAGACATCTTCTCCGCTTTGGACACTTTGACTTCGAGATGGATCATCGATCATCTGTTCCAAGGTGAATTGATGCAGGGGAGGACCGTGCTTCTCATAGTGAGTTTCTTTCCGTTCAGCTTCTTAGCGGGCTTACGAGAAGACACATCATATCGGTCTTGCGGCACCCATGTCAGACTATATGATAGCGTTGAACGGAGATGGTACCATTCGCACCCAAGGTCCTATCGATCAGCAATTGATAGAGATTGAACAACTAAAAGAGGGTGAAGAAGAGGTGGAAGAAATCGCTGAAGAAATTGCACCACCTGAGACCAAGACAGAGGAAAAGAAAGTGGGATCCAAGTTGGTTCAGGCGGAAGAGAAGGGAGAAGGACGAATCTCTCGTAAAGCCTTGGTATCCTTTTTCAGGTGAGTGTCCTCCGCGTAAATGTACGACTGCCCAGAACACAGACCTGACAATCAGTACATTTGGTGGACCAGTTTTCTGGCTGACTTATATCTTCCTCCTCACTTCAGGTCAAGCAATGTCCGCATTCCAGACTTGGTGGTTAGGTCGTTGGGCAAAAGAGTATGACAACGTGACAGATACACGTCAAGTATCCATAATCTTCTGGCTTGGACTGTACTTCGTCTGGGTACTCGTGGGAATCGCTACCTTGGCCGCCGGAGCTATCTTATACTATGTTGGAGCTATCAAAGCCTCAAGAACCATCCACCGCAAGCTTGTGGACAGGATCTTTGGTGGTCAGTTAGTCTCATAAGACGTTTCTAATCAAGCTGAAGATGCCAGCGTATATGCGATTCTTAGATGCGACGCCTGTGGGAAGGATCATTTCGAGATTCACCAAGGTCTGTCCTCCTATCAGGCGTTTTCTTCCAGCTGACGAAAAAGGATATGAAAGCGATAGATGGACAATTTATCGATGTGAGACTTGTAAGATCAGCGAAGCCGTAGCTAATTCGTCTAGATCTTCGGAGATGTCATGGACATTACTCTGGCCATGCTGATCAAGCTCGCCGTCGTCATTTCCCTTGTTCCCTTATTCTCTGTTCCGTCAGTGGTCAGTCCCTGTCGCACACATACTTGCTCCATTCCTAACGTGAACAGATCATCGGCGTCATCGGTGGTATCATCGGCGAGTTGTATATCCATGGCCAGCTCAGTGTCAAGGTCCGCCTGTCCTCTCACATGGGGGTGCATGCTAAAGCCAATAGCGGGAAATGTCCAACGCCAAGAGCCCGTTGTTCTCTCACTTCTCAGCTGCTGTCTCGGGCATCGTCTCTATCCGTGCTTATGGTGCTCAAGAGTGAGTTGATTGCGGTAATCGTTCAGCGAGACTGACCGATAGAAAACTTCGCGCAGAGGCGAGAAGGCGAGCTGACAAGTACACCCGAACGGCCAGAGTAGTAAGTGTATCACATTGGTTGAAATTCCGGATAGCTAATGCAGTAGTTGTACGTCACACTTATGACGCTGAACAAGAAGGGAACTAATGTGATACAGTTACAACTTGAATCGATGGGTGACGATACGTATAGATCTGTTGGGTGGTCTATTTGCTGCTGGTCTCGCCGCTTTCTTGGTCTACGGTCCACACTTGGATGCCTCCACATCAGGTTTTGCCTTATCCCAAGCTATTTCTTTCTCTGGAATGATCCTCTGGTGGGTCCGGATGGTCAATGAATTAGAAGTTCAAGGAAATTCAGTTGAAAGAGTGGAGGATTACTTAGTCATCGATCAAGAACCATCATCGGAAGAATCTAAACAACCGCCAGCTGCTTGGCCAACATCAGGGGAGATTGTGCTAGATAAGCTATCGGCTAAGTATTCCCAAGATGGACCGATTGTCCTGGCTAAATTAGAGGTGCGGATTGCCAGTGGAGAGAAAGTTGGTATAGTCGGTCGGACAGGAAGTGGCAAGTCGACCCTTGTCAGTTTGATCACATGTTCCAATGTCCAAGCTGACCGAATAGGCACTGGCGTTGTTGCGAATGATTCCCACGTCTGGGGATGTTGTCATTGATGGTCTCAAAACTTCCAACGTCAACTTACATGCCTTAAGATCAAACATCACCATAATCCCTCAGGATCCAGTCCGTCTTCATTTTCTGTTTTACTGAGTAGAACTGATGGTGTAAGGTATTACTGTCAGGCAGTCTACGTTTCAACCTCGTAAGATTTCCGGAGCAATGCTACCGGCGAGGCTGATCAGATAGGATCCATTTGGAGAACATGATGATGCGGAGCTCAACGACGCTATGCAATCTTCTGGTTTAGGTCAAGCTCGACATTCCGAAAGCGGGGCTGCGACTCCACAGAGGTTGACTTTGGATACTCCTATCGCTGCTGGTGGCGGAAATCTGTCTCAAGGACAGAGACAATTGGTAGCTCTTGCCAGAGCGTTGGTAAGGGCTAGCAAGGTGTTGATCCTGGATGAAGTGAGTGGTGGTTTAGTTCTGTTTTCTCATGCTTCAATCAAAACAAACTTTTCTTTCACATCATCATCATCGTCTGTCATTCGAAGAGACTATACTCTGGCCTCCTTTTCATTTCCCGTGGTCTGACTATGTGGGACAAGGGTCGACATGTATGAAGAGAACGCTAATCGTCTAGGCCACCGCATCGGTCGATTTTGAAACAGATGCTCTTATTCAAAAATCCATTCGATCTCTTCCACAGTCCTGCACTGTCCTCACTGTCGCTCATCGCTTGTCGACGGTGATGGACTATGACAAGATACTCGTTTTGGGAGGAGGGAAGTTGTTGGAGTATGATTCGCCGGAAAACCTTAAAGGAAATAAGGATAGTTATTTTGCTAAATTGGTTCAAGCGATGGATGGGTGAATGGGGAGATGAAGCTGGTGATGATACATAGATTTGAATTCAATTATCATAGATCTGTTGCATGCTACTTGCTGTGTCATGCGAACGAACGTTTCTCGGTAGTTGGAGGTGATCCTTCATGTGACGTTGGACGTTTCCTACCATCATCCTGGAACATTGTCGGTCGGAGGTTGTGGTGGTGCCAGCAGAGAGATGGTCGTGTTTGAGCTTAGATGGTGGAGAGATGTGATGTTTCGTTCGATGGTCGATGATCTGCTAGGTGAGAATGGTCGATTCGGTCAATTTTTCAGGAGAGCATATCAATTTTCACGAACATATCAGTTTTCGTAATTATCGAGCAGTGAGTGACCAAATACGATCAGTAGGGTGAATTCAGCAGAGTAGACAAGAGTGAGTATAGGAACAAACCGAAAACCCACGTTCGAAGTCTAGCTTCAATGCATTTTTATATCGTTTCCCCCGATGCTCAGCATCTCGGTCTATCTAAGATGAATCCTTCCCAGCTCCCAAAAAAATATCTCTTCGTTGTTTTTTTTTCCAACTCCATTTTTCGTCATGTCGTACCATATTTCACAAACCTTCCTCCACCCATGACTTATAATCATTTTCCTTTATCTCTTCCACACCTTCATCCAATCTTTCAACCACAATAAAAATCCCTTCGATCCCACTCCATCCTAATTCCAATACCATTCAATGGGAACTTGACCATCCTCCTCGCTGGCGATAGCGGTGAAAGCACCTACGGAAAGATCGAGAGAATTGTTGGTATCGCAAGTAGGACAAACATCTGCGACCATAGCAGTTACAGATTTACCGTTATTGGTATTTGTTATAGTCAACCATTTACCACAATAAGCTCCATTATCATTCGATTGATAATCACTCCACCAACCAGCAGCGTCGATAGCTACGATCTTATCATAATCCGAATGAACACTACCACATTCTCCAGCATTTCCACCTTGATAGAAATAAGTCGCATAACCACCTTTTTGAACGTTTCCACCAGAGTTTGAAGTGGAAGCTTGAGTAGTAGCGGCTGCTGCTTTTTCTTCAGTCGTGGTACTGGTAGCATGAGTTGGAGTTGCGTATTGTTCAGCAGCTACCGAAGTTGCAGAAGAATAAACTGAAGCATCTTCTGAATCGTTGTCGGTGGAAGAGGTAGAAGATGCAGTAGGAAGTGCGGAAACTGCAGAGATGGAAGCTGATGCGGTTGGGATACATTGAGCAGGACGCATGGTGAGATCTTCAGAAGCTAAAAGAGGATGACAACATTCGTCGAAGAAAGTTGTATTGTGTTGAGATTGACAATCAAGAGCGAGATAACGAATGTGATATGTGTCATAAGGTTCAAGATAGTTGACCGCCCAAGTGGAAGGGGCGGCTTTACGAGGGACGTTGACGTTGACTGGAGCGGCGATGACTACCGAAGAGAGGAGAGCGATGGAGATGATGTTGGAAATCATTTTTGATTTGGTTTTTGGTTTTTGGTTTTTGTGTTTTTATGAGAATGAAGGAAGTGATGAGAAGAAGAGTTTGGTTTTGTCGTTTGAAAAGTGTGATATAAGAAAAGATTGACTCTGAGATGAAATGAGCGAAGCTCTTTTTCTTTTAGGTTGATGTTTTATGAAAAGTCGAGAAGCGGATGAAAGAATGACTTACAAAAAAAAGTTGGGTTCTTATGATAAAATTCTTCGTCGAGAATATATCTTTTCAGAGGTCCTCGGATCTTGAGAAAAGAGGGTAAGAAGTGTTTTTTAGGGGGAGAAGGGATGATCAACCAAACCAGTGGTTAATAACCAAATTGAAATTGATTTCTTTGCGGCCGAAAGAATCACGAGGCAATGAGAGAGTAAGAGAGAGAGAAGAGAGGAATAAAGAATGTGTGTGTGTGATTCCAAGATCCGAAAAAGAATGGTCTAGACCTCTTTTACAGAGGCGTGAGATTGAAAAGAAAGAAAGGGTGACGGGAAAGAATGAGGGGGATTGAGATGTTGAGGGTGGGTTGTGGGGGGGTGGTTATTATAGGGTAGAGAATACGACATGGTGGATCTTGGAAAAAGGGGGTGGGTGGTCTTGTTCGTCTTTGAGATTATGTGATCCAGTGAAGCAGAAGAGGAGAGGGAGGAAAAAGAGAATCAGTGATAGACAAAACGTGAGACTTGAGAAAGACAGGAGGAAAACCCCCGATAAGTGTGACTTTGTCAATGTAAACTTCTTTTAGATAAAACGATTCCCCTGGTTCCTCGGATTTCTCCTATGAATCTGATTGAGGGGTTAGAGCCGTCACCTTTGCTCAGTCAACAAAGAAAAGAAAAGAAAGACTGTACTGTCAATACGAAGCCTCAGGCCCTAAAACTACGGAATGGAAGGGAAGAAACAAGGTGAGTCAAATGGAAACAACGCGAGAAAATTAAAAATTGAAATTTCAGGGACAGAAATATCTCCGAGTTGGGTTATGACCCCAGTTTCAGATAAACCCCAAAACATACAAAAGTCTAGAACCTCAACACCCCACGTGGAGTGACGTACCTCTTCTATCACCCCCTCCGCCCCCCCCGCGAGGTCATTCGTATATGTACAGTACAGTGGTACAGTGGGAGACTGAGAGTGGAGGTGGAAAATGTGGGAGGGATGGAAGGAAAAAAGGTACGAGGTCTCGAACTTTTCCATTGGATGCATTCAAGGATCAAGGACCTCGGAATGGGTGACCATACTTACCGCCATTGCCGGTTAAACCATGGTTCGGGAACAGGTCAGGAAATCAGGAAATCAGGAATCAGGACTTCGGGCCTTCGGGAGCTTGTATGGTAAGCTTTCGGTAGCGGAATAACTTGCCGCGATCGTCCATGAACAGAGTTTGGTCTAGTGGGTTAATGGTCTGGCCAGTGGTCTATGCGGTAGAGGTGAAACCCTTCCTCGTTGCACTGTGAGAGTGGACGCGAGTGCATGTACAGTTCTCTGCTCCATGCTCGTTACGAACGTGCTACAACAGAAGATCCACCTCCATGTCCCATACCCCAGGAATCACGCACCGTGGCTTGTCGGATGTGGCGCAGTCTTCCAGAGACAACTGACTTATCGTCGAGAATCGTTTTGCACAACAAGTAAATTAATGTTGCTACGTGACCCATGACCCATCCATATACACACACCTCTATCACTTCCCACTATTTACTTATGCTACCTGCCCGCTGAACCGTCCGGAGTTGTTTACGAAGATCTGCCACTTCGGCCTGTAACGAGTTAAGCTGGATGGTCAGCTATATGCCGACGAATGATTGCAACATAATCACGATCTCCTTTTATATCCTGTATTGTACATCGACTGTACATGAAGAAAGCCAAGAGATAAGGTGGAGAGTTTGAACAAGTCATAAGATGACAACACAAAAACTCACCTCATCTAACAATTGTATCCTTTGAGCTTGTCCCCTACTTCTCTGTTCATCCGCATCCTCATGACACTCTCTAATCTCTTCATTCAACCTTTCCATCTCCCCTTGCCACTTATTCGTCAATGTTTTACGTTCATTCTCAACTTCTTCGGCCATTTCCAATGCACGAGTGGAGAGGGTATTATTAGCTTCTGCTAGTCGATCGGCTCTCTCGGTTTGTTCAGCCAAACGAATCTCCAATTGGCGTCTGGAATTGTTGGCTGCGTCGAGGGAAGAACGAAGATTATTCATTTCTTCTAGGAAATGAGATTCTGAAGCTCCGGATTTGGCTAATCTATCTTCTAGGACTGCGACTTGTCTGAGAGTGAGCGATGGTACAATACCCCTAAACCTGTCCCATCGTTCCCTACTCTTTCCGAAGTTGGTTTCCCCGGTAGAAAATCCTATCTAACCTTCACTAGCGAATACGGTGGATGAAAAGTCCAATTCGAGGAGACAGGGGATATGTCAACAGTAAACCCTTCACTCACTGTTGATATGTCTCCAAACTATGTCTACTATCCTCTACCAATTTCTTAGCTTTTGCAGCATTAGCTTTATGTACTTCTCTCTCTTGATTCACCTTTTCCATCCTAGCTACTAAAACCTTCCCATCCTCTGCCATACCTCTTATGCGTCCAACCATCTCGTCTATCCCTCCAAAAGTCTCGTTGGTAGGTTTGTAAACTTCTTGCAGAGCTGCGAAATTGACTTGACGACTGGGTGATACTAAAGCCGAGTTAGACTTTCCTTGTTGATCTACCAAATCGGCTTGAAGTCGTTTGTTTAAAGGAGGTAATAGAGTCCATACTTCTGTGAATTGTCCAGCGATAGAGTCTAATTCGGCGGTCAGGGCGTCTACTTTCGTTTGAAGAGATTTGGCGGATGGTTGATCGGAAAGAGAGGAAATGGCGTTTTGAGCGGCGGAAAGGGAAGAAGTTAGAGATTCGTTTTTTAATGAAAGATCGGATAGTTGTTCGGTCTGACTCTGCCAGAGTCAGTGAATATTCCGACAGGGTACCTCCCTTGATTTTAGAATTACAAGAAGAAAGGCCCAGTCTAGGACGATTCAATTGAGAAATGAAACTGCAAGGAAGTAATGACGGAGGATGATCATGGAAGGTCGATATGCCAAAATGAGTGTCAAGTAAGAGTAACTCACCCTGATGTGTTTCTCCAAAACTGCTATCTCCGTCTGCTTCTCCATCGTAATCTTCTCCGCTTTGCTCTTCCAAACATCTCTATCCGTTGAAACTCTTCTGACCTCTTCTTCCAAACCCATATTCACTTCTTTCATCTCTTCTCTCAAATCACCAACCTCTTTCTCTCTTCTTCTCACCAAACCTTTCACTTCATTCAAAGCGGATAACAGCTCTCCTTCCGGCACAGTTCCATTCCGACGTAAAATATCCCCAAGAGCAATTCTCATCTGATCCATCATAGCTTTATCCCTATCAGACGTTCTACCATTATCCAATATCCTCCGATGTTCTTCGATCAATCTTTGTCTTTCTTCAGTTAAAATCCTCTTTTCCGCCATCCATCCTTCTCTATCCCTTTCAAAACCTCTACTTTCATCTTCCCATCTACCTCCCATCTTCTCCATTTCTTGACGTTCCAATATCCAACTATTTCTCTCTTTCTCCAAAGCTGATTTGGTACGATTGATCAATTGTACCTCTTCTTCCATAGCCCTTTCTCTTCTACCCAATTCCAATACCATCTCTTCCAACTCTACTATACGTCTAACTTTAGGTTCTGCATCATCTTCAAGAGTATGAATTTGGTCGAGAAGTTGTCGTTCTCTTTGAGCCACTGAAGCGATCTGTTTCGATTGAAGATTATAACGTGCTTGGGTATCTGAATGTACACGCTCTAATCGTCTGACTTCCCATGCCATTACACCAGACCAATGTTCCATCAATCTACGACGAAGGTTGGCTTCTCTATCCCGAAGAAGAAGAAGTTCCTAGATTTTTTCAGCATCCGGTTCAATCTAGCGTATGGAAATCACTCACCTTTTCAGCAGCTTCTACTCGTTTTTCCGATTGTTCCAAGCTTTCCATGGTTTGTTTAGAGATTCTACTCATCAGCTATTCTTAACCAGACTCGGATATGATACGTAACACGCACCTCTTATTTGTATTGTTGAGCTTTTGTAGCGTCTTCGCAGCAGTGAGGATTTTCACTTCTCTTTGATGTCTAGCGACAAGGGCGGATAGTCTAGTAGACAACAAAGACAGTTCCTAATCACATGAGAAAATCTCCTCTTCATCCAATTGTCACATACAACTACGTTTCCAGGCTTTTGACGAGACGAGGCATGTGAATGATTATGAATCTGAGTAAAGTTGGAGATGTTTTATGATAGATAAATATTCTTGACATACCTTTTTCCACTGTTCAACCTCTTCCCAAGCTCCAACAGGTAGTTGTCCACAATCCACAGCAGCTTGTCCCGCTAATAAAGTCATCATCATATCATCCGTTCCTGCATTATCATTTAATCTATCCTTATCTTTTCCCCCTTCCTCCACTATAGGCATTTCCAACAATTCTTCATATCCTGATCTTCCAGACATACTAGTATCAGGTGTAGGTTCATTATACAAACTATGTCCTTCACTTGGAGTAGATTCAGGTGACATCATTCTTCTTCTTTGTTCTTCTCTCTTTACTTTATCAGTAGAAGGTGTATTTGTTCTATCTCCCCTTGAACTGGCATATAATTCAGGAGTAGGAGAGTTAATCCTTGTTCCATGAGAGTTTGATAGACCATTATGAGATGGACCTGGGTTTGGTTCTGATGAAGGTGAAGAAGGGATACGAAATGGATTCAATTCAGGTCGCTGAGATACGAGTACGCCCGAGGAAGGTGAAGTGATAGGAGGGGAACGTGTTCGGAAAAAAGCGGCTTTGGTGGTACGAGGTGATAATGGTGATGGTGATAAAGGTTCGGGAGATTGCATAGTTGCAATGGGCATTGCCCTATTAGGATGATTAATGAGATGAAGTATTAGAGGATAGAGAGTAGAATAGGGATGGAAGAAGGGAAACGGTGGACGTTTCTTTGGTGTTTTGTTCGGCCTTCGGAATTTTGGACGCGCCAAAAGTAAATCCCTTACAACCAAGTAAGGTAAGAAATGCACATGCATGACAAGCTTATGACATTAATCGACCTTCGTCATACCTCTTCCTTCCGTATATCTGTACTTTTCAGCTAGAGAACCGAGCAAGGATCTGTGGTCTGCTAAGAAGGAGATATCGGGAGTGAAAGAGCAAGTAGTGGGAAGGGAGTAGCCATCAGAGCACCATGGTCAATCCTGTTTCTTCTGGTAAAATGGCCCCTCAGAATGGGATACAATCGTATGTACATGTTGTCACTTGTCACCATACAAATTTGCTCCGTCGCCCTTGATCGTGACCGTGCCGTGTTCTTCTCGCTCCCTCATTCGATATATGGCCAATATGGAAAGCTGACCACCAGAGCCGTTCTTTGGAAACTCATACTCTTCGCCATCCTCATGGCCGTTGTGCCCATCGGTACATACTTTTCCTCTCTACGCTTTCTCTTCGATGGTGAGGTCGTCCATTCTCACACTCGCCTTTCGGGAATTAATGTCTAGGTTCAACCACATTCTCCGCTATCGCCGCTATAATAGCTGCCAACATAGTTCTAGTGGGATACGTCATCATAGCTTTCCGTGAAGATTCTCAATTATCCCACCCTCCCATACCTCTAGAGAAGAAGTCGAGTTGAGGGGTTTTCCTTTGACTTTATCGTTATCGTCAGATGCATCTCTTCGCTTGTATCATATCAGACTACTTTTCATACATCGGTAATGGTCGTCATGAGTCATATAACGATGCATCATCATATATATCACAGTAGTGTGGCCGTGTGGAGAAAGTACTGAATGGTCGTTTTTGCACAATCAATCCCTTTGACCTTTCATCCTCGCTACAGCTTTTTCACTCCTCACTCTACCCTTTTTGGAAATGACTTTGGCCCTCTTACTCGCCCTCTCAGCCGAAGTCGGGTTCAACTTGACAGAACCTTTCTCCTCATTCCTTGCCATTCCATGTCGCAATTTCTTCTTCGCCAATCGACGAGCTTGTCTGTCCGCATCGGTAGACTTGGCCATCTTTCGTTCTTCTTTAGACAAATCCTTGAGTTTCTCACCAAGAGCAGGATTGCCTTTAGGTATCGTTGTGATTATTGATCGTGCAGAGGTAGTTTTCGGTTTTGTCTTGTCTGATGATTTGAGGTTGGTGATAGGAGAAGGTTTCACGGTGGCAGATGGTAGAGTTTTACATTGTTGAACCCTGATATCGCGTTTGGCAAGTTTCAATTTCGTAGAGTTGAGAGCAATAATTTCGTCCACACTTTCTCGATCCTGATCGTCAGCTTGAGGCACATCACCGATTCAGCACCAAGCGATCTATCGCACCTCCCACTAGACAAGTCGGGGAATTGCGGTAGGAGAAGAAACCCACCGTGAAATGCACGTATCCAAATCCTTTGCCCAATTGGGTCTCTTTATCCCTTACAATCCTCACCCCAGTAACCCATCTTCCATCCGGCGAATCCCCTCTTTCCTTCTTCACCAATTCCTCAAAGAATACTCTGACGTCTTCTTCCTTGGCCGCATAGTCCAAACCACCCACGAACAAACTCCTTTTTGGATCGGTTCCACTTGGTAACCACCCGTCCCGTTTCTTCGAAGTCCCATCCGCGTCATCACCTTTCCTACCAGAAGCTCGGACCACGTCGACTCTGATACTTCTTCCCATGACTTCCGACCCATCTGCTTTAAGAGCAAGATTAGCCGCTTCGTATGGGTTCATAAGAGGAGGCAAGTTTTTGGACCTATCTGGAGGGGGATGTTCAAACACGATATAAGCATTACAAGTAGCAGCTTGATCATGAAACTGTTTCATGAGCTCTCAGTATGGCAGACGATCACAGAACTCACATCTTTCTTGATGAAGGCCACTTTGCGTTTACCTTTCGCATCGATGTAGACTTTAGAGGTGTCTACGACTTCCTCATCATCGCGAGATTTTGTCTTAGACTTGGACTTGGGATCATGGTCGATTTGTTCCCGCCATGTAGCTGCCCGTTCTTTTTCACGTTTGAGACGACGAGTCTCGTCTTTTTCCGGATTATCAGATGGAAGGATAGACGTCGGCGTGGCAAAGGGGACAGAACGAAATCGTACAGATTCAATTTTGGCTGAAGGGGCGTATGAGAGGATATGAGCTCGGAGTTTAGTCAAAGCCGACTGTAAGGTCAGTCATGAGATGTGAGATGTTCACGACCAGTTTGAACAGTCATTCAGAGAAAGAAAGAAAGATAGATTGGAAGAATATGTGTGAAGTGCGATGGGGTAAGATAGTGATATACTCACCTTGACTTTGGCACATTCGAGAGGAACGTTTCCAACGAATATAGTCCTTCTATCTCTATCCCCAGGCGTCTCATCAGACGGTACGTATTTCTTACCCTTGACCTTCTTTTTGGACGGCCCAGAGCGTAGTGTCTCGTGGATCAGATCCTCCTGATCCGAGATATCCACTTGACTGTCGTCCTTCTCAGAAATAGGTGTTCCAGAAGGTCCACCTTCAACTGGCCCGATAACCGGTTCATCGTCCTCTTCCACCTCCTGAACCCGGACAGATTTCTTGGGTTTCTTCCCGGACCCTTGTGTGTCTTTTACCAACTCAGAATTGGAGGATACCTCGAGGAAAGTTGATGGACCCGCAATCGCAGACACCGTAGAAGTTTGATTCAAGGTAGCCTGATGTGTCAGTTGAAAACCACCTTTCAAGTAAGAACATACACTTTTGTTGAATATATCATCCAATTCTGCATCTTTGCTTTTGCCCACTAACTTCAGTCCTACCGTTGGAGATTCAATCTGAGATTCATCCGACCTTTTCCGTTTCTCTCCTTTGTGTGCTTTCTTTTCTTTGCCCATGACCGTCGCTGTATGCTGTGCTACTCCTCTTAAGGATCCTCTTGAGACTGCCATCTTGACCTCGAAATTTCCTCACCTCAAACGGGGGTACCGAATACATTCCCTTCCCAGCGAAATTGCCACATTGATGGAAATTGAGAAAAGGCCGATCAAAGTACACGTCACCGTTTTTTGCCTCGTGGAGGTGGGACTTCCTCAAACTCTGTTTACTTCCACCCTCATGATAGGCATGCCATGGATAGGCGCCCCGGATGTTCAGAAACCGGTCTGTCCGCTCTGTTCAAGGTGGCGAATTTGCTCTTCATCTCAACGTCTCATTAGAGCTTTGTTGAAGATGATAGTCCATCAGACATCTTTGACGTGTCGGAACGCGTAGGATAACGTGGAGCAGTGAAAGGGCTTTCAGAATCTGTAATTATATATCATGCATTCCACTTGATGACGGTACAGCATAAGGTCGAAGGGGATGTAGATAGGTGGACTGGCTCTTCCGCCACATTCAGTCATCTTGAGGGTATTGGATTCCATCTTTCTCATCACACGGACAAGCTGGAAGGTCCAAAAAGGTATCAAAAGATTTCGAAAGGTATGCCAGAGATTCCTGAGTAGAAAGTTTGAGTCGAGAGGGAATGGAATACCTACACGCAGAGCTATCTAGTATCTCCCTTCGTCGTCAAGTCTATCTTTGGTTCTCATCTCGGTCTCCCGGGTCTGTGAACCTACAAAACCTCCCGGAAAGCTCTCAACATGATCAATGATGGTCGCTCATGTGGAGGGAACACTCGGCCAGGTCCGACTTTGATTCTTACTAAGGTGGATACTACACGGACCACATGTACGAAGAACGGAAGGAGAGAGGGGTATCGACCAAGGGTGATGAGAATCCATTCAATGAATTGACGTTCATTCCGTCCTACAAGCCAGTTATACTGGGAATCGACCTCCTAGTTCAAGTAGGAATTCCCCTACGTACCCCTTCCTGATCGTCGACCCCTCTAATCCCATCCCTGACATCTTGATCCTCTCCAAAGAGTAGCAAAGGTAACAAGTCGTACCTTGTCGGCGCTTTGGACTCGCCACAAAACGCCGCGAGCCGAAGGAGCTCCAAGTCACGTGAACTACATTTCTTCCTCCTCCTACATCTTCACAATCTTTATGCATGTATCTAATAGTACCGTGTGATGCATCTGATGAATGCGCATGTAATGGTACACTTTTCAGACCTCTAGGAGGAGTATGAGAGAAGATATGAAGGTTTCAAACAAATGGTGTTTGTCGCCGCCCGACGCGGGACCCGGGTTCGAGGTTGACACATAACCCCAGTCGTTTCTTCCCCCTTCCTTCTTCTTCGCCCACTTCAACTTTCATTTTCAACCTTCCGTGCTTAACAGTACTTTGTGTGAGTTTTATCCTCCTAATCCTTCACATATCCTACTCTGACATCCTCTGACATCAACTGAACCTTTTCCGAGTCATAGCTGACGCAACGCTTCGTTTTTCGTGACACTTTTTCGTGGTCACCATCACTTTCGCATCCATCAACCAGCCACCGTTCTTCGTCAAACCAACAAAGCTTTCAAGTCAATCATTCATAATGGCACCTATTACTAAGAAACCCGCCGCCCCCAAAAAGCCCAATGCTGCCGCCCACCCGACTTTCTTGTCGATGATTCAGGTGAGTTGACTTTCGTCCCTGTGAGGAGGTTCGATTTCGGGTATTTCAACTTCTTTTGGTGTATACTTTCTTCATTCCAACTGGTCTCTGATACATCTGTCCCTCGTGTCTGTCTGGTCCTCCCACTCATCTATCTCAGTAGGAGCGTACTCTGCCGGCTGGTGTCTGAGGATCTTTGATTGGCAAGGGAAGGAGTGGAAAGGGGAGGAGTTTAGGAGTCACACAGCCACCGGCCACCAGTCGGCCACTCCCTTTCCCTCGTCGTGACTCACAAATCGCTTTGTGCATTTACATCATATCCCTCTCCATCCTCGTCTACCCTGTTCCAACGCTTCCCTCCTGTCCAGTGGCCGCATCGTAGAGCTCGGTGTGGCATCGCCAAACAACACGCTCCTCGACCGGTGCCTTTTCCCTCTCACTCCCCTTTCAGATTTCATCCTGTCGTCTGGGTGCCCCGATCCCTTTTTCTTCATCTCACACTACTCTCTAGTAGAGATGTATTGTATACCTGCCGTCTTCGTGCATGTCATTTTTACTGTGGCTCAGCTTATCTGTTTGCTTCTCGGAGAATTCTTTTCGCCCAAAAGGACAATTGCTGACATGCCCAGGAATGCATCGCATCCCACCCCGAGGAATCTCGCGCTGGTGTCTCTCGACCCACATTGAAGAAGTAAGTTCAATAGTAGTCTTCTTCCCTTGCATGCTCACCCTCAGATACCTCGCCGACAAGTTCAAGCTCGACATGAGCTCTCAGTCGAACGTCACCAACCTGTCCAACGCCATCAAAAGAGGTGCTGCCACAGGAGCGCTCACCCTTCCTAAGGGCCCTGCTGGGCGTGTCAAGGGCGGAGCCAAGGTCAGTCATCCATCATTCTGTGGCAAACAGGATCTGACCATCAGAAAGCTCCAGCCGGCAAAGAGAACGTCGCACCTAAAGCCGCCAAGAAACCTGCTTCGAAGAAAGCCGCCCCTGCGAAAAAGCCCGCTGCAGCCAAGAAAGCTCCCGCTGTCAAGAAACCCGCTGCCCCTGCAAAGAAGCCCGCGTCGAAGAAAGCTGCTCCCGCCAAGAAGACCAGTGCTCCCAAGAAGGCCGCCGCCCGTAAGTCGTTGCCTTGACCAAATTTCAACTCAAACAATGCTGATGTCTAGCCAAAGCTGCCAGTGCTAAACCCGCCGCGAAGAAGACCGCTCCAAAGAAGGCTGCCGCTGTGAAGAAATAAATGCTTCGATACATACACGGCGACCGGTTTCTGTTTAATGGTGCTCTCGATATCTCAACTGCGGTTGTCGACCTCTAGCCGACATGCTCACCCCTCACCCTTTCTTCGTCTTGATCTATCTTTGCTAGGTGGTTTGTCTTGTGAATAGTTGTTTCTCTCTTTCGCTTTAGCTTTTCGTTTTCTGCATTGCAGATCGCGATGTATGTCTGTGTTCGCGCCATGGTTTGAATATGAAGCATTCGTCTAACATGGGGCAAGTCCATTACTGATAAGCTGGGAGTTTTGCTGCGATTGCGGATCATCTGCGGGCGGCCGTCGGTAGCCGTCGGACTTGCGTCCATGCTCACTTCTCGCCACGGATATAAATGTTACATAGGACGAGGAAGCCCCTGTTAAGTGGTTGTCAGTTGCCGAGATGTATCCTGTCCCACTAGACCCGGATGTTGACACAAAAAGGACGAAGATCTGTGTAAGTACTTGTACCGTATAAAGTAGAAATACCCAAAGCGGCAATAAGCCAAAAGTGCCACACTGACATTTCCCCTCATACTCCCTAGCGTCATTTTGGAACCCGTCTCCCACCTACCGCCATACCTGTCTCTCCTTAGCGCTTGTCGTACACCCGCACTCCCCACCCTTGCTTGACTCACAGAGCCCACCTTGTCATCCATCTGCTCTTCACCACGCTCGTTATCATCTACGGCGAACCTTCCTGGTCGTGCCAGTGGATTTGAACTCAGACATTTACTCCAAAGCTCCATTCCCATCAAGACAGTTCAACGTCGATTCTCAAATCCTCCAACATTCACATTCCCCTTCTTTCTCACCCTCATTTCTCCCCCATCTGCTCTGTCTCGACCACTCGCCTTCTTCCACTCTTCTCTCAGAGTGCACGACTCGTCATTACGTCTGTCTCTGCTATTTACAAGCCCGTCCTTTCTCTCACCTCACCCCATCTCCAAACCGAGGGGCGATATCGTCGGGCGGCAAACCCCCCACCCTCATTCGTTCATTTGGTTCAGTAGCCTATAAGCTTAGGAGGTCAAAATGAATCCTCATAAAATGGTGAGTAAATCTGTTTCGTTTCTCCTTCATCATCACTGGGACTGATCCTGTTATCTTGGACTGAAATCTTCAATGACGCGCGTTGCTTCCGTTTCTCCAACATTCCGTCCTTGTCAATCATCGATGCACCTTGCCCAAGTGATCAGTGGATCAGTGAGCTGTGTAGGGTGGTCAAGAGTGACATATAATTATATTTGACCCGATCTACGTGTTTGTTCCCATGCGTAAAGGCTACGTTACCCTAGCGACAAATGGGAAGAAGACATAAAGTCCCCCACTTGACACCAAGAGAAATGACGCAGATCCTTTCTTCATTCCGCAACTCACTACCCTCATTCTTCTCCTCGAGGAGTACATAAATATCACTTTAAACCATCCTTCCTTATCATTTTAGTGTTCTTTGATCTCTTCTTATCACCTTATTATCTGCTTCGACTTCTCATCTCTTCATCATCATCCTTATCGACCTACAGTGTCCTTCATCCTTCTATATTTCAGACTTCTTAGTTAACTTCTCATTCGTCTCTCACTTCTCGTCGTATTGCGCCACTCAAGTTTTATATCAGCTGACATGGTTCTCTTACAGCACAAGATAGATATCTCGGTATGTTTCACTACTCCAACGTGAAGATGGAGACTGACCTAGAGGCAATGTCGCCAGATGAACAGAAGGCCTTTAGGTTGTATGGTGTGCTTCCTAAGGCAGGACCACAGTTGAAGAAGTTTGAGGATAAAGTGAGCACTTTCAATCATTGTATCCTCTTGTCCTTTCTGCGATGTTCTGCAATAGCTTGATGCTCCTCAAGATCCGACCCGCTTTCCCCCACTTTGCTCCTCCGTTCACTAGTCCGCTGAATCCATCCACGACCCTTTGGCCACTGAACTCGTCGGTCGAATGGTGTTGGTTTGGACGCGGTGCTCCGTAGCTGACATTCAGAACAACCAAAGGAAATACTTTGACTCTGGGGATTACATGCTCGCCAAAGCTGGTATTCCCACTGGTCAGATTCCAGGAACCGCCATCCCCACTCCTGAAGGGTATGTCAACTTTCTCAGAGAAGACACTGCAAGCATAGGCTGATTAAAATAGAGTCCCCCACGCCGCCTCACCTCCCGGCGCCACCTCCCCAGGACTTTCTTCATCGCCCACCAATATGCCCTTGCATTCGCCTGGGACGGGAGAAGCCACACAATCAAAACAGTCTGGGCAAAATGGTGCGCCCTCGCTCGCCCAGCCCGTACCTTCGGTTCCGAACCCAGGTGTGGGTATGGGCATCTCACCTTCAGCTAGCAGTGACGCCGTCGAGGTGCCCCACAACCATCGTCGTCGGCCTAGTGAGGGGTGAGTTTGAGCTTTTCTTGTGTCTCGGGAATTCCTCACTCTCAATAGTCATTTCCACTTCTGCCAGTATCTCTTGAACTTTTCCTCTCAACTCGAGACTTTTCTGTGAGCGGGGCGATGTGTGTGAAGTGAGTGAGACTGACGGACAGCGCCCGGATCTCGCCCCCAGGCGTGCTGCGAGACCTGAACCATTCGTCATCCTATGTCATCCATCACCCCGGCTCTTCCGGCTTATCACCGGTCAAAAGTAGTGCTCTGGCTCGAAGGCTTGATAATGAATTTGAAAATGATGCTCCTGTGGCGTGAAGGGAGGGAGATGTAAAGATAGGTGTATGTTTGGTACGTGTACGATGACGAGTGAAGATAGGCGCCTACCTTTGGGGTGACGATGTAATTTTAGTTTGCCAAGAGTTCTTCCAGGCTGCTTGCTTTCTTACTGCACTGTCCTGGGGGTGTCTCGACATACTCTGTGGCCACTGTGTCGTCGTCTACAATGATTCTCTGTGTAGAGTACATTGTGGTCAGTCACCCCCGCCATTGTCGCCATGCCACGCGACGTGCACGGTTCTCGTTCATGGCTCGTCTCCATTACGCCTCGTTCACCATCCCTGCGTCTCTTCTTTTGATGTCTTACGACCTGACGACTGACGACTTGACGACATGTTCTGATGACTTGATGATAATTCTTCCTTACCCTTCTTGTATCCCCTCCTATCTCTTTCGAATAACATCCGACAAGTGTAGTCAAGTACTTAAAAACCGGGGATGTCACTTCCCAGTCCTCGTCCCCGTCCGAAATCACCTATCACTCCACGTCCTCTAGGAGTCAAATCTAGACGAAGTCTGGATCCAACATTAGCTTCACCAATACCAAATAGAAGATCATCTTCCCTCGTTTCCCCAGCCCTGACTCCGGCTTCAGGAACAGGAACCAAGAAACCGATACTAAATCATTTAAGACCTACACCTACGAAAAGATATACTACACCTTTACCCACGTCCAGATCACCCGGGAAGACAACTCCTTCTAAGTTTGATCAAACCACTAACATCTTAGCACCCATAGAATCAAGACATTCTCCTTTGGTCAATATTCCATTCGATGAAAGCCCGCTAGATGCACTCACTTCCGAACACGAACAGGGGAATGTGGATATCAATGGACATTCCGCCGACGGCAATCGACTTTCATCAGGATTCACCACCAGGCAGGACAACTCGAACGTTTATGAGCACTCGCCATTCGGAAGGACGTCGAAAGAAAGTAAGGGTGCGGACGACAAGGGAGTTATGGGAAGAGAAGAGGAAGATGATGAGACGAGAACTATCATTGATCATGCTCCTAGTCAAGGAACTTTAAGGAGGGAACCTGGTGATATGGGTGATATAGATGCTGAGAGTTGGGAATTAAGGACTGAGACGGCTGTCAAGGTTGATGATTTTGATGAGGTATGTTACTCTTATTACTCCTTTTGCTCTTAAAACTTTCCCATCGTCATCTGTTACGTTTTCAGTGCTCAGTGCACACTGTACATCATGATCTCCACATACTTTTTGCTTCTTCTCTTGATCTCTAACCACACTAGCATGTTTTCTTCTCTCGTACTATCCGAACCAGATAACTCCCCTCTCGTCCTCTTTCTCTATACTTCACTGTTTGCAAACTATTCGTACTCGGCAGTATCAAATGAGGGTGAGCTACGAGTACATGTCTCCGACGACTGACTTTCAGACTTCACTTGGCCAACTACAAGCCGTACATCACAAACAACTCACACATTACAAAAACCTCCTTGTCCGTGCTCAATCAGCGTCAAGTTCAAGTCTTCACGACCTCCATACAAAGCTTCATCAAGTCGAAACTCTCTATAACAACCTTTTAGCGGAACACGCCTTGTGTGCTGGAAAAGTAACAGAAATCTCCCGTGATAGATTACTGGAAAACACAGCAGCTGAGTCTTTGAAGAATGGAGAAAGTCTTGGAGTCGTCATCAGAGGAATGAATAAAGATGATAGAATACATCTACTTGGTGTGATAGTCGAAGGTATGTCCATTATCCATCGCTCTGATAGAAATTATGACTCACTGCATAGGATGTCATCCATCTGATGTGAATGCTCAAATCGCTTTGCTAGAAAAATATAGGAGATCTAGATTAGACATTCTTGGAAGAGTAGGAGATGATTTGGCCGTCAAAATATTGAGTTTACTAGATATCAAAGATTTATTAACTTTTCGATCAGTAAGTTTTGTATCAACATAGACTCAAAGGCTGATTATCTAGACTGCAAGACATTATTTCCGTTTAAGTCGATTATCTGACATTTGGCGGATTCTATGTCGACAACTCGAATGGAGGGATTGGGATGGAAGTGCTGGTTTATCACATTTATCACAGGAACCAACTGGAGGTTGGTCAGTACATTCTCTGCAATTGATACGAATCACATAACTAAAACGAGTAGGGAAGAATTATACAAAAGTCTTTGGAGAAGAGAGAAAAATTGGAATAACGGGTTGGTCAGTTTGAACTTTTTTTTGCCCTTGGGAAATACAAAAACTTATGGCAAAGGCACAAAATGTTCTTTTCTTAAAGGGTCATACGAACTACGTAACTTCTCTCCGACTTCGAGGAGATGTCCTCATTAGTGGTTCTTATGATGAAACGTGAGTTTTCCTTGTCTCCATCAAGGTGTGGTAAAGCTGATCAGAACAGAATCCGAGTATGGCATTTACCACCATTACAAACTATCCATCCTACTTCCTTGTCGGTGCCTTTGATCTTACCTGCTAAATCTGTCTCGTGTTTGGACTTTTGTCCAGCGGCGGAAGTTTTCGTAGCTGGTTCTCATGATATTGGTAGAGTACAGGTTTATCAGAAATCGGGTGAAGAATGGAAGGTCGTTCAGACTTTGTCTGGTCATTTGCATGGGATACGAGCTGTTGCGTGAGTTTGTTGTTTTTTGTTTGTTTCGATGCTCCTGGATAATTTTCTGCGCTTGCTCACCCCTTCCTCCACCTCTCCCACCTCTCCCACCTCTCCCACCTCTCCCACCTCTCCCACCTCTCCCACCTCTCCCACCTCTCCCACCTCTCCCACCTCTCCCACCTCTCCCACCTCTCCCACCGTCTCTGGCTCGTCCTTCTCCGTCGCTTTCACTCATACTTCCTACGTCTTTGGTTCCCCCGAGAGCTGGAAATCTGAGGTCGTCCCCCGCAGTGGCGGATGTCTATCGATAATGCAAATCAACTGACACCGAGTGTCAACGAAAAGTGGATGGTTTCCGCTGGGGCAGACAAAGCGCTCGTGGTTTGGGATTGGCGGTAAGTCCGCACTACTCACCTTGCGATGCCATTGATTGATGTGCAGAACCGGTGAGAAAATCGTGCGGTTCGGTCAACAGACCAATATCTGCATAGGAATACAACTTGTTCATGACTACATTGTAGCGGTCACCGTCGATGGGATTATCAGGACTTTCTCAATCGCAAAAAGGGAAATGATAGCGCAGTACAAGATATCAGATTTGTCGAAAAGCTCCAACGATGCCACCGTGAGAATGCGATTGAAGGATGTTGGAGGCGGGGTTGGAGGGGCGGGTATGCTCACTTGGTTCGAAGGACAGGGGAGGTATATGACGGTGAGTGAATATATGACATGATCTTATTTTCCTACTCTTTTTCGGCCTCCCGCAGGATGTTCCGATGCGTCAAACCCACAAGATTCATTGTCAGATGCCGCCGTCCATTCCACTTCTCACATGCAAGCGTCGTGTGATATCTAACAAACCAGTGCGCAACCAGAGAGATGATCATCCGCATGTCATGGGAAGAGATTGAAGAAATCATACCTGTCATTTCTCATAAACCCTCCATCTTCCCAAGCTCCCCGATTGAGCGACGAGCGCTGAGGGGTAAGCCCCCAAATACACCACCTCGACAGCGAACGACCTCTGGGAGTTTATCGGCCAAAAAGTCCATCACAAACCTCAGACCGGTCAATCCCTCCTCTCCCGCTCAGGCTTCTCCTTCTCCACTCCGCAGACCCACACCTGTAAGAGGGCTGAGCGGGAGCAACGCATCCACGCCTTTATCAGCTTCCAACACTGTCGACAAATCAGATATTCTTACGCCTCTACGAAATGTGAATCAGAGAGATAGTCTCACTCCATTATCGAATTCAAAAGTCACGAACGGAACCAGCAAGTCTGTATCGGCACGAGGTACCGCCAAAAGCTTGTCTACTTCAACAACACCTCGTAAAGTCCTTGGAGGTCAGCGCTCCTCAGTAGGAGAAATCATCCCTGAAGATCAGGCTGTGAAGGGACAAGAGGAGAGACGTGTGGTACCTCTTCTGAACAAAGCTCCAAAATTACTGGAAGTCGTGGATGCGCCAGACATTGAACGTGGGGCGGTGGATGCGAGACGGACGAGGGTTGTCACAAGTACTAGGTTCGCCGCAAGGTCTGGAGCAGATAGGAGGGTAGGTTGGCCAAATCTCTGACTATCCGTCCCTCCCAATCAAATATTCGATATCTTGCGTGGAGCTTCAGATGTAGACTATATGCACAGGAAGCTGACAGTGGTAGCTTTACGTTGGCGTACCTTCTCATATCGGCGAGAAGGAAGTCACCAACATGATCCCAATCTCAGGTGCATGGGCTTCTCAGGCCCAAGACTTACTTCTGCAAACGCCAGAGAAGAACCCGATGAGCTTGGTAATGGATAGAGAGAAGTTTGTGGTGAGTTTTTCATTCACAAGTCTGGTGCATGAGTGTAGACGAATCCGTAATTCACTTGGTGCTTTTTTACTTTCTCGAATTGGCAATCGCTTTCTGGTGCTGATTTCTCTGACTATAATATTCAGATTGGTAACATGACATCGCTGACCGTCAGTATGGCTGTACGGACGGCACTATAGTGGCTGTTGGCTTTGTCGGACACGACTATACGTAAATGACGACATAATGCATGGAACGATTTTGAAGTTCATCAAACCCCCCTTTTCCCCACTCCGTGTACAAGTTGGCACTGTTGTTTATCACACTCATACACTAACACCCAACTGTTCTTCTCACAAAATGCTGGTGGGAGAGCTTTTCATTTCAACCGGATAACTTTCTGTGTTTCACGTCTAGTGTAAGTGCCAAAGCCGGACGGTCAGCTTTGCAAAATCGAGCATGATGACCTTGTGACTGAACATGGACCTGCTCAACCATTTGACCGGGAGAGTGGACACGTTAAGGCCGGGTCACATCAAGAAGACTCGAGCTCTCCTACGTGTGATATCGCTGAAACTATACCGAATGGGCAATTCATCCCTACCAAGAAGAATACGGAAACATCTACCTGAACGGCAGACAGAAAGGCTTGAATAATCATGCATGTCAGCAAAATCTGGATTGTCCTGGCGTTAACTCATGGCTTAAAAGCCTACACTATGATTTTATGTAAGTTGAATCTGTGTTGTAATTATTGCCAGATAGACTAAAAGGTCATGCTGAAGCTCCACAAAAGAATGAGGAAGATTGTGAAGGGAAATGCAAGACTCAACACTCAGAACAGAGAGAAAGGACAGTTGAGATGAGACCGGATGCCTGCACACAGTCTATGGTATTGTCCAGCTTCCTTCTTTGGTAGGAGAGGCATTTGGAAATTCACTGATGATGGCAGACATTCTTCTCCCACTCATATTAAGGTGACAAGGTGATAGCTATTACCTGTGAACACTTGGCTTCATCTCATCGCATCTCGATTCATCTCGTCTCATCTCCTATCAATTCCTGAGTTGAGCAAATCAATTTCGAAAGCTCAACAGGTCATCCGACCAGGGAGCTATTGGTCCCCTACATCTGCGGCCGCGAGACGCTTGACCTGTGCACTGAGTCAAGTAGACCACTGTCTTGTCTTCGGAAACCACCTCCCATTTCCCGTGCCTCATGCGCATTGTCAAGGCTTGTTTCACGATGGTCTTGGTGAACACCGGACATTCGGACGAAACCTGATCACCAACATAGTCACCTTCCAATGTGGTGTAGTACTCCCGGCCTTGCCCATCTGTCACAATCCTTGCTGGGGTAGAATAGCGATAAGTGACCAAATGCGATGATGTCGAATGCACGTTTTGAGTCTCAGTGGAGGTTCCCGGTGTATACGAGCTGTGTATACGACACGTACGGCCTGGGCAGGGACTGTCAAGACCAGACCGAAGGTCGAAGGATCTGCGTCGAGGGTGATGAGCTACTTGTAGGGACTTGAACTAGTTGTAAGAGGATACGAGGATCGAAGCAAATAGTTCGAGGAGTGAATAATAAGTTTTGGCAAATGTATAAGAGAACTTGTATGTTGAGACAGACAAGATACATTCGTCGAAGTTGTTCTAAGCTATGCACTACCTTATGTACATGGAATGAGAGTGTAATGTAGATAAGGGTGGCTGGTAGTGTTTATCGGTGGCGGGTAACTGGATATTACCCGAACTAGCAACTTCGACGCACGTGGTCATGACAGGGACTCTCTTCAGTGATGAAGACGTGACAGGCCTTTACCGAACCCTCTTCGTACGGGATCGTCTGAATCACCTCATACACGGGCATTTCGACAACCAGGGAGTCTGTGGTAGTAGCATATACGGTCAAGTCATCTTTTGATGCGCCATTTGGGATGGTGTTCTCTGACATAGAGACCCCTGGGTATGAGACAGATGAGTCGATAACTGGGGAGCTTGTGGAGGACATGTGGAGATAGTGATGATTGTAAGTTTACTGAATTGAAATTGGGGGAATGGAAAGCTGATGCTTCAACATTATAAGCAGGCAGTAAGAGGAAGGAGGGAGAGGATATAGACGCCACTCTGGAAGCCCGTGGCTGAAAGGAAAGTCATGAGAAGGGATGTCCACCTTTCAATCCTTGACACCAAAGTGTATGTAGATGACATCATACTTCATCCCTCCCCAGCATACCAAATTCAATGTCAGACCTCTGAAATTGTCATGAATAAAAATGGGCTTATTTCACAGACTAAAACAATCAGTACTTGTACTCGCACCGCTCTCTACTATCCTGCGGCGGCAACTCCTCAAGCTGAAAACCTCATCAAGCAAGACTCATCTCAAATTCATCACTTGCATCCATCGTCTGTCACTATACTAATCTCGGTCAACTCCCGAAAGCTGCAATCATTGAGATTACGGCCTCCCTGAAGAGTGTTTTGGCCCTACTCCTGGCTTCCTCAAATGGCAAGTCAGTCAAGTCGCTTTCTCTAAAGAGTGTCCACTTCTCATCTAGATATATTTTGACAATGGCCCTGGAGCCGCGCTCCAAGATTGATACTGGACATCCCTGAGGATCATAGCTTCGGTGGGTACCATCAAAATCGGTGAAGTGAACTTTCCCTTCTTCATCTGTCTCCCCCTCATCACAGACAAAGCCCAGTCTTTGGGCGCTTCGTATGCCATCAATGTCCTCAATAGCCTGTCCATTTCTTGGAATAGAGGTGTGTCTATCACAACTACTTTTCAGACAGACTCTTGCTGTGGTGATGAAAATGTATTGCACCCCAGCCATTGTCCTGATTGTTGTTACAAGGTATTCCTCCATGATGCCTTCCGGGATGTTGCCTGTAGAAGCGTGCCGGTCTGTTGTGACCTGATTCCTGCCGGGGGTCAAGTCAGATTCAAGGATTGCCTCAAGGGAAGATGACATGGCAAGATGAGAGTCAAAAATAGAAAGAGGATAACATGACCAGTCTAGGCCGTGGGAAGGAGGAGCGGTGGAGTCACGCACGACCTTGTGGGGCGACCCCCTCGCGGAAGGCCTTTCCGGGGAACGGAGCGTTCCCCAAGGGTACGTTGTGAAACTCCCCTTCGTTTTTTGATTCCAAATTTCCTCTTGGGCAAAAGTGGTACTCATGTCATCCCTTGCTTCGATAATGTCAAAAGCTTACGGTCAGCTACTTCCACTTGTAGAAGTTATCTCGGACCTATGGAAAAAAAAAAAGCCAATATGGAGGATCATCATTGCATCTCGTCAATCAGATTCACCACCAATAATCACACCGGTCCTTCGTCTCATGCCTTACTCGCAATGTCTCTTGTGGTTTCCTTCACTCCGGAGGGTCCAGCTGCTCCCTCCCAATGGCTGAGCTCTGTAAATGACATTCCGCACCAGTCAGGCGATTCTGTCCCAATCCACTCCTCGTTTTCGAATTGATAGGTGATGCACTTCGTGATAGTAATTCTGCCTGGAACCTCACAGCCTGGCATGAAATCAGTGCCAATGGGAGTGCCATTGATATCAGTAAAGTATTTTCTTCCTTCACTGTCCACTTCAATTCCTGCTTTTAGGGACCGCAAGTACTTGATGTCGGTCCATATGTTCCCGTTCCAAGAGGAATGAGGCTCATTTTTTTGAAAGTGTTTGTGTCTCTCACATGTACTATTGGGACAAGGCCTTTCAATAAACTGATATAACTCCGGTACTTTACGGTCGAAGAACTCGACCAAATACTCCTCCATATAGACAAAAGATGAGGTTGTTGATGATGGCAAGCTCTCACGGACTACATTTTCAGAGCTAAGTTTCTTCCTGCCACCTGTTGGGGGGAAGATCTTTGACCAGAATCTACTGCTTGTTGTCATTCCTGTCTGGTGTTACTTGAGTGATATATCTGATAGCTAAGACTGATAGAAAGTGGCAAATTTTGCAATGAGGAAGGAGGAATAGGAGAAGGGGAACGGGGAGATATGGATCTGATGCTGAATTCCCAGGTAAGAAAGGAGAGTGGGAAGAGAAAGGAACTTTTTGGCCCACACATTTCAGCTTATCCGTTGGGATTCAAATATTGTTTTCACTTCGGTACTTACGAGATTCAGTACGCTTACTGAGGAGCTAACGAATCTCCCGATGATTCGCTGCTCTAACTCGGAGGTAAAACCCAACTTCTGAGCATGTGGTCCCGGGAACCGTTTTGTGGCAAGCTTTGAAAGGAGGAAAGGGAAGATGGTGCGGGTTTGTGTGGTGGATTACCTGTCAAATGACCGTGTCACAAAGCGTCTCGTTTCTAGCGGGGATGGTCCTGCAAGAGAAAAGGGACTTGATACTTGTGTGACAAGCATCTTTCTCACAACCTAGGCTCCAAGCTTGAACCAGGTGAGCTCAAGAGGCTTGTCATCCCGTGAGGACATGTGAGCTTTGCAAATGAAGGTACTCACTGTTTACTTCCCAAACAATCACATTGAGCCGTACTTCAATTAGTGGGGAATGAAGCATGGGACACGACCGGCGTAAGTTGCAGATGTGTTGCCAGAGCCAGACCCAACATTCTCAACCGCTGAAGTACGAGCAAGGGGCTGCTGGGAAATGGTGGGGGGATACAAAGACAACACGCAAGAGAAAAAAAGTGGTCCAGGACGGGAAGCCAGGTGGTATAGTAGACAAACAGCGTCAGTAATCCTCTGCTAACCCCCAGGATCAGTGATGGATAATGCGCAAACAGATCATCCACTCATGCATAGTCATTCCCCTTCTCAGATATCAGATCTGTATGCAGTCCTGTCCATACCGTTGAAGAGATTGTTTATCATTCCAATGAACGCCAGGCCTCAACGGTGTCATAGGCCAGGCCCTGAAATATTCCCCAGGCTCTAAAGATGCTCCGAGTTAATCCTGTCTCCGTTTGATCAGGTTGAGAATTTATGCCCTTGAAGTCATCATCATCATCACCAGTGTCATCAGTGTATTTCCGAGTGAGATCTGCCTGTTCTCCAATCAAGCCGGAAGGCACGGGCGGTTCACCGGTCACTGTGCCACCCAATACTTGAATTGAGGACGGGGCATGATGATCTATCCCATTAGAACCGTCCGGCTCAGGCATCTCGGTGGCGTCTTCCTGATTGTGGGCATCCGACTCAAGCGAGTTTTCCACCCCTTCGCTTCCTTCGTCCTCGGAAGGATCACTCACCTCCCCTCCGGTCATTGCTAGGTCACCAGCTTCATCATTTGATGCCAGGACGTTGTGTTCTGTGTTGGTAGTGGTAGTGGTGATAGTCGTGGTGTTGGCCAAGGTAGTGGGTGGTGCTTCAAAAGTCTCCTGGGGAGGGATGATCACATTTGGCTCGACTACAGGGTTTACCCCTGGGACCTCCGGAATGAACCCCCCCTGATCTCCCCCCTCCAGTTCCGGAGGCGCCAAGGGGGTTATGATTGACCCTTTACAGTTTGCTGAGGGTGGTAGGTCTTGAGACTGAGCTCCTAGAGTATGTCTGTGAAGGACGGGGCGGTGCAAAGACTAGCCATGGCAGCCCTGCTCTCCTGCTTTGAGGACAATACCTTTTTTATTGTAATAGGCCCAAGTCCCATCAGTCTGCATACATGGGTTCATGGTATCAACATCGGTATGGACGTCATTTTGGACATCAGTATTGACAGAGGGGTGGTAGTAGTATTTCTTTTCGACAAGAGTTTGGTCCGCTTCAGTGGATATGATGCGCCCACCCCTCGTTGCCTTTGTAATTATCCGAACGTGGGTGGGGCAAGATGTAGAGTTCAAGCAGAGGGAAATTGAATAGTGTCTCTTACAACTCTCCTCTCCATATGGGCCACCTGAGCGTCGGACGCTCTCTTGGATTATCCTCTCGGTGTACGGTGGGAATTGTTCGGATGGGGATACGATTTTAAGGTTCATGGTGTCTCCTATCAAAACTATGGCCACTGTATGAAGTATAGAAGGAAGAGAATCACTCCTTACTGCACTAGTTCTATATACTATAGACAGGATTTGACTGACTTTCAATTGCTTGATGTAGAAGAAGGGAGGGTGTGGGAAGAAAATATAGGGAGAACCAAGTTCTGGTGCCCCACTTCTTATGCCACATTATCAAACCCCGGATGTTGTTTGAGCCGCCGCCTTGATCTGAAGCAGGATTATGCTCAGGAAAATGTACATGACAGATCAACAGGGACACACTAGTTGAGAGAAGGAAAAGGAGCGAAATGTTATTCAATTTGTCTCCTTGCGGTGTGAGAGGGAAACTTACTGCCGAACGCTGACATACCCAACGTGAACCGTATCCATTCACACACAGCTGACAAACGTCTGCTCTTTTGGAGGAGACATTCCTACATACTCATCACATGCTTGAGACTGATTGTGCACTTTTCCCTGAGGAGCAGACTATATACCCTGTTATTCACTTTTGGAGACGTCCTGAAGGATGAGGAGCTTATCACTGTGATTCCGCATACTTGTCTTCAAGCTCTTTGGGTAAATTTGTGAAGCTTGCGCAGGGATAATGCTTCCAATAAGGAAGATAAGGGAGAGTATATTTGTCAAAGGGGACGCTTGCCATAGAGTATAGGAACACTACGGTCGATGGGCGACTACGCCTCTCTCTCTCATGGCAAGGAGCCTTTTCATATTGCAGGTTCGTTGGAGCGGATGTATCAAGGATGGGTGCCACAGCACCATAGATGGCCTCTCCTGCCCAGAGCCGGAAGTCTCCCTGGCTTTGACCATGTAATGAGGATGAATCTCCAGTTGAATGAGACATGTTGACATATTCTCCAAGTGATTTCATGACCTCGGAGAAGTTCTGATTGACATCTTGAAGCGTAGTCAACAGATATGGGTTATCTGTTGAACATTCTAAGTAGATCTTGCTCCTATTATCAGTGCATAGAGTACTAGACAAACTTATATTTGAGCTCTCAATCTGCTCAACATCCGTGAAAAATCTTTCTCCCGACTCTGTCAGGGAAATCTTGCATCGTCTCCATCCGGCTCCTTCGACTTGGACTGAAAGGGTTGAAGAGAGGTCGGTGAGTCCCTTACCCAGGATTTGACACAAGGAGTGATGGAATTGGCATTGCGGATTGCCACACTCTATTGTACTTACGGAGTATTGGTAACCGTATTCGGATAGCCAATATGTCACAAACAACTGTTTAACCCAATAATCACCGTTAGGCAGAGGAAAGGAGCTGTTGGGTCTTATCAGGAAAGAAGTGCGCTCGAGGTTGATGAAGGGTAAGGTTTACTCAGCTCTAAAATGATACCATCATCTTCGGGTGACTGAGAAGCTGCATATGGGCATACAGTAGATGAAGAAAGGCCAGAAACGGGACGGTCTTCTTCACTCTCAGGAATATTATAGAGAGTAGGACAGATGTACTCCATGTTGTTCAAACAAGAGGTGAAGGATGAGGTGATTTTAGGATCATATAAGGGTGCTTTATCATGTATAGCTGCACTGGACTGAACTTTATAGGAAGAGTGAAAGGAGCGGTCCGCACGATTCTCACGCCGGGAGGGGGGAGGGGTGAGGCCTCGATGACTCGACGCACGGAAAGTTAGATTACAGGTACTTCAAGAGGAAATTGCCACAAAAGACAAGTGCCACAACGTCAAATCTTTCCCACGGTCGTCTATCCCCCGTCGCGTGAGAGGTAGACTCGCTTTCGCTTTCGACATCCATAGCAGGACAGATGGTGCAAGGATACGAGGGCAGGATATGATATGGACCTCGTCACTGTCAAAGCTGCCGTCAAGGCATGGGAGAAAGCTTTCAAATTTCAAAACGGTAGGAATCCGACGAAGGAGGATATCAAATCTGATCCTGGTGGAATAGGTCCGTCCTCTTTTCCTCTTTTCCTACTTCTCCATCTTCCATTCTTTCGGTCGTTCCTCGAAGCTGACATGAAGGTGAACAATATGCATTATACAGACGATTATCAAAATCCAATGGATCTCAATCTCAAGGATCATCACTGTCTAATGGTCAACATGCTTCTACATCATCTTCGATAACTTCATCTTCCTCTCGAAATGGTATCACCATTACTCCACAATCCCTCCATGTCTCACAATATCCTTCGACCCCCACTCCTCCTTCTCGTCGAACTCAAACGTCTTTTAATGATATCACCAATGAATCAGGTCCATCAAGACCACCTGGTGAATCAATCAATGGAGAGAAGAAAAGTTTGAAGAGAACAGCAAGTAAAGCTATCCTCAATCCACATTCTCCACCTTCACTACAACTCAGCAACTCGAAGAAGAATGGAAGTGTGACACCTCGTAAACCTTATTCTGGACCTATACACGATCCCAACCCTATCAATCCATTCTCTATACCTTCTCCAGCAAGACAAGATATTTTCTCCCCTTTCATTCACGCTAGCTCACCGAGGAAATTGAAACAAGTTCTCGAGATGAACTCTCTTAGGAAGATCAAAGAACGTTCCTCTGTAGGTCACTTGCGGATGGAAGACAAGACTGGAGAAGGAAAGGAGATTACCCCTCGGACACGAGCCAGGAAAAGATTAAGAGGAGAGTTAGTGGATGATACACCTATGAAAGAACCACGAAGAAGAAGAGGAGAGAGAATCGTTTCGAATGGGAGTACGAATGGCAATACAAGTGATATCTCTGTTTCTGGTTTTAATGATAGAAATGGGAAAGAGGAGGAAGATGAAGAAGAGTTTGGTCCTTCGCCTATGAAGTTGGAGACTCCCAAGAGGGGTAGATCATTTACTTCATTATTCGAACCTGTGGAGGAAAAGAGGAATGATCCTCAGGAGAGGAATGGCAACATCAAGAATAGAGGTAGGCCTAGTGAAATGTTGGGACTTTTCGCAAAAGCTTCTATGAAAGGCAAAGAAAAAGAAACAGGCCTTAATCACAAAGTATCATCTCCGATATCAATGAAACACTCTGCACTTCCCCTCAACGACCTGCCAATTTCCGCTTTGAACCAAGCTCAAGAGCAAGTTTTCAAGGATCGTCCCGAAATGACTCCATTACCGATAAATGGATTATTGGACGAGGAACCACTCCCAATCCCTCCCCTTGATCCAGATATGAATCCATCCCCGTCAGTCATCAACCCAATCAGGGTATCTCGACCAGTGAAGACGTTATCTCTTTCTGATGACGAAAAAGACGAATGGGATCCCGAAGGTGGACCTTCACGACATGCCATCACAATAGTCCCTACTCGTCATCCCATCCGAGTCCGTCACAGATCATCTTCATCCTCCCCTAAAATAACATATAAAGCGGGGATCCACCTGCACACTGAAGAGGAAGAAATTGACGAAGAAGATGATCCAGGAGATGCGGCAGAGGAAGAAGAAGAAGAAATGACACTCGATTCTTCCACCCTTCATAGTCCTACACCAAATAACATCTTCACTCTCCTTTCTCTTCGCTCACCATTACGTAAACGTCGAGAAGAGATTGACAATTTGCGAGTCAAAGCGTTGTTCGACCCAGAAGCTGCGGTAAAGTTGAAAGCTGTCAGAAAGGGTCAAGAGGTACATGTAGCCGGAGACTTGAATGGCGCGGATGATATGGAGGGAGATGATGAAGTTGAAGAAGGCGGGATGGATGATGATTGGGAAAGTGAGGATGAAGGGTGGAAAAGAGATGTAGAGGATGAAGATGATGAGGTGTGGTGAGAGGCAAGGGTTCCACGCGTCCTTCCTCTCTGCAACCTCTTCTCTCTTTCGTCTCCAATGTGGCTGTAGTCTCTGAGTTGTGTAGCATATGAAGTCAAATCCTCATCAGATTGAACCTCACACTTCAAAAGCTTCCGTAGTGAAGTGTGGTACCTGATAAAGTTAAGATGGAATGAGCATTCCCAAGGAACGACAAATGCATCAAGAGACAATCTACGTATCATAATCAAGTATGCAAAGTTGATTTGCTAAAAGCATTTTCTAATCACTGATAAATGCTAGGTATCATTGAAGAAGAACAGTGTTGAGACTCGTTATTTCGTTTCTGTTTTTCTACTTTCCCCCCCCTTTACACACGTTTTCTTCCAATCGTCGAAGAGAGAATCGGGATTGGAAGCACCAAGAAGAGATCAAGCGTAATCTTCCGTTGTACCACATTCGCAGATCAAATTTAAATCACCCGCTGCGTCGTCTACTCGACTGACCGATGGCCAGAATTTAGATTTACGGAGGGTTGGGACTGGGAAGACTGCTTTTTCTCTCGAATAGGGTCTGGTGGTCAGCACACAGCCTCTTGATGGGTTGTTCACAATTGAGATTCATGTTGATGACCTGGAATTGACACGATATACTGTATGACTGCTGACACAGTGATCAAGATGAACAACTATCTCTCTCATATACACACATATGGAGAGACAGAGAGGTGGAAAGAAGGGGGTGGGGGGGTTGAGAGTGACAAAACGACGGACAAAAAGGGAAGAAAACTCACCTGGTCCATTCTGCATCCGTAAGAACTTCGAGAGGATGAGGAGCATGTTTAAACACATTATCATCTTGTGTATATTTCCCAGAAGCGATCTCATCCACTTCTTTTCTGATAGAAATGAGAGCGTCGATGAATCGATCTAGTTCATGTTTAGGTTCGCTTTCCGTAGGTTCGATCAACCAACATCTGTATGTTAGCTGTTGACTCCTCCAGATGGCTAATCACGGAGATAACATAGGTCTGAGATAAACTGTGAGTTTTGGACGGTCGACACTATTTTAGCGGGACAAGTATGAAAGTGTTTGAAGCATGAAAGGCGAGTACGAAACCGTGGGTGGGTGTGCAG